TAATAATAATAATAATAATAATAATAATAATAATAATAATAATAATAATAATAATAATAATAATAATAATAATAATAATAATAATAATAATAATAGTAATAGTAATAGTAATAGTAATAGTAATAGTAATAATACAAGTAATATTCTAGTGAGTCAAAACACAGGTAAATCAACCATTAGTGGTATAAACAACAAATTTAGTAGTATGAGACCAAGAGCAGGCACATTGACAATTAATACTAGTAATTTGAGCATTAATACTAGTAGTAGCAATACTATTAATAACAATGATAAAAAAATCTTGGGAGGAGGAGATTTGACGAATATTAATCTTAATAGTATTAATACATTGAACAATATTAATGCATTAAATAATCTTAATGGGAATGGTAAATTATCTCGAAAGCCAACATTAAAATCCATAAAAAGCTCACAACTGAGTATTAATCAACAGAATAATAATCAGATAAGTTCACAGCTAAGTTTGCAGATGAATAATCAAATTAGCCAAATTAATCAAATTAATCAGCTAAGTCAGTTAAGTCAATTTAACCCAAGCAATACGATCAATTCAATAAATTCGATAAATCCGGCGGGGTTGCCGATCCGAACACCATCACCAAAGCGAGTTGACTTTTCACCATCGAAATCATTGCCAATACGAGGAACAGGGTCTATGAAGCCTGGTGGTAATAGCAACGGCAATATTTTTGAGAATGGTGATAGTAATGATAATAACAATAATAACAATAACAATAACAATAATAACAATAATAACAATAACAATAATAACAATAATGCAAATATGAATGGAAATGGGGTTACTAATGGATCGGCGCTTAGGAATCGAAACATACAGCCCATTGGGGTGTTTCCTATGATGCCCAACTTGAATCCAGCAGCATTTATTGATATTTATCCTCGAGATAAGTTGATTGGGGATTTGAGTTTGATGGTGAATCACTTTGCAAAGGCATTAATAGTGATGGAGGACAATTTGAAAAACATTAAAGAATCGTACCAGTAAAATTATATATAAAATACGCTAGGGTATAGTATGATATAATATACATAAAGATTACAATGGATAATAGATAGAAGTAATTTAATGATCAAGTTAATTGGGTTAATTGAATAACAAAAAATAATTGTAAATTAAGATAGATAGAGGAAAATGATAGAAAAAACCTAAAAAAAATGATAAATAGATTTATAAGAGAAACAGAGAATGAAAAATTATTTTTGTTTTCATTTCAACAATACGTTAGTTTTTAGATTGAGTTGGCTATGATTATAATCAAAATTGTAATAAGTTTCAATTGGAAATCAATTGATTTTAAAATGAGTTTTTTGATGAAGATCTATTTAAAATTGATTTGGAGAGATTAATGAGCACCAGAACGGTTAATCTTTTCCAAGACAGTATCATAGGAAACTTCACTGAGATCTGTACCTTGGATGTCAGCATAGACACCATTAAGAGCTCTTCTTAAGCCGTCCCTTGAGGAAGCGTAGACCATTTTGTTTCTGATTTTGGCGTCATCAGGAGACCAGGAGAAGAAAACAATTTTAGATCTTTTGCCTTCACCTTGACTGATAGTGTATTCAAAGTCGTAGATGGCGTATCTACAGTCGGCTTCAGGCAAATCCTCTAAAAAGTCAGCGTAATCAGTGCTAGAAGAGGTTTTTTCAACGACAATTTCGGTTTTTTCGTCATTTAAGGCAAAAATGATATATTTTAATTTTTTGCCCAATTTCAAGGAATGGAAGGCGGTTATGGACTTGTCAGAGACAGAGACACTAGAAGAGAGAAAAAGAGTTAGTATGTGGGGTCAATTGAGATGGCCAGCAACAAAAGAGAGAAAAGGCATACCCAGAAATAGACTGCGAGGACCAACGAACAAAGACAATGTTAGTAGGGAGTCGCAAAGAAAGCAAGGCAGAACAGCACACAAGCGGCAGGGAGACATACCATTGTGGAAGCAGGAGAAGAGTAGTGGAGAGGAAGCAGAAGAGATAGAAGAAGAGGCAGCACACGCAGCACAAAGAGTGATAGCTGCCAGAAAGCCCAAAACAACAGCGCACCAGGCGCTTTATACTACCCTCAAAAGGAGGTGCGCACGTGCAGAGCCCCTGTTTGCGTTGCGGCCGGGCAACCGCACTTAAGCGCCGAGTATATGTGCTCTTCCTGCCCTCCAGCTTCTCATCTCTGTTTCATTTCTTCCTGTGCTTCCTGTGCTTCCTGGAGGGTGTTTTGTATAGGTCTTCTGTCGTCAAGTGTATGTGCTTTTTTCCTTTTCTGCTTCTTCTGCTGCTGAATAATGATGAGCTTGTTGTCGCCCCAGACTTACACTCTTTGGAGTGAGTGCTGATTGACATCACACTGAAAATCCTGATATTATTCATGTTCAAGTTTTTCCTGTTTTTCCTTTAAGCTTTTACTGTTGGGCTCCTACTAACTTCTCTATTTAGCCTTGCTTTATAACTAATGTATGTCTGAGATTCATTATTGTTATCCTTTTTCTATTTCCATATTCTCCATATTCTCCATATTCTTGCTGATGATCAAATTTTTTATTTCATGCTAATCATGACAGTTTTTCTTTTCTATAGAGTTGAACTATGATTATATTTTTTTCTGACTTTCCATGTATCAAAATTTCGAACCCTCGGATTTTTCATTTCATTTTTCACTTTGTTTTTTTTTTCTTTTTATATATTGTGTATTAGTAAAGTTATGAACTAACATTTCTTTTTTGCTTTAATAGATATTTACTTACATTAATAAGAGCTTTGTTACGAATTTTAATTATTTGAAAATGTTGAGATTACATCTAAAATTAGGCTCAGGCTCATTCAAATATTGTAATTCTTTTAAACTAAATCTTCCAATTAAAAGATTCAATTCAAATATTTATCAAAATGATTTTCAACCCATTAAAGATACCGAGTTCGATGATATTGATTCTTTGAATATGTCTGACTCTACAAAAGTATACAACTATATTAAAAATTTTAAGATCAACCCTCTCTCTTTTAAAAAAGAATTCAACGATACCCCTATACTATCTTTACTTAAACAAAGAAATCTTTTAAGTTCTATAACAAATGACAACCTACCCTCTGAACTAACAATTCCAAACAAAAAATTCACAATTTACTGTGGTGTAGATCCAACTGCCTCGTCTTTACATCTAGGTAACTTATTGCCTCTAATGTTACTTCTCAATTTAAACTTAAGAGGCCACAATATTATAACTGTTGTAGGTGGTGCAACTTCCCTAGTTGGTGACCCAAGTGGTAGACTATCTGAAAGATCGAAAATGAAAGAAAACACAAGGCTAAATAACTTGGACAACATTAATAACCAATTGATCGATTTTGTTAAAAATTCACAAGTTTTTTATAAAAACTTATTGAAAAATCTCTTACCTCCTTCTTCTTTAACATCGTTTGGTAATCACCAAATGCTAAACAATTATTCTTGGTGGAAAGATCTATCTTTCATTCAATTCTTATCAAACTATGGCAACCTTTTCAGAATTAATACAATGCTTCAAAAGGATTCCGTAAAAGATAGATTGTCTTCCAATAATGGTTTGGGCTTTAATGAATTTTCATACCAAATCTTGCAAGCTTATGATTTTTATTATTTAAATAAATTCAAAAATTGTCAAATACAAGTTGGTGGAAATGATCAGTGGGGAAATATAACCGCAGGAATTGAATTTATATCAAAGTTAAATAATATTGAAAATGATATTGGAGACAATAATAATAATAATAATAATAATAATAATAATAATAATAATAATAATAATAATAACATTAACGTTCGAAATGTTAATAATCGGGTTTATGGTTTAACTGTTCCCCTATTAACCACTCAATCAGGCGAAAAATATGGTAAAAGTGCTGGAAATGCAATCTTCATTGATAAAAATTTAACCTCTCCTTTTGCTTTATATAACCATCTTTTTAATACTCCCGACGCTGAAGTTGAAAAATTGCTAAAAATTTTCACAATTATACCTTTATCTCAAATCAATAAAATCATTGAAAAGCATAACCAAAATAAAATCCTAAGATTGCCTCAGTTAATCTTAGCAAACCAAGTAACTTCTTTGATTCATGGAGACGATATAACGACTTCTATTAATTTAGTTAAATTAATCTTGTATAATAATAGTAACAATAATGAAAATGAGAAAGATTATTACTTTAGTGATACAAATATTAAATCAATTGATATTAAAAAAATAATTCAAAGTTTTAATAATCTTGAACTACTAATTAAAGAGAATTCAGCAGATATTTTACATAAAAGGTTTGTTGATATTGTTTCTAAAATAAATAATACCTCAAAAAATTCTTCAAAGAGGTTAATTATTGATGGTGGTTTAACTATTTATTCCAACTCTAAAAAAATTAAAATGCTAAATCCAAACGACACAGTTCAGAGTTCTCACTTGATTTCTGGTCAATTATTAATCCTTAAAATTGGAAAATTAAAGCATATTGCTATTCAGTGTATATAAATTAAAAATATTTACTAAATTTTACTGTCTTTCTGTTACGTGATCCTTTCATATTCTATTCTATCCTATCCTGCCCTATCTAGTTTTTTCCTGTTTGTTCCTGTCCTATCCTACTCTATTTTTTAGTTATCCCTGATTGGCTAATGTATATTTCTATATAGTTCTTGTAATTAGTTTTTTTGTTCGATCACTCAGGAATATATTCCTGCTCCTTTAGCATTGCGAAATAGTTCCAAACCCACCCAGGAAAACAACACCCATATCCATAGAACAACTGGTAAGGTCAAAAAAACGTAAATGTAGTAATTCCCCATGAGAAACTCATTGCCATTGTTGTATGTGTTCTTGTTCAATGAGAATACATTTGAGAATGCTATACCATCAAAGATGACCGAAATGGACACCACCAAAAAAAGAAGCACGACAGCAATTATCGCAGCTCCTAGTTTCTTCAATCGTTGGGCTTCTTTCCTGCCCAAGGGATAGACTGCTGCTTTGGAAACATCTTCTCTCTGGGCCCTGATGCTGTGAACAGCACTAGAGGGAAGGTTGAATCTTGTTAGTTTGCCAGAGACAGGCTTTGTCATATCACTAAGATCACCAAGAGGAAGAATGGCCAACAGTAATTACACCTTGTCCTGAAAGCTAATCTCTTTTGTTGCTGGATGAGATCCACACTCAAAAGGCACTATATGTTGGAACAGACAGCAGGACGTTGGTGAATGATGTATATTGAGGGCTTATAGCCAATTAACAGCAGATTTCCAACATATAGCTAGTTTTTACAGGTATGTGAGTTTTGCAAGTTTTCACAGCTTAATTAATTCAGGGTGCTCCAACCTTCTTTGGCAGCTCATTTTTGATCTCTGTTTGCCTCATTTTTATTCACTTAAACTTGACCGCCGCTTTTATTTTCCTTGAACATTTGTTACAAAAACAACTCAAAAACCCCAATTTTTCCGGATTTTGCTCTCTTTGGAGGTTAGTTCTGGACTTAGACCTGGATTTTTATTTGCTAATTTTCGGATATAACTTACTTTCAAACTTCAAATTTTCTCAATTTGAATAACAATATTACTGTTTTTTCCAATATTCTTTTATGGATTGAAACAACCTTTATGCTACCAGATCAAATTGATAAAATGATTCTGACTACCGACGGTTCTATACTATCCAAAGAGATATAAGACATTTCTTTTGTCTATGAATTATTTTATTTTATTTTATTTTACCTTAGTTCGTTTAATCCTCTTAGTATTATTTCTTTGTTATTAAACATAATTTGTGTGTTTGAAAAAGAAGAAAAAGAGACAAAATGCCTCCAAGATTCTTAGACAAAAATTACTTCAAGAGTCCCTTCTATAGAGAAGATCTCGACGAAAAAAAACAGAATGATAACAGAGATGTTGAATCTGATGTTTCTAGTATTAAGATCTCTCATGGTGTTGCTAAAGCTGAAATTATAAGAAAAATTTGGACAAAAAAAAAATTGGTTATTGCTTACTCATTTCTTATTTTTTCTTCCTTAATTATATCTTTTTGCAAATACGCTGCAGGTACATATTCTCCATATGTTACCTCATCATTTTCAAGACATTCTGCAATTACAACTGCTGGTGTCATTTACAAAATTGCTAGATTAGTTGCTTATCCAATTGTTGCAAAACTATCTGATGTATTTGGTAGATCTGAAGGTTTTTCCGTTGCTGTTTTTCTTTTAACTGTTGGTTATATTATGTACGCTGCTTGCAACAATGTTGCAACCTATTGTCTTGGTATGATTTTTGAAGGTACTGGTGATGTTGCTTATGCTGTTATGCAACAAGTTTTCATTGCTGATACGACAAATTTAATCAATAGAGGCTTTTGGTCTTCTTTACCAGAATCTATTACAACTATTCCAACTTTATATCTAGGTTCCATTGTTGCTGAATCTGTTCTTGAAAATAGCACTTTTCGTTGGGGTTATGGTATGTGGGCAATTATTTTGCCATTTACTTTATTACCTTTAATTATGCTTATGGTTGTGATGGAAAGAAAAGCTAAAAAAGAAGGTATTGCAAAAAACGTTAAAATTTGGAAAACGTTACCTGATGGTTCTTTAACCAAAAAAATTTATCATTTATTGTGGATCGAGTTAGATATTTTCGGTGGTCTCCTTCTTATTATCGGGTTGGGACTTGTTTTAATTCCATTGTCGCTTACTGGTAAAGGAACAAACTATCGTTGGAAAAAAGGTGAATTCATTGCAATGTTTATTATTGGTGTTTTTGTATTAGTTGGTTTCACTTTATGGGATCTCTATGTTGCCAAAAATCCTTTTATTCCCTTTAAATTTATGAAAAAAAATAAAACAGTAATTGCTGTTTGTTTACTTGGGTTTTTTGATTTCTTAAATTATTCCACCTTTACTACTTATTTCCCATCATATTTACAAGTAGCAGCCCATAAATCACCTGGTGAAGCGACAAGAATTGATAATTCATTAAGAGTTTCTTTCCAAATTGCTTCTGTTGTGGTGGGCCTTTTAATGCGTTTCACAAATAGAGCAAGAATTTATGTTTGGATTGGGGTTCCAATGGTTATTCTTGGTCAAGGTCTTATGATTCATTTAGTTGATATGCCCACTGGCTCAGCTGCAAATGAAGCTTCGTTTATTGCTGCAAAAAGTATTTTTGGTGTTGGTCGTGGTTTCTATCAAACTGCTTCTCAAGTTATTCTTCAATCAATTGTTACAAGAGATCAAGTTGCTATTTCAACTGCTATTTTCCTTGCCACGATGACTTTAGGTGGTAGTTTTGGTAGTAGTGTTTGTGGTGCTATTTGGTCAAATTATCTTCCAAATTATCTTAATGATTATTTGCCTGATGAATATCAAAGAAACTCTACTGCTATTTACAAATCGATTGTAACTGCAATGAAATTTGAAATCGGTACTGATGTTAGAAATGCTATTGATCAATCTTATAGGGAAACTGGTAAGATTCTTGCAATTATGAGTACTTGTTTTACTATTCCAATGATCTTTTTATTACTCTTTATCTCTAGTGTTGATCTTAACAAAGAAGATGCAATTAGACAAAGGGAAGTTGATAAGGAATTAGAAAAGTCAGATGTTCCAGAAAATAGAGAAGTTGATAACAATTTCAACAAACCAAGCATTACAGGATCTTCTGAAAAATCTTTACATTCTAATTCTAATTCTAATCCAAATTCTAATGTTGATGTTACCAACAAAGCCAATTAGATATTATGAGTATCTAAAAAGTTTATTTGAACTTTAATTTTTATTTATTTTCATGTGATAATATATTTTGTTTAATTTTATGATTTTCATAGCTTTTAGTTTATACCTTTAATATGTAATTAATTACAATAATAATTTAACCTTCTTCAAAGTATTTTCAAGGTAAAAATACAAAACTTAAAAATCCATTACAAAATCTCGCATATTTTATTTTTGGTTTTGAAGTTGGTTTTTATTTTTGGTTTTATTTTGTATTCTAATTTTAATATTAATATTAATAAAATAAATTGAAAAAGTATTAACCTACACAATTCAAATCACTAATAGCAGCATAAATTATAATCATTTCTAAGAAAAAAAAGAAAATGCGAGAACTATATAATGTCTAATATCTAATATCTAATATCCTGTAAACTGTTAAAAAAAAAACACTTTCTAAAAAAAATATACAAAAAACCGAAAAAACCAAAAAAATAGATAAATCAGGAACTACTAAATTAGAAAAGTTACAACTTGGATTTAACCCAACTTTCCAAACCACCTTTAACGATGATTTCTTGAAGATTGGTTCCTAACTCACCAACTTTTTCCTTTAATAGTACATTATCTTTATCATCTTTAACATAGACTGTGGCAGTTTCAACATCCCAAGTCAAAAACCATCCAGTTCTTTCGGTTAAATCCTTTTCTTTATTTTCATATCTTTTTCTTAAAAGTTCAACTAATTTTGGAACTTCTAATAATAATAAAGCATTATTGATAGAATTTCTAAAATAGGTGTTACTAAATGAACCACAAACAACAACTTTAATTCCCTTGGCCAAAATCGCAGTAGCAGCTTGCTCTCTTGATGAACCAGTACCAAAATTAAAACCCGAAACTATTATATCGTTTGCATGAGCTTTATTTTTAAACTCTCCATCATAATTTTCCATACATACCTCGGCCATTTTTTCTGGGCTCACATCGTCTTGGTAAGTATATTTTCCTGGGTAAATACCATCAGTGTTAAGATTGTCAGTATCACAAAATAATAGTTCACCTTCAATTTTTTTTGGAAATCCGTCTAATATTTCAACGGCTGGAGCAGGAGCTGCTGCATCAGATAATTCTGGTGCTCCATCTGATTGTTTTTCGTTGACTGTGACTGATTTTTTAATTTCGGAAGGATTTGGAATCTTTTCGCCATATATTTCCTCCGGACCACCAATTTTACCCAATACAGCAGATGCAGCAACTATTTCGGGAGAGGCCAAGTAAGCTAGAGCATCCTTTGAACCCATTCTTCCTTTGAAGTTACGATTAGTTGCAGATATACCAATTTCGCCTTCATTTAATAAACCGGCCCCTAAACCGATACATGGGCCACAACCAGCAGGTAGTGGAGTAGCACCAGCATCTAAAAGAGCTTTCCAGGCACCAATATCTTCAGCATCTTTTTGGACGTTGGAGGAGGCAGCAGCAACATAGAATTCAACGCCAGGAGCAATTTTGTGGCCTTTAATGACATCTGCAGCGGCTTTGATGTCAGATAATCTTGAGTTTGTACAAGAGACTAGATAAGCCTTGTTGATTTTCAAATTGTCATTTGATAATTTGTATAAAGAGTTTGAAATTTTAACGGAATTTGGACCACTAATATGAGGACTTAAAGACTCCAAATCGAGTGTTAAGGTTTTGTTGTAGAAAGCATCGTCATCGGATTTCATTAGAGGAATATCGTCTTTAATGGATTGAATTGAATCATTATTGATTCTAGGATGGTTATTGCCCAATTTTTGTAATCTTTGGACATAGAAATCCAATAGTACATCATCTACCGGAAAAACACCGGATAAAGCACCCCATTCTGTAGTCATGTTGGCAATGGTTAATCTGTAGTCGATCGAGATTTCATTTAAGTGATCTGATTGGAATTCAATAGCATGATTTAAAACTTCATCATTGTTGAAAATACCACAAAGAGAAACAATTATATCCTTTCCTGTTACGTTTTTGGGTAGTTTACCCTTTAATATGACTTTTGCAACAGGGGGGATCTGCCACCAAGTTTGACCAGTGGCCCAAATGGAAGCACCATCAGTTCTGACAATCGGGGTACCCAAAGCACCAACACCACCATAAGTATTTGAATGAGAGTCACTTGCAACGCATAAACTGAAAGGAAAAGCATAGCCTTGCTCAATCATAATTTGATGGCCGATACCAGCACCAGCAGGATAAAAATCTATGCCATATTCCTTTGCAAAGTTTTCAATATTTGAGTATTTAGTCAAATTTTTTTCCGATTTATTCTGAACGTCGTGATCCAAAGTCATAACAATTTGTTTCTGATCGTGAATTTTAGAGGCACCAAGACCTTTAAATTTCAATGCAACAGGCCATGTATTATCATGGGTCATACAGTGTCGAGGTTTGATAGAGACGAAATCACCCGAATGGACTTTCTTAGATTTGGGCAAACCAACACTGTATTTCTGAACAATTTTTTCAATCAAATTCTGGCCGATTCTCAAGCCAAAGGAGGAAGAAAAGGCTCTTCTTTGATGATTTATAAAAGAATTGGCACATTTTGTTGAACTGGAGGCCAAATAAGATAGATATGCCATTTTTTTTTGTGCAAATGAATGTGAATAAGCTGCTGATCTTAGACAGTCAAAGTATATATCTTTCTTTTAAGATCAAAAAGGATAGGGATTACGGTTTTTCAATCCGATTTTGCTCCTCGAACGCTTCAAGAACTGGAGAAAAAAGCACTGAAAAATTCAAGTTACATTTTGACTCATACTTAACACGCAGCCAATCAGAGACCGTAGGTTAGTAATACTTCATGTGATATCCCTGCAGCAGACACAGTCTTAGTCAGCAGCATCTAACCAGATGCGCCACCACGCATAGTCCAGCCAGACGGGTACTTTGTTGGCTATCAGCTTGGGTAACAGTGACTTGGCAGGCGGGTAATGCCTTTTTAGCCGCGGCTAACCCAAAAAGAAGGTTCCAGCGCTGCGGTTCTCTGCTGCTTTCAGCCTGTCGCCAACTTCCGCATTGGTTGAGCCGACGATGGTGCTCTCTCACTTTCTAGTTTGGTGAGCTTCCAGATCCGGAAGTAGCCCTTGTTGGAAACGGCCTGTGATTGGTTGGCTCTGTCGTGTATTGTTCTTTTATCGCTTATCTCAGCTCAGCCAAATTTATCGAGATAGAGAGATCTGGTGTTTTTTGATGATCATTGAGTCCCTTCTTTTCCTTGGCCTCACTATAAATATTCCGTTGTTTTTCCCGATACTACTTTGGTTTTTGTTTCTTGATCAACCAAAAAACATTCAATTGAACATTTGCCTTGTCAGTTGTCGATATTCTTATTGTTTATCAACGTTTAATCTCTTCTCTATATTCCATTGATAAATCGTTTCTCCTGTGCTAATTAAAGATGCCCTTTTCTCATCCCTTTGATCAATTCACTGACTCAGAAATGAGATTAACCTCAAAATTGTTGAAGGACCACTATTCCTCCAATTTGCATTTTGTTCAAATTGATTTAGTGGAGCCTCCAAAAAGTGATGTGTTAAAATACTTGAAAGCTAAAGCCGCCAATGAATCAATTTTGCCCTCTGTTCCAAGAGTGTCTTTTGCTTATTTTTATAAAGATGGTCTATTATACAAAGCATTAATCAACTTAGTTGAAGCTCATATCATCACATCTGTTGCATTGCCTGAGGGTGTCGTTGGTCCTGCTTTACCCGAGGATATGATGGAAATCGAAGAAATCTGTTTAGCTCATGAAACTGTTAAAAAGGAAGTTGAGAAATTGCAATTACCTCCAGGTTACGAGATTCGCGCTGATCCTTGGATCTATGGTACTGATGATCCCAATGAAAAGAGACCTTTGGTTCAATGCTACATGTACTTGAAGTCTCAACCTCATCCTGAATCAAACCACTATTCTCTACCTTTATTTTTTTCTCCTGTTTTTGAATTATTAACCCAAAAGTTTGTTAGAATGGACTATTTGCCTTCTGGCTATGATAACAAATCTCTTAAGACTCATCCATGGAAACCTGTTGAATCTTGCGAATATTACCCAGGTCTTAAAAAGGAAAAAGTTGAGAGACCTTTGGCTCCTTTAATCATTACTCAACCTGAAGGTCCCGGCTTTAAAATTGAAGGTTCCAAGATTTACTGGCAAGACTGGGAATTTCATGTCACTCCAAATGTCAGAGAAGGTTTTGCAATACATGATGTCAAATTCAAAAACAGATCCTTATTCTACAGAATCAGTCTTTCAGAAATGGTTGTTCCTTACAGTAAAATTGGTGATGGTCCATGTCACAGAAAACAAGCCTTTGACTTAGGTGATTGCGGTTTTGGTACTAATGCCAACCATTTGCATTTGGGCTGCGACTGTTTGGGTGTCATCAAATACTTCGATTGCATCAGAACCAATAAAGAAGGTGAACCTATTTTGCTACCAAACACCGTTTGTCTTCATGAACAAGATGCTGGCTTACTATACAAACATGTCAACTATAGAACAAATGCTCCTGTTGCTGCCAGAAGAAGAGAATTTGTGGTTCAATCAATTGCAACTGTCGCTAATTATGAATATATTGTCAACTACATTTTTGATCAAGCTGGTTCAATTAACGTTCAAGTTAGAGCAACCGGTATCTTGTCAACCACCCCAATTGAAGAAAATATCACTGTTCCTTATGGCACAATTGTTGCTCCAAACTGTTTAGCTCCTTTCCACCAACACTTGCTAAGTTTCAGATTTGATCCAAGGTTAGATGGTGACAAGAATACTGTTGTATATGATGATGTTGTTCCACTAGATCCAAACGATGAAGTCAACAACAAATACAAAGTTGCTTTTGTTACAAAGACTAATTACGTCGAAAAAGCTGGCCATATCGATACCAATCCCTACGCTAGCAGATCTGTTAAAATCATCAACGAAAATGTCATTAATCCAATTACAAAAAAACCTGTTGGATACAAAATTGATATGCCAGCAAAACAAATGATTTTAGCTGATAAAGAATCTTACAATGTCAAAAGAGCTAAATTTGCAACAAAACAATTCTGGGTCACCAAATACAGAGATGGTGAATTATATGCTGCTGGTGAATTCACCAATCAATCTCAAACTGATACTGGTATCGCCAAATGGGCTAATGGCAAAGATGATGTTAGAAATGAAGATTGCGTCATTTGGTGTACTTTAGCTTTGACTCATATCCCAAGACCAGAAGATTTCCCAGTCATGCCAGTTGACATGTTGCAATTCACTATTTTGCCTGTTGGATTCTTTGAAAGAAATCCTGCTCTTGATGTTCCCCAATCAAACAACTCCTTCAACAAATCTGTTTTAGTTGAAGATACTGGCTCAAATCTTAAATCTTGCTGCAAGACCTCTTTATGATTTTCATAACTTTACATTTTTTAAATTGTTTTTCTGAATTCTGATTAAGTTTTTTTTGTTTATATTCCCTTGTACTAAATACCAATATTCGTTATAAAAATCGTACACTAAATGTAGCTTCATACTGTAAATCACATCACATTAGTATAAGATAACGGTATGCTGAATGTAGGATGTTCTATTTTGATGAAACTTAGTTCTCAATGTGCAACTTTTCTAATCTTCTCTTCTTTTGATTTATAATCGTTCTTTCAAGTTTCAACATTAGCCAATTGATTCTACAGATCCAATGGGAAGTACTTTGTACATTTTTATTTAAGCAGAATAAAAAGAAGAAATGGGTGTGCATCTTCTTTGGAATATACTAGCTCCCTCTTCTCGTGCTGTTAACCTTGAATCTCTTCACAATAAAGTATTAGCAATCGATGCCTCCATTTGGTTGTACCAGTTTTTAAAGGCTGTTAGAGATAAAGATACTAATCAAGCTCTAATAAATTCTCATATTGTCGGTTTTCTAAGAAGAATTTGTAAATTGTTATATTTTGGTATAAAGCCTGTCTTTGTATTTGATGGTGGTGCTCCTGAAATAAAGAAAAAAATTATATTTCAAAGAAAACAGAACAAATCTTACAATAGAGAAAATTTAAAACAAACTGCTAAAAAACTTTTCAATTTGCAATTACAAAAAGAAGCTTTGAAAGCTATTTCAAATGATGATACCAGTAGCAGCAAAGCACCTAAAAATCAACAATCATTAAACAACGATAAAGAGCACTTTACTAAAAATAACCGATTCTTGAAAGAGGATGATTATGAGTTGCCGGAAATAAAAGCTTTTGAGTATGATAAATCTGATTTAAGAATTATTTCTGATAATGAGTATGATGACTATTTTGCTTCATTTGATGCAGACATTGATTTCAATGATATTGATATTGATAATATTGATCCGGGATCCGCTGAATTTGACAAACTATCATTGGCTGCCCAGTATATGATTTTATGGCAATTAAGATTAAAGTCAAGATTAAGAATGGGTTATTCAAAAGAGCAATTGGAATCGTTATTTCCAAACAGTTTAGATTTCTCTAAGTTTCAAATTAAAATGGTTCAAAAAAGAAACTATTTAACCCAGAAGCTAATGAAAGTTTCTGGAATGGATAAAAATGCAGGCTCGATCAATATTACTAATAAAAGGATTGTAGGAGAAAAAAATAGATCTTATAGGCTAGAAAAGAATCAAACTGGGTGGAGTTTGGCTCTAGACAACCCAACAAATAATGCTGATAATCCTGTTGTCATTGACGAGTATGAAAGAGAATTCAATGACGACGACGAAGAGGATGTCAAATTAAATCAAAACGGTTCAGATGATTCAGATGATTCAGACGAATTTGAAGATATTCCACTTGATATTGAAGTCGATAAAACATCTCAAAATTATTCCTTAAATTCTATGCCATTGCCGCCAATTACTGAAGAATTAGCAAAGGTTTTGAATCTGAATAGCTTAAACAAAACAAGAGATCAAAGTAGAATATTGATTTTTAATCGTCCCGATCAAAAAGTATCTTTAAAAACTAAAGAACTTAACAAAACTGATCAAACTAGAATTGGTGATAAAGAAATATATGAATTGGAGAGTTCATCTGATCAAAAAGTCAACGATAGTGAAGAAAGTAATCTTCAAAAAGCAGTATTTGAATCAATTAAAGATAATAATAAAAATGCTAAGAACATCATTAATTTGAAACTTAAAGAGACAAGAATTGAAGCTGAAAAATTTAATGAGCAACAGTTGAAAACAGCAATTGAACAGTCCAAAAAAGAACTTTTCAAAATTAGACAAGAGCAACAAAATTTGCTTGAAGATAACGAAGAAAACGAGTTACCTTTTACTTTTAATTTTCCGAACTCTACTGCAAACATCAAAAATCTAGAAGCTAGGGATTTTTTAAAGCCAAAAGAATTTACCTTTGACAAAAGGTTTTTTCAAAATTCTTTATTGTTTGCCAACAATAAATCCGAAATGATTTTTGAAGATAAACATGATGATGAAAATAAAGATATCAAGCTCAAAAGTAAGGAAAATTTTAATATTATGAATAACGAAAGCTTAACTGACGATAATCAGCATAGTATTGAAGAAAAAAACAAAAAATATGATTTACCACTGGTTATTGAACCTTCCTGGTTTCAGCTGTCTCACATAAATCTAAATCTTAACTCTGAAAATAAAAATAAAAATCCGTACAAACTAACTCAATTGGCAGAAGATAAAAAGACTGAGGTCAATAATGAGTCTGAATTTACACCTGAATTAGTTCCTTATCAAGATATAAAGGAATATATAGAAAAGGATGAAAATGAGTCTCAACATGTAGATATTTTGGATAATATTGATTTCAAAAATGATGAAAGTGGTGATGATGATGATGATGATGATGATGATGATGATGATGATATTATCATTCTTGATAGTATTAAACAAGTTAATCGAATATTTGATGAAATCCAGCCAAAGCAATATACCCCCAAAAACGAATCTGTGTCAACTAAAAGTGGTAATTTAGGTAAAAAGGTTGTATTTGATAGTAATAATAAAAGCCAAAAAGAGCTAGAAGATATTTTACAATATGATTTTTTTGATAATGAAGAGCAAGATTTAATAGAAAACTTCTCAAAAGAAGATCAAGAGCATGAAAGATTTACAAGAGAGATCAACAAGAAGGCCAGTATTAATGGAAATAAATTAAATCTTGATGAAATCGAAATTCAACAAAATTTATTGGAACAAAAAAAAGGTCAACAAATGAGAGATTCTGATGAGGTTACAAGGGATATGATATGTGATATCCAGGAATTATTAAGACAGTTTGGAATTCCATATTTAGTTGCTCCGATGGAGGCTGAAGCTCAATGTGCTGAATTGATTAAATTGAAGCTAGTTGACGGAATAATCACAGACGATAGTGATGTTTTCTTGTTTGGAGGCGATAACATTTATCGCAACTTTTTTCATGATAAGAAATATGTTGAATTTTATGATATGTATTATATTTTGAATAAAGTTGGATTGAATAGAGAAAGATTAATTGAACTAGCATATTTATTGGGCAGTGATTATACAGAAGGAATTAAGGGTATTGGACCAGTAAATGCAATTGAAATTTTAGCAAATTTTGAAAATTTGGAACTTTTCAAAATTTGGTTTGAAAAAACAATTAAAAACCCTGATAGCATGACCAAAGATGATAATGATGTGAATTTTAAAAAAAGGTTATTGAAAAAACTCGTCAAAAATGAGACTATTCTTGATGGGAATTTTCCTGATTCAAAGGTTAAAGAAGCATACTTAAAACCAGAGGTTGACAAAGACAAAACAAAATTTGTGTGGGCAGATCCATATTTAGAGGGATTAAGGGAATTTTTAGAAGTTAAAGTTGGATGGAATAGAAGTAAAATTGATGAAATTCTACTACCTGTTATTAGGGAAATCAATAAAAAGAAGAAGAATGGACAAAGAAATATTGATGAATTTTTCTTGAGAAAAGAGATGCCAAGTAATAAAGCAGGAATTGGGAATGAAAAAGGAAGTAAGAGAATTAAAGAAGCAAGAAAAAAGTTGGTTAAAAAAAGAAAAATGTAATTGTTATTGCTATTACTGAGAGGTTATTGGAGAAGGATCTAAGGAATCGAAATTAAAACCAAAAATGGAGATGATATTTACCAAGTTAATTTTTTTTGTCGAAATTATTGGGTGGCATAATTTTATTGGCTATTGGTATAACACAGAAATATGAGTACCCACACCACAATATCGCTTCAGTTATTGACAATAGTGATACAGTTGTTCAGTAAAATAGAGGCATAAGATTAATTGTTGAAATTATTAGAGTTGACTGAGTTGTTTGGAAATAAGTTTGGCAAGCCATAGTGATTTAATTGAGCAGAGGAAGTTTTTGATTAATGATATTGGTAGTATCACTATTTGGGTTGTTGATTGGAATAAAGATTTTGCATTAAGTAAAGTTACTGTCTTGGGCTCTTCCTACATATGGACAGTGAAACCCAAACAGTCTAAAAAAAGCGTTTTTTCCGAGACTGAACAAGCTTTCCAGCTTTAGGATTATGTTTAGGTTTTTGTTGTTATAATTATAGTTATAGTTTCAAGTATTGAATTGAAAAGCCTGTTTATTCTGATTGAAGGTGTTTATGTTGTTCAAATTGTTGATTGTATTTAGGCTTTAGATATTTGATTGATATTTGATTATGTTGATTCTATAAAGATTATTGGAGCTGTAAGAGGTTGAAGTTGAAGTTGAGGTTTAGTTGTTGTCGTTTGTTGGTGTTTGAATGATGGCTAGATGGTAGCAGATTCCACCATGACCATAGGGTTTTCATGCTGTTCTCAAGTACAGGTATTCTTAAGAGATTCTTTATTCATTTTCACAAGAGAAACTTATAGAAATTCTGGATAAACTAATGATTAGTCATTACTACTAATTTTGGGAATTTGAGATTACGTCAAGAGTTTGGTTGTTGATATCTGAAGGGTTAATATCTAGCTGATTATAGGGGTGTGACTAGTTTTGGTTTGAAGAGAAGAGGTATTTGATACACTGGAAATTCGATTGGAGTTATTTGAAAAGAATTTTCTGTGATGTCTAGAGATAGAGGGTTTAAGGGAGTATGCAAATTATTTGAAGAGACGTGGTTTGAATTCAGATTATCATTATTTCCTAAAGTCCTTGGTGTTGATATTTAATTTAAAACCATGGCATAAAATTATGTCAATGGACACTACCAAGCTACAGATTATTGTTGTTAAAACTGGGGTGCGTTACAGTTGCATATAATATCGAATCCATAGGATACTGGGTTGCAATTCGATTCAATCAAGAGAACGTATCCCCGGCATGTAAATGAAATATGGATTGGCTGAACTAAGATTGAACTTGACATGCATTTTTTGAGTATCCACTAATTATTAGTGAAGGATTGCTGTTCAGTTGCACAAAAAGACAATATCCAGCAACTTTGGAAAAGAACGGCATATAAACATTTCTTAACAATATATCAACTGAAAACCATTGTTCTCTCATCCAAAATATTTATGTACCAAATATTAATATACCAAATATTATTTAGTGAATAATTAATAATCAAAGCTTTTGTGTCTCATACATAGCAAACAATGGTATCCCAAAGCTACAGTCAAGACAATAAAATTCTTCTCATTGATAATTCAATAAAGTGCCTAAATCAGTTGCTAAAACAAGGTCGAGCATTAAGTAATAATGAAAATATTAAAAAGTTATGAGTTCTTTGCTAGAGGAAGCAAATAAATTTAATATAAAATCTGCTATCATTTGCGACAGCACCAATATAAATAATCGTACGTTTTTTCATCTCTCCTAGTTTTTTATTTCCTTTGGAAAAAAACTTTTCATTTATCACCGATTATCATGAAGAATTAAATTCTATTGAATATCAAGATCGACAGAAGTTTTTACCTGCAGCATTTTTGTCTGTGAGGAATCATCTTTTTAAATATTTGTTTACTCGGCAAAATTCTTTAAAAGAAATAATAAATACCATAAATTTTTTATTTTCTGAATCGGACGACGCTAGATTGTAAAAACAGTCGTAATAATAGGTTTGTTGTGTTAGTAGAATTAGTGTTAGTTATGGTCAATATAGTAGTAAAATTATACATCATCCAATAATTTGAATTCATCTATGTTTAAGAGCCCAACAGATTCATCATGCTTACTATTCAGTAAAGCAGATGAAAAAGAAAATGGTTGATTCAAATCCCTAACATGAAAATGAAAGCTTCAATATCGAATAATGTTAGTGAACACATACCAAAAGGTTTTATGTAGCATGAGAAATCCAGACATTTTATAATCATTAATATACGATTTTATTGGTAAACAACCAAAGACCATTATTTCCAACATATATATAATCTAAACATATCAAACTCAGGTTTATGAGAAATAGGTTGGAGGAGATAGATATAAAAGTGCACAACCACGTGTTAATCTGCGGGTTAAATCATAAAAACGGCTTCTTGCAGTATTATGCATAGTATTTAGCCGAGGATAAATGTGTCACTTAGACCCTGAGTGTTTTTAAACTTTTCAAGCAATAATCTGGCTTTTTCATTACTAAAAGTAGAATTATTTGAAATTGTGCTTAGTGCATTAATGCAAGTTGCAAAATCACTTCTCAAAGATATTGGTTTGGCTCCAAGAACAATCTCATCAATCAAATTGCAAGCAAAATTAATCAAAAACTCATCTTTGGCTAATATGGATTTGGATAAAGGACCATCTAAATCAGATGCAGAAATAAGACCCATGTTTAAAAATTTTTTCATTAATTTAATATTATATTTTCTTGAATCATCTGAATTCACTAATTTTATCCAACCATAAGATATCTATTTTATGCCAAAGATCGTCTACTATTATCTGGAAAATTAATAAAAACAAATTAGTGTCCTATTACGATCTTTTTGAAGATATTAATTTGTATTTTAATAAAGTAGAAAATGTTCAATTATGGTTTGAGAAAAATTAAAATCAATAATTGATTTGTGTTGAATTTGATAGAGATAATGCGGCTTTCAAAGATGATGAAGCTTTGAAATATATTTTTGACAAGTACCATAAATATATAGATGTGTACAATAACAATTGTTTATTGAAGCAGTAAAGGAACATTGAAAATAGATTCCATAGGGTCTGAAAACTTACATGGAAGATTCATTTGATGGAAATATATAAAAATATTATGAAAAAGATATAACCAAAATTAAAGAATTATCAAATGATATAATATTGGGAAAAGGACTAAAAGAAGAGAGAAAGTTGATGAATTTGAGAAAGGAATGTTAATTTATAGCATTGTAAAGCATAAAAATAACTTTTTCCATGGTGATTTCAAACCTGATAATATATTAATTAATGATAAAGATCAAATTAAAATCATAGATTTTGAAAGAGAAATATCTGAAATATACAATTCAGACTGGATATTTGATAAAGAATCTGATTGTGTTTGCTTAAAGAGGATTACAAATGAACTCAGTAATACTAAACAACTAGCAAAATAATTATTAAAGCTGATTCTGTAGCCCCATTTTTACAATATTCAAACATTACACTGTTATCTGATCTAGTTTTCTTTATTTCATATTTTTATTTTCATTTTAATATATTCTTGTGGCAGTTTAGTGTTGACATATTGGTGTTAATGCTGTCAATGCTATTAATGCTGTTATTGGTGTCTTTGTTGAATAATATCAGAATCGAATTTAATTCAATCTGATTAATTGTTAGCCTATCATTTTTCAAATAATTGTGAAGTTTCTTTTACTGTTATAGATTTCCAGAATATTCAATCATCTACCTTTGTTGCGTCATGTAATTTGAATATTAAATTTTATATCCAAATTATGTAATTCTGTTTTGTTTTAGTGTGAATATTACAATCTTGATATAAATCAGCCTAAAATCACATAATTGATAAATTCAATTATATCGTTTAGAAAACTTGAATTTAAATTATTTTTCTAATTGTTTTCCGAATTTTTTCCATTAGTGCTTATCAATAAATCAAAAAATACTTCATTAATTTTATTATTTTTCAATCGTGGCTGGATGATAGTGACAAAACACCTAATCAACTGGCTTAAAACTAAAAGCTTGATCTATAATGAATACTTATTGTTTTCAAAAACGGCGATTCTGCTACAACCAGAAACAAGCAACAAATTTCAATTAAGAGGATAATAAATAATTAACTCAATTAACGATTTAGTTGGCTACATCACTACAAAACCCTCTTAAGTTTATCTTAATAAATAGTTGTACCTTTTGCTCTTCATTTAGCTCTGCAGAAACAATAAATTTATCCGTTATTTTGGAAAGAATCGCCAAAGAATCAAAGAAAAAAATCCCTAGAGACAGCAAATGCCAAACAATTTCACTCATAATATACATTCATTAAACTATATATACACTGTGTTTGAACTGAAAGATGTCACCACTCCAGGCAAAGCTAAAACAAATTCTAATGAAAAAAAACTTATCTAAAACAAAAATTAACCATAATCGAAATAAGCAAGCAAGAAAAAACGTTAAAAAACAGATCCTTGTGCTGTTGAGCAATAACTAAACACTGACCTGGGTTTTTTTGATGTGGGTAATGAAAGTTGTAAAGACTTTCTCAACTTCAGGAATCAACTTAATGAAAGGTAGTTCATTGAACTTGATGTCTTTATTTCTCAACAATTCTGAAAACAAAAACGAAATGCCCCAAGGTTGAGGCTTGTTTGCAATCATTCTTTCTAGCAACACACGAGAAACCACTTGCTGAATATTCTCTTTTTTCTCTTTAAAATTGGTTTTGAACAACAACAATAGTAGATTTGTAAACCAATAAGTATGAGCATTTGGATACCTTAATTGATTACATATTGCAGAAATAACCTGATATTGGGTTTCAATATTAGTTTCTTGAATAATATTTGAAATTAGAGCAACATGAGAGGATTTGGGATTAAACTTGATTTCATTGTCACGACGTTCATCAACCTCCACAATACCCACATACAAAACAATTGCATTGATGATTCTGATATTAACGGATGTAGTATTATAACCAATTCCAGATTCTTTCGCCTCACTTTTGATTTTGATTCCATTCAACACATTCTTTAGCAAAGAGTTAGAAGGAACCCTAAGATAATTGTCAATTGGCTTTTTCAATCCTTGCTTCAATAAATCAGTTGAAGGCTCAATTTCAATGTTTGGAATATCTTTGTTATACTCAATTAGATCATATGCACGCATGTCCTCAATAGAAAATGGATCGACCAATCGCAATCCACTTGGAACAGCTGAAAAAACAATGTTTTTCAACTGGATAAAACTGCTAGGGATGGAATATGACAATGGGTAGTGATACTCTATTAAAAATTCGGGATAGTCATGCAAAATCAAACTAAAGATATTTGTAAGACCTCTGCAGCTAGTAGCAATATCTTCAGGAATTTCTTTGCCTTTGATATGTTCATTCTGGAAACGCAACAACGAAATTATTAACGTGATAATTTTTTTCCATCCAGCTTTGTTTGGAAACTCAATCATAGTTGGTAAAAAGAATCTGTGGGATATTAAAGATATCCATCCAAATAAAAATGCAGGAAACATTAAAGGCTGATAAGAATTGAAAACATCCCCCAAGTACAAAAACATCTCCATATCGAATTTAAGAAACTCTTCACGAAATTCATCATCTTTTAGATCTTTAATTGAAACCCTGATATCTGTCCACTCGCTCAAAATTCCAGAAAACAATCTAAAGTAAGGTCTTTCGTTAAAAGTTGAGTTATTTTCATGATCATAAGCAAACTGTAAAGATATAATTGAAATAACCTGTTTCAAAAAAATCATTCTATTGCTACCACTATTTTTACCATCTAAACCACTGCTTTCTTGAAGATAAATCAACTTTACAATCAATTTTGCTAAAGCATCTGTAACAGCAAAAACGTCATTGCTGGTTTTGTCTTTGTTATTGATATCAGTATCTCTCAAAAAAGAAACAACTGAAAATTCTACAGCAGTTCTGAAAAATAAAGCCATATAGTCTGGTTTATTAAATATGTTACGTTGAAACATTTGGATTATAAATGTGTTTAATAATTTCTCAGTGGTTAGCGGGTTTTGATTTAATCGAACCCACTCACCAAAAACATACTTCAATGACAACTTCAAGGAAATTTTGGAATCCATAACACAAAGTGCAGGGCCTTGAGTATTTTTAAACTTTTCAAGCAATAATCTGGCTTTTTCATTACTAAAAGTAGAATTATTTGAAATTGTGCTTAGTGCATTAATGCAAGTTGCAAAATCACTTCTCAAAGATATTGGTTTGGCTCCAAGAACAATCTCATCAATCAAATTGCAAGCAAAATTAATCAAAAACTCATCTTTGGCTAATATGGATTTGGATAAAGGACCATCTAAATCAGATGCAGAAATAAGACCCATGTTTAAAAATTTTTTCATTAATTTAATATTATATTTTCTTGAATCATCTGAATTCACAATCCACCAAGTAACATCTCTACCAGTTATAGGAAATGCCTCACAAATTTTATCTAAAATAAAGAACAAAGTTTCAGTGAAAAGTGAATCTTCAGGATTTTCGAGAATCTTGCTAACGACATGTTGGGCAACTTTAGTGGGAAATTGATTTTTAAATAAATGTTTAAAAGAACCGCAGGTGAACAAAATGGCATTTATTTTTAACGTAAACACATTGTTGCTAACCAAATCGATAAAAGAAACATCCAAATTTTTCACTGAGTTAATCAAGCTGTCAATGTTACTGTTTAATGTTATTAGTCTTTCATTGACAGTATTCTGTGAATCAATAATAGGATTTTGAGAACTAGAAACGGAAGAAAATCCTGTTTGAACATTTACCGAATTTGAAGGATCATTATTTGAGTTTGGGTAAGTGTCAAATATTGGAATACCATTAACAATCTTTTTGACCACTTGGGGTGAACTGCGCACCGCATTATCAAGCTGATTTTGAATTGCCACAACAGGCCTTTTCCCAAAATTATCATAAACCAAAAGTTGTTGTGGGGTTAGCCCTCCAATCTTCAATCCTAAAGGGGATGGTAATTCGATAGAGTATGATGAAGCAACAGGTGAATAAAACTCTTGATTAGGATTCTCCAGACGATGTTTTCTGCGAAGAAGAACTTGTTGCATAATTTTCAAATCAATTTCATGAACAGCCATGTACATTGCAGCATTTTGAACAATTTCCAATGCACCATCAAGATTGTCCACAATTGCAAGATTCAAATCATTAAGGTGTTCTTGATTAATATATTGGAAAGCAAAATTTTTTATTTTATCAATCAATATTTCTCGGCAAGTAGGTCTAATATACTGTCTAACAAGGGATTTGACATGATTATGAGCAGAAGCAACTAATTTTGTTTCATTAACCTCAAGTGAAAAATCTTTCTCGACAAGTGTTGAAGAACTTCTAACACATGTGGCTACCGTTCTATCAAGACAAGTAGATATGCAATCTCCAATCACATTCTTAAGAACATTTTGAAAGAAAGCCCTGAATTCAGGCACATTTGCAAACGTTGACTGGCCAGCTAATGAATTTAAATAAGCCTCCAAAAAGGGAGTAATATATAAAAGTAGATTCTCAGATGTCATACCTTCTTCAGCAATACCAGATTGATTAACATTTGAGACAAGTACTTGTTGTGAAAATGACATTTCATCTGAAACTTGTCCATTAAACTGCTGATTTGATACTTGAGTATCAAAACCTTGTTGAGGTTGTCCAGGCAACTGAGATTGATTAACAACTTCAGCTTCACTTGGATACTCGATATGAGGCTGGTTTGGTTGTTGAATTTCCTTCTTTTGAGATGATACTAAAGTAGAAGTAGAAGAGTTAGATCTAGATGCTTTCGCAAGAATACTTCGTTCAATAGTTGTTCTAGCCATATCTCTTGCAACATTCAAAAGCTTTTCTTTGTGATTTAACTGTTCTTGAATTTCATTAGTTAGAATTTTAGAAGGGACAATATTTTCTAATTTTAAGGAAAGCTCATTGCATAAAACTTCAATTTCAAATTTGAGATTTAAAATCAAATTTGCTGTTTCATATAATTCTGCTAGAACTTTTATTATACCAAGAGTCCAAGGATTAGGGGGTTTGAAAATTTCGGAATGTTTTGTTTGAATTAACACTTTACAAACAAAGGGTATAACAAAATCTAGTTTTTTTTTAAAGTAACCTTCAACCAACAAGTCTTTAAATTCAATATTTTTGTATAAAATGACTCTATTTTTTGAAAAAGATAAACGTCCAACCCATGAACCCAAATTTTTCAAGCGACTCTTCCCATTTTCTTCCCCGCGGTTCAAAAAAATAACTATTCGCTGAAAAGTGATCATCAAGACATGATTTTCAAATAAATTGGACTTCATTTCATCAACTATCTGGTGATATAGAGGATGATTGTTTGCTTCTGTTTCAATTCTGTCTTTAATCAAATAATTCGAAAACCAACCATAATATTTATCCACCAAAAGACTTTTAATATCAGGCATCTTGGTATCAAAATTAGAGAAAGTAATATTATTAAGGATAAATAAGAGTTTATCCGAAATATCATGGTCAGGATTCTCTTGAAAAACATCATTTTCAACCACCGAGGTAGCTTTAACAGATTTGAAAATTATATTACCATTGCTTTGAGAGTTTCCAGAGGAGTTCCCATCATTAGAGTTCATTTTTAGCTTTCCAGTAACAACATTCTCAATAACTTTGTAAATTTCTGGTTGAGTTGAAAGATTAGAAGATTGTAAAAGGAAATTACAGTATGAAGGCCATTCTACAAGTCTATTTTTGCATACTGTCAAAGCCTGCACAGCAAATTTAAACTTATTAGATTCAATGTGGTCCTTGGAAGATTCCAAAATATATTGTAAGCAAATTGTTAGAGTAAGACCTTGAATAATTTGAAAATGAATTAATGAGCCAAACAAAAGAGAAGTTAATTTTAGAGGTGTCATTGGATAAGAAGGAAAAAATTTATACTCATCTAATAGAGAATGAATGATGCACGCAAATAAATCCTGTTCAGCAGGATTATCTGATTCCTTATATTTTCCTAAGACTAAAACTAAATCTCTAACACCAGTGACTTTGTCATATAGTTGAACAAAATAGCTTTTCATTTTGGCTTCAGTTTCTTCAACAAATAAATTAGTAGGTGATTCAGCAGCACTTTTCAATATCGCATCATCATGTCCATTTCCAAAATTGATCAATCTAGGATAAGTATCAATACATTTTTTTTTGATGATATCTAATTTTTCTCCTGCATCAGGTAGGCCAGTTGCTAGCTTGTCTAACAACTTTAAAAAAAAACTGAGTATTTGAAGGGGCAAAATAGAATTGGAATTTAAGATGGTAGAGTTCTTTTGTTGGTTATTAGCCTTTTGTTCCAAGAATGACCAAATGTGATTGAAAATGAAGCTCTTGAAATCCTGAATGGAAAGAGCACTTAAGGGAATCGGAAGTGGTTTTTCAGAAACAATTCTATCAATTATATCAGTGGTGAAAAATTTCTCGATCAACTTTGTTTCACCGTCCTGTGCAACAAATTCAGACGAAAAAGTCAAACAAAGAGGGAATTGTAATGGCCAGATATAGCTTAAAAAGGGAATCATGTAATTCGAATCTTTTAAAAGCAAAGTGATTTTGATTATCGAAGCGGGATCTTTGTTTCTTTGAGAAATTTCAAAAACCAAAGAAATAAAGTGATTAAAATTTTGATCAAGAGAAGCATATTTTTTTGCAATTAGGGTTAATAAACCAAGTGAATTAGAAGTTGTCAACAAATGGGCAATAATGCTGTCTATTACGTCCACAACAATTGGCAAATTCTGAAATTTCTCAATATCGAGGGCAGCAAGAGCAATATATTCGGGGGCATCTCGTAAATCATTTTCAAACAATTTCGTTGAGGGGTCAGTTTTTCCAGTAATTGAAATTATCTTGAGATAAAACTTGGATATGTTTAAATAGTAACATAAAGAATTTTTTTCATTTTTAAAGTTGGAGATAGTGGAAGGAGAAAAGCCACCAACTTCATCGTTTGATCCATCGTCAAAAGTTTGAAAAACAGTTTTCAAGTTTGTGCATTTAAAAAAATTAAAGGCGCCTTCAGCTGGAGACAAATAGTGCATGTAATTGAAAATTAAATATCTCAAGTGGTTGTTGATTGTATCTAAAGTGGCTAGCTTGACGAAAAATAAATCAATGATTTCATCAGATACTAGAGAGGATAAAAAGTTGCAAATAGAGGCGACTGAAGGTTGATAATTGACATAGCTGATTTCTTTTAAATAGTTTGTTAAAATCAAGTCCAAAATGGAATTCCAATCGGGTTTTATTTGATTTATTTGAATATTTTCAGAATTTGTGGAGGATAAATATAGATTTTGAAATAAAAGTTTCAACTGAGAGCCGATTGCCATTGATTCAGGGACAGATAGTGGAGTTAAAGAAGTTAGGCCATCTGGATTTGAGTTTGTTAGTCTTTGAGATTTTGGAACCAAGACTTCAGATAGAATAATGGCAATGGCCTGGTCGAATTTTAATTGATCATTTAAATCTTTTTGAACAAACAATAGATTATTTAACAACTTATCAGGAGTTAATAGTTCTGGGGGTATGTTTGAGATTTTATCTTTGAAGGGAATTGATAAGCTTGAAATTATTGGATTCTTCTTCAAGTAAGCATTTAGAATTGAGTTTAAGGTTTCTAGAAAAAATTTAATATTTTGAGAATTTAAGAAAGTGAGTTTGAAGTTGATGTAGTAAAATATGATCAAAACGTCAGATAAGTGGGGGAAAATGATTATATCGGAATCAGTTTTCAAGTATGAAGAGGAGGATATTGAGCATAGCAAACGAAACAAGTCAATAAGAACCTGGGGGTTATTTAGATTATGAAATCTATAGGATTTGTCTTTTAAGCATTCCAAAATGGAAGGTAAGTATTTGATTAAGGATTGAGCGGATTGTTCAAGAAGGATGGGATCTAATTTTTTTTGTTGATTATTGTCAAAGGCATCAATGCCGAAATCATTGTTATGGGATAAAGTGTTTAAGTTTGTATGAAAAGTTAAAGATAATAAGAACTTTTGATAATTGTCTAATTGGAAGTGGTGTAAAAAGGTCTCCCAAGTGAATTGTGATAAAAAATTATTCTCAATTTGAACGGCGAGAAAGAATTTTTTTAAGTTGATAGGATTTTCGGTAATCAAATTCAATTCTTGGAAGATTAACTTTTCAAGAGGAGATTTAAAGTTGAATGAAGCATTAGGATTAGAAATGTAATTATTATTATTATTATTATTATTATTATTATTATTATTATTATTATTATTATTATTATTTGATTGATTATTAGCAGAAGAGATTTCGGTAGAAGAATGATTGATTAAGTGGCGTAAATAAGTAGCATAGACTTCTGGTGGATTGGATTGAGATAAATGGCAAATTTGCCTTACTGTAGAGTCCCAGGTTTCGTCATTAATGGATGAAGCCAACAAGAATAGCTGAGCGCTTATTGTAGAAATTAGGTCTAAAGAATTTTGAGATAGCGATTGATTGGAATTATTGGATAAGTTTTTATTTTGGTTTGGTAAAACCGCTGTTTGAAGTAAAGAGTTAATATTGATAGGAGTGGATGAAGCCGACCTATTACTGCTGCTGTTGTTATTATTATTATTGTTGTTGTTGTTATTATTGATATTATTATTGATGTTGATGTTGGGATTAGCGCCCTTCAGCGCAGAATTAATTTGTTGAGACAGTTTTGAAAGATTACTAATATAAATTTACAGAATAGTAAAATCAATAAATGATTTAGAAAAATAGAGATAGATCTATGAAAATAATATGGAGGTGTATGGAACGCCACGTAAAACAGGATCTAGGAATACAAACTGTATGGATGGAGCAAAACAGGAGAAAAAAAAGGAAAGGTATCAAAGAAGAAGGAAGAATCAATGGATTAGATGCTTGCTTTTCAATGGGAGTGAAGATGTGCTGCTGGTTGGATGGATTTCGCGAGAAAAGGAGAGGAAGGAAAAGAAGCAGAAGGCAAAGATAAAGCAGAGGAAAACAGTCAATAGGGATTAAATTTTTGCTTCGAAGACACGTGATTGGCTCTGCAGCTCAGACCCGCAGCCACAGGCAGGTTTCACGGTTAGAGCAAGTAGAGAGGTGCTGGTTGGCGCGTACTGGTGCGTGTGGTTTAGGGCTGGGGAGCGTCGTTATGGCTTTGTGGCGCTGCTTCGAGGTTGGGCTTTGCCTCTTCGGGCTCGGCCGTGTCTTCGGTTTCGTTCTCGTTTCCGTTTTCGTTCTCGTTTCCGTTTTCGTTCTCGTTCTCGTTGTCGTTGACGTCCCCTTGGTTGTTGAGACTCTCTTCCTGCTCTTCAATGGAGTCTTGCAAATCCTCATCGACATCGATTTCGTTTAACTCGTCGTCAATAAAGAGCTCTTCCACGGTTTGTAGATCTTCCTCAATGTACTTTTCGTTTTCTAGTTTCAGAATCTGCTCTTTGATCACAATCTCGTTCAACTGCTTCAATTCCTCCACTGGTTTGTTGATCTTCAAACTTTTGTAGAACTTGTCAATGCAGGAGTTTGAATTGCCAAAAATATTTCTGTTTTGGTAGTTGGTATTGCTTCTCAATAGGTTATACAAATCTTCTGCGTCCAACTCCTCGTCAATAGAGTCATTTAAATCTTCATACAAATTCCAGTTTGAATTCAATTTGGGATCACAGTAGCAGTTGTTCTGCACGTACAAGCTTTTTCTATTGCTATTCTCCCCACTGCTATTCAGTTCATCGTCAACAATTGCCAATGGACAGTTGTTTTTATTGTCTTTAAGGTTGTAGTATCCTAGTGGTATGCCAGAGTGCTGGTCAAGAAACAAGAAATCTTTTTTAAAATCGAGTACCAACGACATGATTATGGTTCTGATGATATAATCAGGCCAGTTATTGTAGTAAATACCACCGTTGGTATCAAAAAGATCAAATAATTTGCAATATTTCTCGCTTCTTAAAAAGTTCAAGTCTGCAATTTCATTTCCCGTGTAAAACACGCAATCGTTATAGTCTCCCTTTAAAATATTGTCATCAGTATCACTAACAAACCTCAACAAATTGCTATGAAAGCTGGTCAAACTTTTGAATTCTCTCTTATTATTCTGCTTCAAATCATTTAAATATTTGAGTGTCACATTCCATATTTTTTCCGACATGTATTTGTCAGCAGTATCTATCAAGCTGATTGCAAACTTGTAGCTGCCCTTTTCAAATTCCTTTAATATATCATACTCTTGGATATCGCACTGCAATTGGATATTGGGTTCGATTCTCCAATACGAAGAATAGTTCAACAAAGGCTCAATGTTGTAGAACAAACCCGAATAAAAGCGAGACATGTGCTTGAAACTATCAGTGTTGGTTCTTTTGATATTTGGGAATAAATTGGCTTTCTTTCGCAAAGCTATTCTTGATTTTTTGGCCAAGTTCTTGTCCACATGGTTGGGTATCACCCAATACTGTCTTTTGTTCAAATGGTAAAAAATCACTTTTCCTGAACAGTAGGAGGCCACGATTTTCTTAAAATTGGCCGTAAACCCTCTGTCTGTCACAATCACCCAGTCGTAATTGTAATATTTGTTGAAACGGTTTTCAACAGAAATAATTGAGGAGACTAGTCCAATTATGTCGTTGTTTCTCACTAGTGAAAACAACGTCGCATTTGCTTTCACATAGCCTGGATAGTAGACATTCCTCAACGGCGATACTGGCTCAAAAATCACATATTTGTTGTCTCCATAAACATCAGTCTCCCTCTTCTGGACCCCAAAATGAGTGGTGATAATTTTTGTGGTGCGATTGAAATTAAACTGCTCGCTAAACTGCTGTATATTGTCCTGGTCTCGATTGTACTTGACGGTTATATCACTCTGGGTCGTGGCATTGCTGAGAGACAAACTGTACTTGGTGGTATTGCTGGAGAACGCACTGAACTTGTACAACAACACCACCGATAGCGATACGATTGCAAACAACTGTATTTGCCTAAGTCTTCGTGAGTTCATGCTGGATCAATGCAGTATCTCTCCCTCTGCCAGACATCTAAACCACCTTTCTCTGAGCTTCTTATCGTCCTTGTTTCCAGCTTCAAATCCACCTCAAACAGGGCTTCGCGCCCGTTCCACGTGCCCTCCTTCCGGCCCTGTGACAGTGGGACTCTTTGCTCTGTAGATCATCAGCACAGTTTACTCCCTCCTCTTTGCTTTATCCAGATAGCTTGTTGAATCTTGGGCTCTACATGGCTGTTGATTTCATAGATTAATTGTTTTCAATCTGGTAGAAGCACTTTAGTGGTGAGATCCAAATACTTCCATGCTAATAACTCAGGAAGAACAGTTGCATCTCAAGATCATCACAGAGCATCATCTTGAAAATAGTTGTAAAGGTGGTTTTGGAAGGTGTTTTCTACCCAACAGTAATCATAACTGAAGAGTCATAAATAACAATAGAAACTCATAAAAATCGTTTAAAAAACCTGAAACACTTAAATGAAAAATTAGTTTTTAACCCCAAAATTTATTAGAATGAGTCAAATTTTAGATTGGGTAATAGGAAATTGAAAATTTATTTCTTATAATATTCAATTAATTTATCTGATCAGAGTGAAATTTAGCAGAAAACAGCATCTGTCAAAAATCCAAATAGTCTCTACATAAATTTCAATTTTTATTAAGATATTCATCCATTGGTTTTGGTATAAAATTTAAATCATTTTTTATTACAACACAATGCAGCACAGAACAATAGAATTAGCAATTAGAAAATAAAAAATCTAGAATAAATCATAAAATAAAAAAAAAACTGTTTAAGAGATGAAACAAATAAACTTGAATTGCAAAAACTATAATTTCTCAGATATATTATAAATATTATTTGATAATTATGCTAGATCTTATTATTTTAATTTGATTTTAGTTGTGCTCTTTATTCAATTAATTTATTATAAATTAAATTAAACTAAACGGCAATCAGATTTCACCTAAAATGTGATGAAGATAATTTTTGGAAACTCTAAAAGGTTATAAATTGAGTTCACAGTTAATTTTTCAGCTTAATATTTAAGGACATTATCAGCTTTTATAGATATAAAAAAAATGGTGTATAGACTGGTGTGTAATGATAATGAACGCTTTGGATTGAAACTGGTAAACTGTAACTTGTGCTGTGTGTTTTATTGAAATAGGTGAAATTTTGTGAAAAATAATCCAAAAGCAATAATTTTTATCACTANATTGAAGAAAAATAAGATAACATTGATAGAGAAGCCTGAAACGCAAATTAAATTTTATATTAATAACATATATTTTATTTTTGTTGATATATTATACCATTCGAGAATGAGCAAATTATCTTTAGTTGCTTTCACAATAGCAACAAAACCTTTAACAAAACCCGAAAAAACATTTCTATAAAATAAGGTAGTGAGACCNGACTTATTACTCGAAACGGCAGCTGTTATAATCTGCATGTACAGGTGGATAACACCGGCAATCCAACTCATTGCAGCTTCATTGCTTTTATGTATAAAACAAAACTGTTTAACATTGTTGATATAAATAGAAGCTTGAGTCGTTGACTGAAAATGCTATAAACAATAAGAAGTGAAAAGAAAAGTCAATTATAGCTTACAAACATGCACTTTTTCAATTTCTGGAACAATAATATTCAATATAATTCCAATATACTGGATGACTTACCCAATGTATTGGATGGTTTGCCGATTTTTATTGTTCAGCGTATGTTATATGATATACCAATTGACAAAGTAGTTTCTTTCACATTATCAAACAACCCATTACTAAAAATAAGTGCATATTCTGTACTTTTCGATACAGTTGAAATCATTGGTGAAAGATTATCATCAAAATATGTGACAGTCATAAGAAGTCAATGTCTCCCACAATTAAAACAGCATTTAGTTTTACAAATTAATAATGCTTCATTATTCAGAAACGAATTGAGATGGTATACAAAGCAGTTGATTGTGTATACTACAATAGAATCAAATTTATTGAGCAAAGCTAAGTTCAGACTTCCTACAGTGTTTGAATCTTTACAGCAAACGACTCTATTGATATTTTTTGAAACTAGATGCCCAAATGAGATTTCTATTGTTGAATTCGATGTTACAGATACCATGAAATATTACAAGTTGCTATTTCCATCCGATCAAAGCAAATGGCAAATATCTCGGACCTTAACAAAAAAAGTACAAGATGACCACAAGTATAAATTATTTATATTTGAGCGAATTAAATCAAAAACAAATCCCTATTGTTNACAACATATTACAAAGCAATTAAACATCTCCAAACAATTTGGGAGCTCTATATTGTTGAATTTGAAGCATCTATGTTTGTTTGGTCTAAATATTTGGTCAATTACTCAATTACCACTTCTAATAAGCTTGAATTCACTTGATCTTTCCAGCAATTGTCTAAATATGCTCACTGATTTGAACAATTTGTGCAATTTGGTTGACTTAAATTTGTCCAATAATCAATTCAGCATCTTTCCTGATTTAGAGCCATGTCTCAATTTGTTGAATCTTGATTTATCATTCAATAAATTAAGTGTTTTTTCAAACGTTTGTTTATACAATTTGAAATCATTGTTATTGACATACAAAAACATTAACAGAATTGATAATTCCAATACACTCCCAAAGTTATTAAAACTTGATTTAGAGAATAATAAACTATCCAGTACTGATAACTTGGAGCAGTTTCCTTTATCAAGTTGGTTGAATATTCAAAGAAATATCATATCTAGTATTACTAATATAGGCTTTCCTGAAAACTTGTAGGTTATCTATTCGGAAAACGAAATTGCAGATTCAATAAGATTTCAAGAAAGATTAGCAAACTTAAAATCATTGAAAATGCGTTTGGAGATCCCAGATAAAATTATAAAATTCCCAACATGGATTGACTTAGTTTTATTGAACTTGACAATACATCTGAAAGAAAATCTAACTCGATACGGTAGTTTTCCAAAATTTGACCAATCTAAAAAAATTAACTGTATTTACTGTTGATATTAAAGATTTCAAAATTCCAGAACAGTGGGGTAATTTGAAATTTGTAAGAATTCATTGTGATGAACCTATCCAAAGTTTAGATTTGACGAATTTGTCAAAAATAAAAACGTTGTATCTATGGGGCAATCACATTAAAAAAACAATAAAAACACAAGCGTTGAAATCGTCAGCTGATACAGATCATAATCTAAGTAGACCCTCCGAAACTAATAATTCCAATCAAATTAGTAAGGTATTAAGGTTGAATTTAAGTTGGAATAGGATTCGCAAAATGGAAAATTTTGAAGATTTAATAGCTTGAAATCACTAAAGAAGCTAAATTTAGAATCGAATCAAATAAAAAAAATTGAAAATTTAAATAATCAACATAATTTAGAAGTGTTAAACCTTTTATGTAACCAAATTTTTAAACTAGAAAGCTTATCTGGGTTAACAAATTTGAAAAGACTAGATTTATTGGAAGACTGTATCACAAAAATTGAGAGATGTGAAAGATTAAAAGAATTAGGAGAATTGAATAGAGAAGGGAATTGAATAGAGAGGGGAATAGAATTGAAAAGCTAACCAATGATCTAGGTCCAAAATTCGAATTTCGGAATAATGCATCTAACCGAGAAACTACCGAAAAACCTGAAAAACCTGAAAAACCTGAAAAACCTGATAATATGAGAAAATCTGTGTACTATGAAAATAGAATCACATATTCCGAGGGCTTAAAAAACCTTCCAAAGAGATGCCAAAAAATTGATGAAGCTCCAAATGTTAATAAATTTTCGGTCAACAGTTTATCAATTCTCGAAGCTTTGTGTGAACCATGAAATTTACAATCTCTTTCCCTTTTTAATCTGTTATATTTTTAGTCTGTTATTGTGTTNGCGAGATATTCCATCTTCAAAGCCTGGATTCTTCTATTTATTTATTTTTAGTCATTTTTATCAAATGCAATTCTAATCTTCAAGTGGCAAACCCGATCCAACTCTATCCAATTCTAGAAGTGGCCACAACAAAAGCAAATCCACATCAGCTCTCATCGTATGGCCAATTTGGGAATGGCCACTTTTGTCATGTTGTGGGCTCTTTCCTAATTGGTTTCAGCATCTGGGCTGGATCCTGCAGCTATCACCTAGAATACACTTTACTTGTTGCAGAATACTGCAGAATTCTGCTGCAGAAGCTATTTCTAGTTGGTCGATCCATGCGATGTGCTCAACCATGCAGTGAAAACGCTACTTCAATATATCAATCGTTGATAATTTTCAAATTTGGTATAAATAATCAAAATTATTTAATGAATAAATGGAAAGATATAAAAAAATTCAAATGGAGCCAAATGTTTCAACAAACTAAATTTAAAATACCAATTCGATTAAAAAAAACCACGAATCAGGCAAATCCTGTTATCGCAAAAGATTTCAAAATTCCATTTTTCAATCTTTAATACATCATTAATGGACTGGATTCAAAGAAACATCTTCCCAAAAAATGCCCTTAATAAATTACTAAATGAACTTTCATTTTCAATTTTTCTTTTATTCTTTTATACGGTGCTATTAGAGACATCAAGTTTACTTATTGATTTTCCATTTAAAAAATTTGTAAACTTTAAATTTGAGATCGCTGATTCATGTGGGTTTTATTCAAATTTAGAAAAATCTGAAATTATTCTATTTTTCCCAGATATGAATCATTATGAATTCAAATTTGATGGTTCTTCTACCCCTCCGTTCCAACTTTTAAACAAAGAATTTGAAAACATTCGACAATTATTTGCTGGTTTAGATTCTCACGAGCATTTTAGGTATAACTTTACACTAGCCGTTAAAAATGCAATTTATATTACTGATTGTATCGGTGCTAATTATCACACATTAAACAAAGATGTTGGTATTGTGGAATCAGCTTTGGATGGTTTTGGCTGGATGAAACTTTTTACGCAATTGGATGCCGTCGAATTGTTGAAAGAACCAGGAGTAATTGATATTAAAAGAATGAGAGAGCTTCTTGATCTTCACGCTGAGCTGGAGAAGTGGGTGTTTTGTCACCACTTTTTCTCAACTCGACTCAATTATATCAATGGGGTTGATGATGCTAACTCCTAGGGGAAAGTTCAAATTAACTCAAATTCAAACCTCTGATTGTTTTTCTAATTTTTCTTTTATTTAATGTTTTATCATCAAACCCGTTATAAGACCGAATTAATTTTATATCTAAAATCATGTCATATATTATAAGGTGAAGTGGAACAATATTCTTCTCAAACAGATGTATGCTTGTTCTTTTTCTTACTTTTGTCTTTGGCGTTCAACAGGCTTTGATGAAGATAGCGAAAATCGTCAATGCTATCTTCTTTAAAATTTTCTTTAAAATTCATGTTACCATGGTCTTCAGCGTGTTTTTTCGGTAGCCAAAAGCAAATTATTCAAATTATTGTTGGGAAATTCTTCTTCGTTATCGCTTTGCTCTTCAATGATAGAACCTTTGCTAACTTGTTTATCATTCTTGGATAAAGAAAGCTTTGTTCTTGGTTTAGCTGGAAAATTGTATAAATGGGCCTGTGTTGCCGATGACGAGGTTTTCTTCTGATACACTACTAGAGCTGCTATTATTGGAATCTGAATTGGTAATATCACTAGTATTGGAGTTGGAAGCCCGGAAAAACCCCTCATAAATGGGATAGTGTAGCGGAGCTGGTGATGCGGCCCAGCTCAAAGCTCCGAGCACGCGCTTAACTATGGTGCTGGCGAGAGCCAATTGAATTCCGCCTTTTTTTAATCAATCAATCTCTAATTGAATTTCGTTTGTGAAAAACCATCTTCTACTTCTCCAGCATCTAGCTGATAGTACTCTCTTGGATTTGTTTTATCCACTTTGATCTGTTGATTCTCTCTTGATCTCCTCCCAAAGCATTTCAATTCCATCACTTGGAGCAAAGCGTTGCTTTTATTCAATATTCCACGCTCAGCGATAGTTTTTCGATATATTCAATATTCCCATTTCTCAACTCTCCGATACAATATCTACAGCAATTTATTTTTTTTATTTTCATTTCTCATCATTCCAAAGTATTTCTTTCAAGATTGTTATTCCATTTCCAACTTTCCTGCTTCAGAACAATGTTATCCTCCATTAATTGTCGTTCAATAACTAATTCTTTAAAATTTATTTCAACCAGAAATGATAAAGCAAAATTTTTCATTCAGTCCAAAAGATTTTTCAACAAATGCTCCAATTCTGTAATTCTTCAAAAAAGTCACCATCACCCATTTTTAGATGTCGAAAACATTAATAATTCATTTGGTGACTTCAAACCTATTACAACAACTTTAAATGAAGAATTCAATCTAGACAATCCAGATGCTATAAATTTCACCGAGGACTCGCTCGATGCCAAAAATAATTCAAAAATCAGACACTTTACTGTGAATTTTGGTCCACAACATCCTGCTGCCCATGGTGTTTTACGTTTGATTTTAGAGTTGAAAGGTGAAGAAATTGTGAGAAGTGATCCTCATGTTGGCTTACTACATCGTGGTACCGAAAAGCTAATTGAATCAAAAACTTATATGCAGGCATTGCCTTATTTCGATCGTCTAGATTACGTCTCCATGATGACAAATGAACTAGTTTTTTGTCTTGCAACTGAAAAGTTGCTAAATATCGAAGTTCCAATTAGAGCAAAGTACATCAGAACTCTATTTGGTGAAATCACCAGAGTATTAAACCACTGTATGTCTGTTTTATCTCACGCAATGGATGTGGGAGCTTTGACTCCATTTTTATGGGGTTTTGAAGAAAGAGAAAAGTTAATGGAGTTTTACGAAAGAGTTTCGGGTGCAAGACTACATGCTGCTTATTTTAGACCAGGTGGTGTCTCTCAAGATTTGCCTGAAGGTTTATTAGATGACATTTATATGTGGGCCACTCAATTCGGTGATAGAATTGATGAAACTGAAGAGCTATTAACCGACAATAGAATCTGGATAAACAGATTGAAAAATGTGGGCTTGCTCACTGCCGAAGATGCTTTGAATTATTCATGTACTGGTGTAATGCTAAGAGGTTCAGGAATTCCCTATGACATTAGAAAGGCTCAGCCTTATGACGCCTATGAATTGGTCGATTTCGATATACCTGTTGGTTACAATGGAGACTGTTACGACAGATATCTATGTAGAATGGCAGAATTTAGACAGTCTTTAAGAATTATTGAACAATGTATCAATCAAATGCCTGCTGGTCCTGTCAAAGTTGAAGACTTCAAAATCAATCCTCCACCCAGATCTTTGATGAAACAAGATATGGAAGCTTTGATCCACCATTTCCTTTTGTTCACAAAGGGTTATGCTGTTCCTCAAGGTGAAACTTATACTGCCATAGAAGCTCCCAAGGGTGAAATGGGTGTATATCTTATAAGCGATGGCTCTGAAAGACCTTACAGATGTAAAATTAGAGCTCCAGGTTTTGCTCACTTGGCTGCTTTTGATCATATTGCAAGAGGCAACTCATTGGCTGATGCTGTTGCTATTATTGGTACTATGGATTTAGTTTTCGGTGAAGTTGATCGTTAATTTTTTTTTTTTTCTTTTTATAAATTATATATTAATAAACTATGATAAATAATACGAATTTACTCTCAGCATGAAAGCAATCCCAATATTTTTCCTTCTTGAGCAAAACGGAGCCTTAACTTTCTAAAGCACGGTATACACCAAAAGTACCAACAAACGCCAAATTTATTCTATTCAGATGCTCATCTTTATTTTACATATTCTACCTCTCTTGAACAGACACCTTACATTGTTTTAGATACTTTTATGAAATCAAAGCTCATCATCAGGCTATATCTCAAAAATGCTGTCAGTTCCACCAGATCTTTTGGCCAGCGACAACATTTCACATGAAATTAATGAATTGATAATCGAAGGGAATAAATTCTATTCTTTGAAAGACTATGAACAAAGTGTTTCAAAGTATTCTGAAGCTTGTTCTTTATTTGGTGATCAAACGTCCTCAAAGCAGTACAAAGAAACTTTGTACTTGTATGGGAAATCGTTATTTTCGTTGGCAATTTCAAAATCACAAATTCTAGGTGGTAGCAACAACAACGACCTGACAAAGCAGACCAGCAGAAAAGAAGATCTTAACCAAAATTCTGATTCAGATAGAAATATCACTAACTCAAAGCATTTGACTATATCTAAAGAACAAATGCCTCAAAAATTGGACCACCAAAAAGCCTCTAAAATTCAGGATAGCAACAAAAATAATGGTAATCAGAATTTTCATTTTGACGAAACAGTTGCAGAAGAGGAAATTGATAATTCTGATAATTCTGATAATTCTGATAATGACCTAGAATCTGAGGCAGGAAGTTTTGATGAAGTGAGCAGCAGAGAAGATCCAAGTGTGAGTTTCAAAGAGGATGAGGAAAACTATCTAACTAAAACAAACGAAAATTTGAAAAGAATTACATTAACGGCAAATGATCAAAAACAATCTTTTAGTACGGGTGATATTTCTGATGACGATTCAAATAACATTGAAAATGATTTTGAACTAGCTTGGGATGTATTAGATTTATCGCGTGTTTTGTTTGAAACAGAATTTGAAGAATTGAAGAAAGTCGATAGGCATAATAATTTAGAAAAAGTAGAGATTCTCAAAAAAATAAGTGAAATCTATAATTTATTAGGAGAAGTGTCTTTGGAAAATGAGAACTTTAAACAATCAACTGCAGATTTTTTGAAAAGTTTGGATTACTTAATTATAATGAACGATATTATAAAAGAATATAAAATTTCTCAAATTGATTACAAGTTATTGAGTGAGATTCACTACAAACTATCTTTATCATATGAGTTTAATTTCGAAGATTCAGAAAACAAATCTAAATCCATTGAGAATATGCAAAAAGCAGTAAATTATGTTAACTTGACTTATAAAAGATTACTTTCGCTAAAAAATCTGCTTAATGATAAACTCAATGAGACGCCAATTAATGATAATTTGAAAGGTGAAATATATTCCATTGATATGGATATTAAGGATCAAGTTTCATTGATTGAAGAATTGAAAGAAAGATTAAATGATCTACTGCACGACCCTACTCAAGCATTTAAAGAGCAACAAATGGCTTTAATTAAAGGGCTATTAGGCCAGTCGACTAAAAAAGAAAGTCCAGCAGACATTAATAATGCTCATCATAACATTGTGGATCAAATCCCAAAAGAAGAAAATGTATCAAAACCCGAAATTAATGAAGTATTTGTACCTACAATGATAAATGATATTACTGCAATGGTGAAGAAAAGAAAAATTAAACCAAAAACGAAAAATCTTAAAAAAAAAGCAAAACACTAGTAATCACTGAAATTAGGGTACTCCAAAACCCATCGAAATGAATGGAAAATTTTGTATTTTATAGTGTTATTTGTAAATGTTTTTATTTAGTTATTCGTTTTCACTTGTTCTAATAAGAATGTTAATTAGTTTGATTATATGCTGATTTATAATTCAAGTGTAGAGAAACTTCGATTAGATAAGTTGGAATCAATTCTGTTTGAAAAGTGATTTGTCTTGGATTCAATTGCTTTGGATTCACCTCTAGAGAGGAGGAAAACGTGATAACCTATTTTGAATTGAAAAAACTTGATGAAAATACTAAACTGTTAAATTTTATTAATAAAAGAATAACAAGATCTGTTATAATCTACCAACCGTCCTAAATAAATGTTTTAACTGTTATTTCCTGTTATTTAGTCCCTACAACATAAAGAATATGGTTTTTCAATACAATGTTTATTAGTTCCAATAACTTACGGAAGCAGATTATATAAATCTTTAATTCTTGATCTTAATGAATTACATTTGAATTGTAGGTTTTAAAGTATTCCTCTAATGCAGATCTCAAAAAAAATTTCCAACCCAAAGTAACATAACCGAATTTTCCAATGGAGTAATAATTGGAAAAATGTTCCGTGACCAGTCACGGAACATTAATTTTTTGCTGAGAATTAGCAAGACAGTCGGAGAAATTGGAAGACATTTTGAAGATAGAATAATGTATATTATTGTGTTTACTTCTCTTCTTCTCATTCAAGGAGAAAGAAAAAAGTTTTTGTGTGTTATGTAGATTATATATAAATTTTAAATATATTTTTATTCATTTATAAGATTGTCATTCATGAAAACCCAATTCTTATAAGAAAATGGATTTGGTAATGTTCCATTATCGCAAAGATAATGAAATTACCTTAATAGGTAATTTTGTTGAAAATTATTATATCCACAAAAATGCTGCTGAACCATCCCATTGGTACAATGAATAAAGTCATGTTATGTAACATATGAGTATTAGCTAATCGTTGGAATCCCACAAACTTAATTTGTTAATAATTATATAAAAACCAATATTCTTTGATATTTTTGAGAATAAGAAAGAAAAAGTAAGCAATAAGCAAATTTTTCAGTATTATAACACATAACTAAAATAATTATATAAACAACAAGAAATAAACAAATTCTTAATGTTTTACGTTCTAAAGCCAAAGGCTTTATTACACTGTGATTGTTGGATGTCACTTGGTCTTCTTTGGATATAAACCAATGCGTCTCAAAGAGGGTTTATATAAAAATCTAATTAATAACTGAGCTTAGTTGTAAAAACAGTCATTTATTTTACACTTTTAACCTGTTGATATCAATAAATAAGTATGGAGCTCAATGGTTAAAACTGATCACTAGTGCTCGTACGAAAATTTCTAACCCAATCGAACCCAACCTAAACGGTTTTGGCAAGAGCACTACTCTTTATTCTTCTTCAATTAAGCAGCTCTCTGTAATTACTGTTGCAATTCTCGCAATATCTCAACCTCAATTCTAAAATTATGGATATCAATACCAATCTAATTTTGAAACGAGTCTGTGGATTTTGTTTTATTTATTCCATTATTACTGCAAATTGATATGCAAATGAAATATTTTAATTGGTGAGATTCTAAACCACATTTCTTCAATTATCTTTTTTTTCGAAATTTATTATTTCAATAAAAGATTTTATTTCTAGCAGCTTTTTAATTATAAGTATTTGCATTCCTTTTAATATTCTCTATATTTTAGTCTGACCAGGTGAAGTATCAGCATTTTATTCTTATTATACTTGTGCTGTATGAAATCTATTATAATGCACTATTATTGACAGAATAATTAGGTGCCTCTTTCAAATAGCATAGCATAGCATAGCTTATGGTATGTTTTGGTTTAGATAGGCATAAACAACCAAAAAATTAAAGAAAATTGGTGGGTTTTACATTTGGTGATTCATACTTCTTCAGATCATAATAAGGAGTATATATTGTACAAATAAATTGACTAACTAGATTTATAACCTTGAAAAATTCTCCAACTGTCAATTGAACTCAATGTAGATAGTCTTAACGATTATTGAGTTACCTGAAAAAAGATTTGGAATATTTAGCATTATTGTAGTGTAAAATAACTACCCTATTGCTTTTTTTAAACCAAGCCAGCCCTTGAGTTTAGTTAAAAATATAAACGACTAAAGACAGTATTAGAATTAGAAAAACAAGCTTCAAAAATCAAAATATCTTTGACAAAGAATTTAGTATATTACGCAAAATTTAGTGAAGTGATTCTAACTAGATTACATTTACATTTACATTTACATTATAAACAAACAGTAGAATCAAATCAATTATAAAAAATAATATAGAAACAGCAACAAATAAATAATTTTTTGAAGTAATGATTGTGTAGGCAGTTAGTTTTTCTTTTGAAAGAACCAAACGTAAAATTTAAAATATAGAATTTGTAATAAGCAATGAAAATAAAAATAAAACCAATAATGCATTTTCCTACCAACAGCATAAACTAATTTCGTTAATGGGATATATAAATCAAGACGTCAATCAAATACTTCTAAAAGATCCTGGTCAATGCGAGAATTCAGAGGACCAAAAGAAAAAAATAAAGCTTTGTTCTAAATGAAAGCAAGCTGAATAAAATGATAAAAAATAGTTAATGGCACAATTGCGTCGGTTTCCATGACCCACAGTAATAATGGACTAAATTAAATAAAACCCACAGACTCGTTTTCAGCAAATATTGTGCTATAGTGATGTGATAATGACCCTTGCTTGACATATAAATTGGTGTGAAGGAAATGGTTTATTGCTTCGATTGAGCATTAAGATCAATGGAATTTCATTCGAGAGTTTCAAAATTAGATTGGTATTGATATCCATAATTTTAGAATTGAGGTTGAGATATTGCGAGAATTGCACAGAGTTTCTCAAGTGTTAAAGAATATCAAAGGAGTTTAAACGCAAATTGCTAATAATAGAATCTTCAAGAATTATCAATTTAAATTTATTAGTACTCACCCATTAACAATAAGATAAAAATAGATATGCTGGATTAGCGACAGAGAAAGTTCTTTTACATACAAGTACATGTGGAAAATGTAGAGACATGTCTTTCTTAGTGGGATCGGAATATCTAGCATCCAATCAAACCCAAATAAGTCACGTGCGTGTTACTGGAAATTGCCAGCATTGTGATATATTTTGTCCTTGCTGTATATTCCATCCTACAACGCCAAATTGGTCTCATCACAGTTTCCTCAGTTATTATCCAGAAGCATTCATAAATTCCACCAAGTACGCTCTGTTACTCCATAACTGACCACCAAGCCATTGGGCCATTGAATCATCCAGCAACTGGGCTACTGGGCTGAACACCTCAAATGAGTTGCCCAAAGAACGAAGTTCAAAAAATGGGCTACTTTTTGCATGATCGAAAGCCACAGAGAAACCATCAACACTTCAGCAGTTCAAAACTTCAACACTTCAGTTAAATTTGGTTTGTCTTGAGTGACTACAACTGCAAATTTTAGGCCAAAGGAGCAGCTGGCATTTCTAAGACTCCACAATCGATAAGAGATTTTCACTGCAACCTCAGCTATGGTAAATAAACTGTCAAAAATTAACAACTGGAGACATGGATAAAGACTCCAACAGTACTTTTGTGACAATTTATACACCATGTGGTAATAACGATGTGGGTCTGAATATATCTACTTTTCCCAAAACGGCAGCACTTTAGCCCACATTTTTGCTACATCCACTCATTTTGTTCTCACCTCTGATTGGTTTGAATTACGCTTAGAACTCGTATTAGGTTCGGTCTGAGCCATGATTAGCTGATGCGGGAAGGAATAATTATCAACGCGAGTTTTAATAGGCTTCAGGGCTTCTGAACCGAATTACTATCTGAACTTTGTTAACCAATATAATTGATACACTCCCGGAAATTATTTGGGCTGATAATGACTGAAATATACCGAACTATAGAAATATACTTCTATGAGAAGTGATCTGTTCTACTCTACAGCTGCCACATCATTATACATTTTTGCTTCAATAGTCCTGTGAGCAAGTCAAATCCAGAATAGTATTTAAGAATATTTTGAATTGAAAACAGGATTTCATTACTTTCTCAATCAGACTCTTAATTGGAAAGTTTTCAATTGAATTGATTTGAAAAAGAAATTAAAAGTTTTTGCTAGCCAGAATCTTGATTTTACCAAGCTAGTGATCGAAAACAGAGGTTTTATTTCAAATACATTCATATAAAAAAAAAAGAAACAATAATAACAATAATAACAATAATAACAATAATAATGATAGCAAAAGTGAATCTCTTAGTAGAATGTTTGATTTTTATAACTTTGAAAAGAAAAGTAGTAATTTTATTTCTTTTTCAATTTAATTGCAAGAATAATCGTCAATTAAAGGGCAAAAGTCCTTCGAAAGCGTAAGTCTTTCAAAAATCAACGGTTTTGTTCTTTCTGAATTTGATTGAAATCTTTCATTACTGGAATAGTTAATAATAGATCTTTAGTACACACTGATCAGTGTGAATCCGCTAATTTGGTCCCTATCCCAAATCACTATAAAAAGACAAAAAGTAAAAGTTGTGCTGTACTATTCTTGCATTAATATCTTCATTTTGCTCTTTATAAAATTTTTAACTTCAAAAATAACCCCAACTGCTTACTATTTATTACAAGAGGCATGTTACCATCCACCTTGCAAATTACTGGCAAAAAAAAAATTGAAGGAGTCAATCCTCTTTTGACTGATATTAACTATGAATTAAAAACAGAAGAGACTTGATATGGTATTTTTATAGCGTAAACTAACAAAAGAAACCAAATTAATGAAATTTCGTCAATCAAATGCAGCAATGGTGTTTCTTTTATATTTCTGTTATGAGTTGATCCACACTCTGTAATATGTTCAGCTTTGCACTAGGAGATGAACAATAGAAATATCTCTAATAATAGCGATAGGCATGGTTATATTGATAATAACGATGACAACTAGCAATAAAGACAGAATTGTTTAATGAGTTGAATTTTTATTTATCCCCAGCCTGATTAGATCTTATCACTTAATTCTTGACATTTATCACGCAAAAGCTCAGCTCTGGCTGAATTATTAATAGATTCTCTCAACTTTTACTACTGTGTGGAACCGATTTATTATATTAACTGCATCTTGCCAATATTTCTTTATTTTATCACCTCTATACATGATTATCACTCTGAACTTTAACCTGCATCATTAGGACTGTGGACCTTGTGGGGAATAATATATCCATATTGTTTTAGTTTCTCGATCAGCAGTACTGAAGTTTTAATAATAATTTCAATAAAATTTTGGGTTTTGTTGTTGAGACCTGGGGTTATTTTCACAAACAGAACTATTTTTAATATCTGGTTTGGTTTAGTCTCTTTTTTCTTTGTTAAATAAATTGGTATAAATTAACTAGGTATCCTTCACAATTTCAAGTCTATCTTTTTTTCTTTTTTCATCATCAAAATAACAAAGCGATTTCAATCATAGATAAATTTCTAATATCAACTAAACTTACAATCAAACTTATAATCCGATTTGCTGTCTAATTAATTTTTTAAAATGCTCAAAACTCAAGTTCTTTACACTATCGTTTCATTCCTTATTGCTGCCAATGCCCTTCCAGTTCCTCAACCTGATGCAGTAGCTGAAGCAGTTGTTGAAGATAGTTTGGAAAAACGTAGTGATAACGGTAATGACAACGGTAATGTTAATGGTAATGCCAACGGTCCCGGTGGTTGGAATGGTAATTACAACGGAAACTCCAATGGTAATAATAATGGCGGATGGTACTCATACAACAATGGTAATTCCAATGGAAACTATAACGGTAACGAAAATGGGCCAGGTGGAAACAACGGTAACTCCAATGGTAACTCCAATGGTAACTCTAACGGCTACTGGGGCTACTATGGCTATTCAGGAAACAATGGTAACAACAATGGTAACCAAAATGGTAATGCCAATGGTCCTGGTGGTAACAATGGTAACAGCAATGGTAATGGAAATGGTAATGGAAATTAAATTGATTGAGACTTTCTTTCACTTTTCAATTTTCATATAATAGTCCAAATTTATTTTCATTATGACAATTAACGATATCTCCAATTTTTTTCAACACCCAATACAGCTTTTATACCTTTTGCATTTTTCTTGTGCCAAATTGTGAATTGGTAGAAGAATTCTCTTCAAATATTACAATTGATCATTGTTCATTTCGAGGTTGAAATTTTTCGAATTATTTCTTCTTTTTCCTTTAAACTTTTACAAATTTCTCATTTTTATACTTTAATTGATATTTTACTTTAATCAAAACTTTGTAAACATCGAATATATTTTATGATATCATTCAAAGTGCTCTCCTGTAGACTATTGAATAATTCCAAACCAGCCTCTGTATTTATAATTCTTTTCCTCAAATATCTTTATTCTTAACATCAGGAGTCTTCACTTTCTAGATTCAAAGGTCATCTACTATAGTTCATATTAAAAGTCAAATCTAGCTCGAATCATTTTCTTAACCCATTATATCACTAAGACGTTTTCCTCAAACTAATTCATTAAAAGGAGATGAAAAAATATCCAAAAGTACACCATAGTTTCTGCAATTTTATGGCTACAATTTCGAATCTAAACTTTCATTTTGAACAGTCAAGTAAGATATGTTCAACTCAATGACTCACTCTAATTCTTTTCTCAATATTTGCTTTAACAACAGATTCAACAAGCCTTACATCCCATGAAACTTGTTTTTAATTCAATTAGATTTTTTAGATATCAAATAAGTATATTTTTAAGGAAATGGAGTATTCGCCCATTTTCGCCAATTGTGGCTAGTGCTTATGCTAAGCCCATTTTATGGATTTGAAGTGTTTTTGCTGTCACTTGCAAGAAAGTGCCGGAACAACTTTTTAGCCCGGAAGAATTCTCCTTATCGCAGCAATTTTCGGCCTTACCACGGCGCTGTTTGCGAGAATCCGGAATAACTGATTGTTAAAAATGATAATTATCATCTTGATTCGTCATTGGAAAAATGGTCTAAAAGATAGCTTAATTGATGATTTTTCTGTATCAAACGCTGTCTCACTGTGAGTTGATAGCTTTAATAATGGATCCTGATAATGGTTGTTCGTGGTCCAACTCGAAATGATTGGATTAGAACTTTATTTTGAAATGTTGAAATGTTGAAATTTATTTAAATTAATGATGGGTAAATATACTTTTAGTACCAAAAAACACAAGGAAATAAGAGTACAACTTTTTATTATAATTAAATTAGAAAGATTTTGTGATGGTGTAGCAAAGAAAATGATTAATTGGGTTAACTATTATTTACTATACCAGCAGAGCATCCCCTGTATAGCTCTTTGGTTAAACCGGGAAGTGAACGTGACAAAAAGCCGTGGAAACTTTCCGGCAGTTAGAGCGGTCGGTATTTGTGGTTCCGACCAACATCCAGCACAGTTCCGTTGCTACAAAATGGCCAGAAAATATCAGACCATCAATGCATGCAGTTTGAATATGTCTCATATACTGGAACAATATTCACAACCACTTTGATACTTGGTATTTCACTGATCTGTGCATTTCCCAGCATCATCCAGCGCTATCTACAAGCTAGTCTACTCACGTGATAGTATAATTGATTTTCCCCAGTCGAACATTATAACTTCCATCTTCTTTTGTTGCTCTTCTCAAAACCAACAAAACATTGTTTGTTAAGAATGGAAATGCAATCAACAGAGTTAGAACAGTACACCACTTACCTAAAGTTGTTGATTTTAGTTAAAATCAAACATACACAAATCATACTTATTTAATTTACCACAAAAAACAATCAAAGCTGAAAGTACCAAATAACACCAATGGAATCTTTATCTGAAGAAGAAATCTACAAACTTTCGTTAATCGAAAAGTCTTTATTTTCTCTTGACAAAATGCTCAAACAGTACCAACTAATCAGCAATCAATATAAACAATAAAGCGTTTATTTTTTCTTTTCCCAAATTCATTTGCCTATCTCCAAAACATTCGCTCTATTAAATTGGAATGAAATATCTAGAGAGAGTGCATTAAACAAAAAGAATCATTTGTTTCCTCTTACACACGATTTAGTTCAGCATTATTTATTCAGATACATTCATGAAAATAAAACTAATTTAGCACTCAAAAAATCTTTGACTAGACAAATTCATCATATTTTATTAGATAAAAGCCATTCAATTACAGATGCTGCTCGATACATAATGGGACTCTTTTCAATTTCTGTTTTCCTTAGCATTGCGGTTCTCACTTTAAAGGACGACACAAAAATTTTGAAGTATAATGGTTTCCGTTACAATAACAATAACAATACCAATACCAATAGATCAATCTCAATTCTGTCATTTCAGACATCTTCCATATCAACAAAACGAAAGCATTTGCTGTATAACCATTTTCATATGGTCGTTCCGGTTTCAAAATCTATTTTTACAGGTGCTGAAATTGATAGTTAGTTGGAACTGCTTTCAATTTATATTGCTAAAAATAAAAACTATCTTTCAGATCCCCTTGATTTTTTCGGTTCTAGAAATGTGCTAATCGCCAATAAGAAAAATCTCAAACAAATAATTCAACATCAGATAATTCAACCGATTTGTAAATTAATTTCAGGAACCAATTTACAATATTAGAATATTGTTTTGAAGCAGGACCTTGAAATAACAAGTCTAAAGAATAACACCGAAAAGTCAAAAAGTGTTAACTTTAAAATTATTCCAGATATTGTTCTATTAATATCAGGAAATGAAGATATACTAATTCCAATTGAAATCAATTTACCTGATCTTTCAGGCTGAGAAAAAAGAAAACAAAATCAATTGTTTATGGATTTTAAATGAGCTAAAAATATCTGTTGTAAATAATATCAAACTATTAAAGACATCTTATCAAATTCAGAATTTATATTTATCACTTTTCAAATCAACAGATATTGAAATCGAAAATTTAAACCTTGGACCAGCAGAATTTCAAGAGTTCAAAACATTATTTGATAAAGCATAAATTGCCTGTAACAAATTATTCAAAAAAAATATTAAAACAATCTTAAAAGGAGATGAACCTAACCAGTAATTTGTTGTTGTTTTGCTAATGCAGGAAAATACAGTTTTAAAAATTTATGATTCTATAAGAGCCACTATGCAACTCTATGACGCAACAAATAATAATGCTAAATATTTGGATCTTCTAGGACCAGTTCGAGAAACTAGATATATATATACAAGAAGGAAATTGTTGCTTACAAAAAACTTGCAACTTGCAATAATAAAAATGTTGCATCTTGTTTATATTTTTATGGGTTTTTAAAGCATCCTAAATTAGCTTTTCAATCTGTTCCTAAGAACCTAAATGATTTTGGCAATAAGGAACCTCTTCAACTATGAGGGTCATTTTTAGAAACCCAATATATTGGGGAGAACCAAATGGTCGATGTAAAAAGAAATGATTTTAAGAACATGACAACCAAAGCTCTTCAAAACCTTTATGACATCCACAATACAGGGATTTTCCATGGTAATATTCATCTTCAGAACGTTGTATACAAGTATAAAACACATGATTTTTTTTTCATTGACTTTGGTTCTTCCACCGTTAAAAATATGAAGTCTGAATCGAAGGATTTGAATCAAGGTGAACACAAAAATAATGATGATTTTCAGAAGGACTTGTGGAAAGACTACATGAATCTTTATCAAGCTATATTTTTTCAAACAAATTATAGAAATATATGTGATGAATTTTTAAATGGCTAGAAAAAAGAGTTTATTGAAGTTGTCAGACAATTGTATAAAAAAGAAAAAGACAATGAAAATCTGAAAGGTATTGATAATACAGGTAATATCAAAAGAAAATAATCAAAATATGCAAGACTTGCAAAAAAAAGCACAAAAACAAATATACCACTTTGAAATTATTCAGTGCTGTTTGTTATGTATTTATTTGCTGTACTTGCTAAAAACTATTGCAGTCCAAAGTTGTAAACACTACTAGACGTTAGGTTGCAATTTTAATCAGGTTTCAATTTTGGAATTTATAAAAATATTTATTATTTTAATATATCTAGCAGTTTGGAATATCTCCAAAAAATAGAACCTTCAAACTAACATAGTTTTTTGTAATGAAAATTTGCTTGAAGGCTTTAACTCACGAATGGATGAAAAGTTTTAAAAAGACAATATTGAAAGCTCCGTAGAAAATTGTGAGTTCAATAAATGTAAAGAACTATTGTAAAATATGAGATGATTGGAAAATTGATCAATTTTCTTTGTGATTTGAGAGTTTGATGTTGTTGAAAAAGTTATAACATATTATTGTTTAGTGGTAATAAAGTGAGTATAAAGTGAAATCAATTGAGTAACAAATTGAAACTGAAATGATTGATTAGCATTATCTGTGATGTTAATTTCTAGCATTGTAAAGTATAAAAATATAATTGAATTAAAAGAATCGATTTTACATGAAAATTAAAGGGTTATTGAAATTGGCTTGGAATATTTTCAAGAAAAGTGTTTAAATGAAATAAACCAAAATGTACTGGATCAAATTGAAGATGCTATCGATTATTTACATAAAAATAACTTTTTCCATGGTGATTTCAAACCTGATAATATATTAATTAATGATAAAGATCAAATTAAAATCATAGATTTTGAAAGAGAAATATCTGAAATATACAATTCAGACTGGATATTTGATAAAGAATCTGATTGTGTTTGCTTAAAGAGGATTACAAATGAACTCAGTAATACTAAACAACTAGCAAAATAATTATTAAAGCTGATTCTGTAGCCCCATTTTTACAATATTCAAACATTACACTGTTATCTGATCTAGTTTTCTTTATTTCATATTTTTATTTTCATTTTAATATATTCTTGTGGCAGTTTAGTGTTGACATATTGGTGTTATTTATTGATCTATCAAAATGTTATTTTTATAATCATATTAAATGTTTACTTGTACAAAATAAGGTCTAATTAATTTTTAAATATATAAAAGGCTGTTACTAGAAAATAAAAAAAGAGGAAAGAAAAAAAAGAAACAAGTCATTGAAGAGATTTTTTCAATTACAACTGAAATAAAGCTATTCTAAAAGGTAATTATAAAATAAATCAGTTTGCAGAATCATCTGGTTTTAAGGTTGGGAACAACAAAACTTCTCTGATGGTATTACTATCTGTCAAAAACATAGCTAATCTATCGATACCACAACCCCAACCACCAGTTGGAGGTAAACCGTATTCTAAAGCATTACAGAAGGATTCATCAATTAATTGAACTTCATCGTCACCTTGATCTTTTTGTCTTGCTTGTTCTTCAAATCTTTGTCTTTGATCAAATGGATCATTCAACTCTGTGTAAGCATTACAGATTTCTTTTGTGGCAACAAAAACTTCAAATCTTTCACATAAACCTGGAATTTTGCGATCGTATTTGGCCAAAGGAGACATCATTTGAGGATGACCAAATATAAAAGTCGGATTAATACATGTATCTTCCAATTCACCAACCAATTTATCTAACATCCTTGCATTGGTTAAGGGAGGAGTGCAATCTAATTTGTTTTGAATCAAAAGTTTTTTCAAGAAATCATTGGTGTCTTGAGTGTGCAATTGATCGCCTGCAGGGAACTTGACGTTAAAACGAACTTCTAATTGTTCAATCATATTAATTCTTTTCCAAGGTCTTGAAAAATCTAAGGTTAGGGTTTTTTCTTTATCGTTATCATCAGGATGAAACTTAAGTACATATGAACCAGTAATTTCTTTGACCATTTCTGAGAATAATAATTCAGTCATATCCATCAAGTCGTAAACATCTGCATAGGCTTGATAAAATTCGCAAGTTGTGAATTCAGGATTATGGGTCATGTCAATACCTTCATTTCTGAATTGTCTACCAATTTCGTAAACTCTTTCAATACCACCGACAACCAATTTTTTTAAATATAGTTCTGGAGCAATTCTTAAAAACATATCCAAATTCAAGTCATTGTGATGGGTTATAAAAGGTTTGGCAGTGGCACCACCAGCAATAACATCCATCATTGGAGTTTCAACTTCAACAAAACCACGATTATCTAGGAATTTTCTAATGTAAGAAATAATTTTAGATCTAATTATGAATTTTTCACGGACAGATTGATTTATAATTAAATCCAAATATCTTTTTCTATACCTCAACTCTTGGTCTTTGAAACCAAAATGAGAAGTTGGTAGCATATGTAAACATGGAGTTAATAGGGTTATCTGGTTTGAAAAAATTGAAATTTCTCCTTCACCACCTTTTTGAGGGTTAGTTCTTCCAATGTAACCGTTAATACCAATAATGTCACCTCTTCTTATGATGTCATTTTGTTCAAAGAAATCAGAATCTTTTAAATAATCATTGATTTGGGAGACAACTTGAATTGTAGAGTTGTTTGATAAAATTGAATAAAATCTTAATTTGGAACCAACTTCTCTTTTAACCATGACTCTACCAGCAATTGATAATTTGACATCTTTTAAAAATTGGCCTTTTTCCAAAGTAGAATAAGTGTTTAAAATGTCACTTGCATCGTCTTTAACGTGAAATTTATGTGGATAAGGGTTAGGAGTTTTAGTTGATCTTAACTCATTGATTTGTTTTGATCGTATAAGATGAAATTGGTTGGGAGTTAAATCCTCATCAATTTTTTTTTTCGTTGTTTTTTGTTTTGCTGGTTGGTTGACTTTTTTTGCAGCTTTTTTAGCATCAACAGCTCTTTGTTTTTGTCTTTTTTTCAACTCGTTTTTCGAAACCATTTCTCCAGTGGATTCATCCAAGTAGAGCTTTTTTTGGACTCCATCAGCTAATTGATCAATTGTTTGTTCAGACATTTTAAGAGAAAACCCCAAAAGTAAAATTAAGTCGCAACGATATCAGAGAGATAGTAAAGAAAAAATGAAGCTGGAAATATAAATAGATGGATAAAAAAACCCAGAGAGATAATTTTAAATTTAGTATTTTGGTTGCTGTAAAGTGTATATATAATCTGACTCATTTGAACAAAAAAATTTTCAATGACAAATATGGAAAATAAAACCATCGCAATAACTGCGATAATTGCATACATTTTTGTCGAAAATATGCACAATTTGCGAAAATATGCCAAACGCAAAAAGCTATTTTTTTGAGACCAATTGAACGGGCTTTCCGTTTTAGGAAAGAGTGACTAAATGTTTTGATTAATTTATCGAACAATAGATTGAAACATCTTCAGGGTTTGAAAACTGACCATCGTCTGTATAATTTGTGAAGTTATTATATTGCCTATACTTCCTGGAATACGCTCTTATGATTTACCTGGACAGTTTATTGCTATCGATGGATGGTAATGTGGATATATCTGACGACATCTATGATGATATGAGTATATCTGATGAAACATCTGATAGCCTGTCCATATATCGCTTCACTGATCTAGAAAACCTAGTTTATAACTTGCATGCTCTAGTATTGCAAAAATCGTTTTTTTACGTGCCATTAAATAAAATCTGGTTGCTAAGCTTATCAAAAAACAACTCTGTTAAATTATGCGCTTTTTCAACGCTTTTTAGCTCGGTTTATGTTAAACAAATTGGCATTCCTACTCAACTAAGACTTGCCCATGACAAAAATTCGTTTGTTTTTAAGACTAATTTCAATTGTATTGGCAGATTTATCTCAAGAATTAACCGTTTTGTCAGACACTTGAAAATAGGTTACGCATTGGGTTTTACCTCTTGGTGTTGTGTTGTAAGCTAAAAAATTCGCTTTATTTTGACAATAAGTTGAAATCTTTAAAAGTGGTCTTGAAATACTTTGACGCAGAGTATGACGAGGAGGAAGAATGCCTTGAAGATTTTCTTGAAGTTGACTCATTGCTCTCAACTCTTTTGAAAAGAAACTCAGTTTCACTTAAGGTCTTTAACTTTGAATTTGATTCTGATCAAAACCATCTGTTTTTGTTTACAAATTCCATAAACTCTTGTTCAAATCTAAATTTTCTATCCTTGAAATTTTCTTCTTAATATTATGAATTTGCTGATAGATTTAAGAAAAACACGGTTTTTTTGAATACTTTACATTCTAATAAAATTTTTTGTTCCAATTTAACCTACTTGAAATTGGCTGATGTTTTTATAGGTGATTTTCCTCACTATCTCAATAAGTATTACAATTTAAAATATCTTAATTTGTCTGATAATTATGTTGGACAAATCAATGGTTTATCGGATTTTCCATTATTAAAACATTTGAATCTTGCCACAAATAGTATGTCAAAAATTAAAAGTTCTTCAAATTTTGTGAATCTAACTAGATTAAATTTATGCCGCAATCGTATCACCAAAATTGAAAATTTATCAAGATTAAAAAGTCTTAAATTATTGGATATATCACGCAATAACATATCTAAAATGGAAAATTTATCAAACTTCACAAAACTTGAATGCTTGGACTTATCTTATAACCAAATTCCAAAAATTGAAACTATCTCTAAATTGAAATCACTTAAGATTCTAAATTTATCACATAATCATATTCAAAAAATCGATAACATATCAAAATTGTTTAATCTTTCTCATCTAAATTTATCAAATAATCAAAATCGAAAATTTATCTCAAATGGGTCATTTATTATTTTTGGAGCTATCCTCCAATAAAATTGTTAGAGTTGAAAATGTATCTGAATTGATCAATATTCAAGAATTAAATTTTTATAAAAATCAGATCAAGAAAATTGAACGTATATTTACTTTAGTTAATTTAAAAAAACTAATACTATCTTGTAATCTTTTAACCGAAATAGAAAATTTATCAAAATTAATTAATTTAACTCATATATATTTAAACCAAAATTCTTTAGTAAAAATTGAAAAATTGTCCAAGTTGCAAAATTTGATTGATCTAAATTTATCTGATAATAAAATTGAGAAAATTGAAAACTTATCAAACTTAAGCAACTTAACTTTTTTAAACATTTCTCACAATAAAATCAAAAGTATTGAAAACTTTCCACATTTGGATAAATTAGAGGTATTAAATTTTAGTTATAATCAAAATTCCCAAAAACGAGAATACATCTCATATGAATTATATCAAGTTTTTACATATTGTTTAAAAAATTAAATATCTCTGTTGGTTTTGTTGTTTTGTCTAATACTTAACTCATATTCCGATATGAAAAAACAAAAAAAAGTAAATAATAATTAGTTCTTTGATTAAAGATAAAAAGTGAATTTTAGCTGATTGAGAGTTTTCAAAATTATTAAAAGGTGTCACAAAGTGAAATTGAGATAAGTCAACATAAGTTGATCTTTGTACTTGTAAGTTATTTTATCGTTTAGGTATGAAAATTTTATTAGGTATTAAATTAAATTTATTAAATATTACATTATATATTTATAAATAAGGAAAAAAAGACCAAAAGAAACAATACTTAGTATGAAGAATTACAAAAATAATTAGAAATTCAAAGAACTTATAGCAATTTATACACTCAAATTAACAAAAATAGTGCTATACATAAAATCCTTCTTCGATACGTTTTAAAAATTCGTTTTCTATTCCAACCATTGAAGATGTGATAAGTTTTATCTTCTTTAAATAAATTTCATCTAATTTTCCTTGCAAATCAAAATAATCGCTCAATGATTCTTGTATGAGGTTGTATGTTTTACATGATCCTATTTTCATTTGTTTTCTTTCTTTCTTGGTTTGGGTAGCAATACTTTTATTGAATTTTTCTTTCATCCGTTTAATAGGTTTATAGTGTTCTTCTTCAAGCTTTTTCATCTTAAGAATATACTCATCACGAATAGAATTGAGATGTTTTAGACATTCAGTTTGAAAAGAAACTAGCAAAATTTTGTTCAACATGATATAACTCTCATTTTCAACTATACATTTTCTAAAGTATGCTCGCCAATTAGCATTGCCTGCAGGCACTGGTTCTATTCGAGATCCATCAAACAAACCATCAGATAAATCAACTCTTTCTTTGAGGATATTTGTTTTGTTGTAATCAAATATAGAAGATACATCAGAAACAACGGATTCAGTGTCAGAATCATCACTATCATCATCTCTTGCAATAGAATGAAAAGAATAGTTTAGGTCATCTTCTATTGGAGGAAAGAAAAAATAATTTAGTTTTTCATTTTCTTCCTCGAAGTAATATAATTCCTCATCCTCAAAACCAGCGTATGGATCACCAATAACTTGATTTCTGCTCATTTTCGGTTTAATTTTGTTAGCAGTATAAGTGAAGTTAAACAGTCGGATGTAATGACAAATTGATCACTATAATCAGTAATAGTTGTCCAAGTAATTTGAATGTGAATGATTGATTTACTTTGATAGTGATTTAACATATGAAAAGAGAAAATCATTGTAAAAGACACTTCAAGAGATATTTATAATTTCAAACCAATAATATTGTCTTATTCAATGCTTGCTTTTATCAATGGTTGTTCTACTCAAAGATTCATTTATTGCTTTATTCCACAAATACGAACCCTATTGCAGTACAAATACGCATAAACTAATTAAAGTTCCAGTAATTAACACAAATTGCACAAAACAAAGCTTGTTTGTGCAGATCAATCAAGCAATATTGTTGCATTTGGATGCTGAATTCTGCAGCAAGAAACCGGCTTACTAGTGATGGACAGCAAAATATTCTCCCTCCAGCTCGATTTGAGGACAGTAAAAATCTTCCCTCGTGCACAGTAAAAAATGTAGTGAAATTGAAGGGGGATGCAATCAATCATTAAGGGATTTTAGTAATCCTCTAAGAGTCGGTAACGCTTGATTATTTCTATGCTCTTTTTTAATGCTACTTGTTTCTGTTACTCTCTTCATCTTATATTAATTACAGTCTCCATCCAATCCGTCCTATGTCTCCATCAGTATCTATTTAATTCATCTATCTATTTTCTTTCTATTCTATATATTTTGTATATATATCTTTTTGAAAATTTTAAAGTAAAGCTTTCAAATCCCGATTCCAGATGTTTTTTATATATCACGTGGCTGAAATCTTAAACATTTTCAAACCTTACTCGATTTGAAGAGGGGATTTTTGCTGTCCGCAGCTAGTAAAATTTTAACCAAGGTACCATCACTATGGGACTAGATTGGTGTTGTTTTCAATTTTCTACTATTTTAGCTGATATAATAATATTTTTCAAAACATGACATTATATTATTTTGCTTTCATTTCTCTAAAAATAATCATCTTTCAGTTTATTAATATTTGACAAAACCCTGGAAACCGCTTCACTATCTGATAATATTACTCTACTAGATTCATGCTTATTTTGACCAATTTCTCCTATTTGCTTACGTTTTTTATTTTTAATTGTTATTCAAGTAATAAAAATAACAACTTCCTTATTAAAAACTAAAGATTTTGTAACAAAAGCTCTTATTTGTTTACCAAATTTCACATTATTTCCGTGCTTTGCCTTTAGCCAATTAAAATTGAAAGATATAAAATTATGACCTATTGTAATTTACAAGTAAAATACTTCGCATTCTGTTACCACTCCAATAACAATTAAAACATCTTATGATCGTTGAAGAAAAAAACGACCTTATTTTTATAATGATTTTCTGAACTTTGAGTTTGTCTGATGTTTTTGGGTCGGCTTTAACTTTATCACTGCTTTGCATTTTTTTATTGATCATAGTTTTTGTTTTAAATAGTTCTTGTATATTCACTAATTTATTTGAATTATAAACGTAACATTTTGTTGAAAGTTAAATTCCTCAACTCAGACTATTCAAATTTCAAAAAAATATATGAATCTTAAGTAATTCTGATTTTGAAATAAATCAATAAAGGAATAAACAACAAAATTTTCAAAAAAGCCCGCAGTATAAAAATACTTTCATTAAACGACTTGTGAACAGAAAAAAAAATAAAAAAAAAATAAGGAAAACTTAAAACAAAACATCAATAGTAAACATGTGAAAATTATTATTATTATAGATCTACGACGAAACAAAAAGTTTGAAGAAAAATTTTAAAACTTTTTTTCCGTTTCTTTTCTCTTCAGTCCCAAATTGAAGATAATTGAACTGGTTCGGAATAAGTTGTTGAATCATTGAATGAAATTTCTGTACTCCAAAAATCCTCACTTTGTCTGTAGCAATTCAAATCGTCAATTAATAATTCATAATATTGAATTTTGAATGTATTTCCACTGCTATTTTCATTTTCATTTAATTCTTGATTCTGATTTTCAAAATCCAGAATCATTTGATTTTCTCGTAATCCCTGGTCACAACTATTTCTTTTATAATAAATTTTATATCTTTCTGGTAATCGGAAATTAGGTGAGCAATAATCCGTTCGTGAATAAGATGGGATTTCTAGGTTATATATTTTTCTGATATTTCTAAGTGATGTCAGTTTTAATCCATTGAAATCAAATTGATTGATTTTAAATTTATTACTACTATTAACTTCATTTAAATATTGTTGATCAATAGCATTCCACGCAAACTCCAATTGAATATATTGAATTTTGTATTTATTGTGATCTTTTAGATGATTTATGAGATTTTTTAATAATAACAATTCACCTTTATAAATTGAATTGAACTGCTTACCAAAAACCAATGAAATTGTGTTAATAGGTGGCAAATTTTTTATGAATTTAATTAATAAGGATTCATGTTCATTAATTAGTGGTGTTATTAAAGCAGGTTCAACAATTTCTAAAATGAGTCCATCAAAATCAGTATAGTTTTCAATAGTGCTTGCTTTTATAGTTTTGTGGTTTTTCAAATTCAAATAAGCTGATAAATTGGTTTGTCTTAGCAATTTAAAATCAATTGATAATTTTAATAATTTTTTCATGTTTTTGATTGTATTAAAAAAATATTCAAAATTTTCAAAATTTTTATTTGCAGTTGGATCATTAGTGTTGAAATTATTTAGAATGCTTGAAACACTTAAAGAATTTGAAATATTAGAGTGTCTAATTGATAATTTTTGCAAGCTTTGAGCATAAAATTGAATAAATTGCGAGATAAACTTCCAGTTAATAACTAGAAATGTTGATTTGATAAAGAGATTTAATTCGACTAGGTTTTTTAATAAATTCAAGCAAAAAAAATCAAAAACTTTCAAATTACTTATATCATTCAAATCATTTTGGTCTTTCAGAGCATCAAAAAGTTTGAAATCTATTAATAAATCCAATCTTTTGAGATATGTCAAATCAACTTTATTAAATACAATTGACATATAATACCAGTCTCCTAATGTCATTGACAAATAATTTAGACTTAATTTATGAGAATTGTTGTTATTGGGATCAACAGCAGATAATTTGTTGTGTCTGAACAAGCCATTATCGATTATATGTTTATAATTACCATTTATAGTGCCCAATAGTTTTAAATTATGAACATTGGAAATCAAGTTATTCGTCAATTTAAAAAAATCATTTGAGCCAATCTCTAAAAAGTTGATATAGCTTAAAAAAGAGTTGTTTATGTTCAAGTTAGGGGTTGGATTACTATCACGATAATATAATTTAATAAAATTTTCCAACCAGATATTAAATTTTCGTTCTATGATTTTTCTTTTCAACTTTGACTCAAATTCACTATTTCTAACAAAAGAAAATGCTCTAAAGAAATAGTATTTCAATATTTTATTAAACCTTCTATTGACCAACGATAAAGAGAGCAAATTAGAATTGGTTTTATTGTTTAAATACTTGAAATAATTGAGGTACTGATACTTGATGCTGGGATTGATGAAGGTTGCTCTGACATCCACATTTTCGAGTTCGTTATCCAAAGAATGCAAAGGATAGTTATCTGATTCAATTATAAAATTAATTATTGCCTCGATTATATCGACTGGTAATCTGTCAATCATTGCTCTTTTCCTACTACTGTTTCGTCGTTATCCAGAAAGAAAACCCTATGGTTAAAGATAACAATCCGAAGGAAACACCGATCAATGCAGATGAACAACGTGTTTAGTGCAGATGTTTTCATATAGACGCAGTGCATAATTTGTAATTGCTGACAAATCTTTTTTTGTGATCTGCAGTGATGGGCGTGTTCCATGTATATTACCGACAGTGAAGTGCATTTGTACTCACCGATAGCTGCAGACTCGTGCTGAGTTTGACACAAAATGCAGCGCCATCATTGGCTGAATCTTGCACGCCATTTTCTCTCTCTATTTTCCCTTTCCATTCGACTTGAAATCTTGGTGAAACTGTTCTCTTCTCTTCTATTGCTTCGGATGGTGGCAGCAGGAATAGTATTTGCTAGTCCGACTGCCATTGAATGTCGTTGTAGCATTCGATGGAAGGACCTGCACTTGTGGGTTTTCGTTTATTTGCTTTGTGCGAAGTTTTATTTCCACCTCTAAACCCTTAAATGAATCTTCTATTCATGGGACGATAATGGCTGCGAGTCCAATTATCATCATATCATATCATATCATATCATATCATATCATATCATACCATATCATATGATTCATTTTATATTACACTATTCCTGTTTCTATATCACAGATACTCTTTTAGTTCCCAAAACCTGTGGATTCCCGAATCTTGTATTCTTTGTATTGATGGGTGAGAAATCAATGATCATGGTTTTTACAAGTGTTTCTCATATTGTAATTTATAAAAAGAAGTTATAGACTAAAATCATTATCTTAGCACCAACAAATTTTGTATCTGATATCTCAATCAGAAATTACCTTGAATTAAGGTTGAAAACCATATCAATTTTTTTCTCAAAATTTTAGTTTTTCACACACTTTATTCATTTAAACTGCCTCATGAGATAAATACCAAAGATATTATTCTATTACTAGTGTATAGCTGACAATTTTGTTAAAACGAATCAATAAACGAAGCTGAAAATGCTTTTTTATTCTTCGTTGTTCTTTCAATTTTCAAAATGATTTTTATTTTTTTGTCGGGAATTTTGAGAGTATTATTCAAGTTTATCTTTTAATTTTGGCATTTATCCTTTATAATTCATAATCTCCAATTCTTTTTGAATATTAAAATTCTTTGATTTAACATACTAGTACCAGTCTGTTGGCAATCGTGTTTTTACAGACCTGGTTTAATTTTTTCTTTTCGTTTTTTTTTTCCTTTGAATTAAAATCAAATTTTGTTATCTTTACTCTTTATTTGGATTAGTAAAATTATTGTGAATATTATGAACTAATTGTGAAATCTGTTCTAAATATTTAATTATTTTTTTAACACTATTTGAAATTAAATTAATAAGTTGCAATATGATTTCATATGATAATCACATAGTAATCATATTATTACCATAATTTTACAAATTTTTTAGTGTTTATGTTTAGAATTATTTGTAATTGCTGATGATTAATCTTTCTTTTTTTAATTGGCTTTTATAACCAAAATTATCTTTTTAGTCATCAAATATCAGCTACTGATGTAATATTCTACAAAGTTTCAGTTTAATGATGTTATTATATAGTATAATATATTTTTTTATTAAGAGATTTTACTTAAAAAAAATTACCAAAAGTAAAGCTATTTCAATCGGAAGCTATTTAAAACAGAATATATATAGTACAATTACTACTATAACAAAAATATTTAAAAAAAACTTAAAAAAAGAAATAGAAGAAAGAAAAAAAGAAAAAAAGAGTAGAAAAATCTAGAATATTGTAGATAAATAAATCCATATTAAATAGTATATTTTTTTGGTTCTCCTTTGATTTTGACTCAATTCAAACCAATTTAATTATAACTAAAAATAAAATTCGTTATAAAATTTAATTTTACATGAAACTAAACAAAAAATAAAAAAAGTAAAAAAGTAAAACAGTAAAAAAATAAAAAAATAAAAAAATAAAAAAAAAAACTTAAGAAAATAAAACATTAATAAAAATAAATTAATAAATAAGTAAAATAACAACCCATTGAAAAATATTTTTTACTTTATTTCATGATATTTTATTTAAATTCTTCTTATGAGATAACATAAAACAAAGAGTAATAAAAAAACAAAATAACAAGAATAAAGACTATAGTAAAATCTTTTTTTTTTCTCCAAATGATATAATAATGAAAAAAAAAACATAGTAATAGTATAGCAGTTTTTGATAGAATTAATAATGATATTGAATAATAAAAGGTAAAAATATGAAATAATAAACTAAAACTATAATTCATTGAAAATAGTTAGAGGAAATGAAGAGTATGATGGATTTTCTTTAACTCTGAAGTTTTCAGTATTAAACGTCTTGATAGTTCCAGAATTAAAATGTATTTTGATTGTAAAATAGTATATACCAGCTTGGTTGAAATCTTGGTTGTCAACTAAAACTTTATGAGAAAAGAATACCACTGGTGAAGACTCATAAAGAGTAAACAATTTAGAGTCATAGCAATGGGAGAAAATGTTTGAACGTATCAAAACATCATTTGATAAAGTGTCATTGCTGTTATTGCTTGAACGACTGTAGTTGTAATTGCTGCTGATGCTGTTGCTGATATTGCTATTGGCAGTAGAAAGGTGATTGTGATTGTAATTATTATATGAATAGTAGTGCTGAGCTGGATTTGAAGTGTAGTTGCTGGTGCAAGTGTTTTTATAGTATAATGAAATGTTGATTCTTTTAAAATAGTTTCTTTGATTTAGGATAATCTGTTTGCTTGAATTTAGATCAAGTTTCAACATGATTATTGGAAGTAAATTTTTTTTGATATATTGAGATTGAGTATATTCAAAGTCAATTAAAGTGACTTCGCATTTGGAGATTTTGCTATTGATTGGGAGCAGACTGTTGTAGATCAGACGATTGTTGTTGCGAAGAGTGGTGAATTGAAAAGAGGGCTGTAAACTGGAGGAGATTGAAGGTATATTTGTATTTATGGCTGAGTTTGATGTGGATCTAGATATTGGATTAGAGACTGAATTTAAAGAAAGGGATTCTAGATCATTTTCATCAGATCTCTTGGAAAAAGCCATAGACATGATAATTAATTTTTGGATGAAGTTATTCTTGGATATAATTGGGTGGTATTAAAGAGTGATATTAAAGGGAGGTATTAAAGAGTGGTATGATTGTTGATAAGAGTGATATTGATAAGAGTCGTGTCGATAAGAGTGGTAGTAAATAGTAAATACTATATAATAAAGATTGATATTAATATTTACTAGGATTTTTTTCTTTAGTTTAGAAAAAGAATATTGTAATAAATTTGGATATATGGCCAATTAAAAAAACAGAAAAAAGTCATTAAATAAGTAAATAATGAAGAGCATTTATATGAAATGATTGGGGGAATTCAGAGAATATTTATATCATTTAAAAACATTTGAAACTATTTAAAACCATTTAAAAGAAGATGAGAAATTTTAAATTTAATTAAAAATTTTAAATAAAAATTTAAAAGACAAAAAATGGAAAAAAAAAACAACAACAGAAAAAAAATAAAATTTAGAAATGAAATAAAGTTGTAATAAAATTCAAATTCAAACTAAGATTTTTAAATAAACGTTTAGAATTTTTTACAAAATTTATCAAATATGCAAAATTTGCTGTTTTTTATTGCCTAATTGCTTAAAGTTGAGGATTATCTCCAATTGAATGCAGAAAACATTGCAATGAAATTTCTAGTTATTATCAAAAACATTATATTATTTATCAAGATTTCTCAGAAGAAATTATTGTTAATGATATTAGCATTAATGATATTGATATTGATATTATTAGTGAATAAGTACATAAACACAAGTAAATGTTTGCTAAAACAATTGAAATTTCTTTTAACAACATATTCACCAGGCACGAATATAATAACGAAAGGCATATATAGTACAAGAATTTTAAAAATTTCAAAATTGCACAAAATGGAAAAATGAGAAGTTGCAGAATAGCAATTAGCAATTTGAAATTTGTACAAGTATAATAAGCATGATAAATATCAATACTATAGATATCAATACCTGATTTTAAAATGGAAAAGCAAATATCTTAAAGGTTAAAGTTGATTTGAAAAATTTTGATTCGAAAAATCAAGAAAATTTGAGTACTGTTGGCAAATTCAAAACTGGCAGTGAAGAAATAAGAGAAGAGAGGAGAGAAGATGGTTGTGGATGGGATTTATCAAGCAGATGTTTTTGTTTGGAGTGATTGTGTTTGAACTTCTTTCGGTGAGAAAGAATTGTGATCGTATGAGGGCAGTGATGGGAGTAGTTTTTGTGGGAAATGGTGAATGGAGTAGAAGGAGAAGGGGAATGAGAAGACATATTCACAAAATACCATACAATGCGATAAAAAGAGGAGGAAATGCAACGAGATATAATAGAGCAAAACCAAAAAACCAACAACAAAGAAATGTAGATTCAATGGCCAGGTATTAGAATAGGAAATCAGAAGTGGAAGAGAGAAATAAATAGATAATAGCGATTTAATTTGCAATATGCAGAGTCTTTTTATGTTGTTTCACAATCAACAAAAAAAGTGAAAATCCATAGCAGTTTTTTACAAGATTTTGCAAGTTTTGCAGAAAGTTTTGGTTATGTTGGACGAATTCATTTACATGAATATGAATTTTAAATGCAGTGCTACAGTGACTGTCTTAGTGGTTTCTTGATCAAAACGTTGAAAAGCTGTTGAACTTAAGTATAATCAGGTATTAAGGCAAGTTACGCTAAAAGAGCCCAAGCACATTAAAAATAACCCAAAAGCAAGCCAAACAGCGATAAATGGTAGGCTAATTGTTCCACCTTCTCAGCTGCCTTTGGTTGTGATATTATTTAGCAGCCACGATCATTTGGTTCGTGATTCCATGGTTGCTGATTGCTGATCAGAGAACTAGCAGCTTTCTGGCGAGTAAATAGGAAGCAGTGGAGCAAGGTGATCGATTAGCAATTAGCCAACAACAACTTAGCAAATATGTGATTACTTCTGCAAACCTTCTTTCCAAGAGCTGTATTTTGTTCTTTTCTTTGGGATTTGAGAGCTCTTCTGTGACTTTGAATTTGAATTTGGCTTTGACTTCACTTTCAATTTCAGGCTCTCTGGCAATTTATTCTTCTCCCCTTCGAATTTAATCTGCATGGTAACTTTGGTATTTGGCTGGATAATAGCAGATTTGTCTTGCACAATAACTGGCGCTGCAGCTATTATCGTTAAAGTGTAGCGATTTCTTTTTTTGGCTGTCCTTTTCTCTCTTCGATTTAAGGCGTCTGGCAAAGTGGCAGATATGGCAAGTTGATCAGATATATGTTTGTATCGCTGAGGGATTGTGTGATTGTGTGATACAAGATACAAGTTTTCTTTCTTTGCAGCATTTGGACTAGTGTGCTCATTCAGCTCATTCAGCTCATTCAGCTCATTCATTTCATCTAGCTCATTCTGTCTGCCCATTAGCTGCCCATTGGCTGGCGCTGGAGAGATCTGTAACTGCCTTGAAGCAGAGTATAATTACGTTTACTCTTCAGATTAGCACTGCTTACCTGTATATTTTTGATTCTGGCCTTCAAAAGCCCTGGATTGCTAAGAAAACAAAACCAGCTTTTGAAGTTGGGGAGTTATGTTTGGATCCGATTGTAAACAGAAATCAACTAGCTTTATTAATATATATTTCTTAGCAATTGTTTAGCCAATTGTACAAATATTTTATTCTATTAAGCAGATAATAGAAAATCATATTTCAATCATTAGTATGAACTTTATTACAGCATTTTCAAACAGTCTCATCAAAAAATACATTATGTACTTAGAAATAAGGATTTAATCAGATATTGAGCTGTTGAATTCAAACTCGTAGAGTAAAAGAAATCAACAAGGCAAAATAAATATGTTATAAGGAAATAAAAGCAAAAGCAAAATGGGTCGTTTCTATTTCAGAAGAAATAGACAATATATCCTAAAAATAATCAACAATTCAGTAGGTTTGCAATTTGAATTTGTTTAATACTCAGTATGTATTTAATCCGTATATGAACCAAACAAAAGAAATTTACAAAGTTAGCAGAATATTCTGAATAATAGTCAACAAATTTCGTTATATCTAAAACAGAATTCGGATTTTCAGCATTTGTTTCAAAACAAAAACAACAAACAAAATAACATTTAAGATGTATATCTCATCGATAACAATCGTTTTCTATTCCTTTTTTCTGTCCCTTTTTTTTTTCTTTCTTTTTTTCTTTCTTTTTTTGTTGTTTTTTGTTTATTTGTTTATTTGTTTTAAATATAAAACAATAGCAGATAATAGAAAATAATCTGGGATTATTGAGCTTGTTTATCAACGAAATCTGACCCTTGGTAGTTTCATGATATCATGATTCATCAATTAGAATTATAGTTAACCTTCATAAACATAGACAATTAAGCCAACTTTATTAAATCAACAACTAAAAAATGTCCACAATATTCACAATATTCACAATGTTCACTTTTAAAGAGAGCTGAATTGAAAAAACACAGCAAGACTCAAGGCATGCCTTTGAGCATTTATGAATTAACACCCAGAAAAACTATCAGTTTCCAGTGTTCATTTTTGGTCAGATCTAAAATCAGTGATTGAAGATGGAGAAGACAGTGAATCAATATCAATCGGTTTATTGTTTCGAAAGAACAAAACAAAATTACAGCATAAAATTGTAACAATACGAAATACAGAATCAAAATAACTAATAACTGATAACTGATAACTGATAGCTAATAATTAAGTAAATAACTAATAATTAATTAATAAATTATTTACTTAATTATAGCAATTTTCGTAATGGTGGTAATAATAAATATTATTTGGAAACTTTGATATCAGAAATTCTTGATCATATTTCTATTTTGGCTATATCTTTGCATCTCAGCCTTGAAACAGCTCGGGTTTAATACACAGATTGAACACCAGCTCATGAAGGATACGTGAATTTGTAAAGGCAATCGAAGAGCGCACCATTGATGCTGCGATTTGTGTTTCTATGTCTGATAACATCTCAGTCTTTTGAAACAACTGAAACAACTGAAACAACTGAAACAACTGAAACAACTGAAACAACTGAAGTCAATTTCCTAAGCTCCAATTTTGGTTTACACTTCTTCACGATGATTAGCAGATCAGACCAGCTGGAGCGCCCACTTCCACGGGGATGGACTCAGCCTATGCAACCGCACGCCAGCAAACAAACCTGCAGCGTCCCGTTTCTGCGTCCGATATGGCCACAGAGCCGCTGGCCAGATCGGGCGCAAAGAAGTGTAACTGAATAATGGACGTCTTGAACACGAAAAGAGATTGTGCTCTTTTGTTCTTTTGTTCTTTCTGCCTTTTCTGTTTATTTACAAGAATCCACAAACGATGGAGCTACACAAACGATGAGTATGACGAGGCTCATTACACATTTTCGCAACTCATTGGAAAGACTCAGTTAGCTCAACAAACTTTTCCCGTAATTCATCAACACTGGAGTAGTGCTCGACCTGATTGGTCTTGCAATTTCTCACTGCTATCTGCCCTCCATTGATTTCCTTTTCGCCTATCACAATAATATAGTTGTAGCCCTTTTGCGTGGCGTTTTTAATTCTGCGATTGATTCCAACTGACCTTGAATCCATATCGACATCAAATAGATCCCTTTTAGACAACGAGATAGCGTTGTTCAAATCGTTGTTGAAACCCGATAGTTTTTTTTGGAAATCCTGAGAAAATTCCAAATGGTGCTCATTTGATACTGGTAGGACGATTGCTTGTCTTGGAGATAACCAAAAGGGCCATTTTCCTTCATAGTGATCAATCAAAATGGCTAGAAATCTTTCAATTGAGCCATAAATAGCTCTATGAATCATGACCGGGGTCTTTAATAGCCCCTGACTATCTTTATATGTTAGTTTGAATCTTTGCGGCAACTGGAAGTCTAATTGGATTGTAGCAGATTGATGTTCTTTTCCGAAATTATCTTTCAATAGGATATCCACTTTGGGACCATAAAATGCACCATCGCCTTCATTAATTTCCCACTTTTTCCCAGTAGACTCTAAAACTTGTTTTAAATTTGATTCAGCGGCGTCCCAGTCAGCCAATTCACCAATGTATTTCTCGCTAGGTCTTGTTGATAGTAATAGTTTATAATCGTTGATACCAAAGGTTTTGTAAACAGTATCAACCAATCTCAAATTATTGTTAATTTCATCTTTAATTTGCTCAATAGTACAAAAGATATGAGCGTCGTCTTGGTGGAATCTTCTAACCCTTGTTAATCCACTTAGTGCACCAGATTGCTCATTTCGATGCAATGAAGAAAAATCAGAATACCGAATTGGAAGCTCATTGTAACTTCGGTCCTTTCTCAGATAAATCAAACAATGCCCAGGACAGTTCATGGGCTTCAACCCAAAGGACTCCTTTTCATCGTCCCTCGAGCTTTTAACAACAAACATATCGTCCTTATAGTTGTCCCAATGGCCAGACTTTTCCCAAAGGCTTTTCCGGTAAAGCAACGGCGTCATCACCTCATCGAAATTCAATTTCATCTGCTGCAATTTCATAAAGGAAACCAACTTGTTGATGAGCCTGGTCCCATGGGGCAAGAAGAAAATGGACCCAGGTGAAACAGCATCTATCATATATAGCTCCTGGCGATTTGAGATGCTCGAGTTCACTGTCGACGATGATGGAACCTGTCTGGGATCTGCTGCCTCAGAGGAACACCATCGCACCCATCGGGCTGTACCCACAAAACGCCTCTGCGACAAAATAAGAGTCGCTAGCTGTACCATCCTCTGCTTCCTCTGCACCATTTCCAACAACAGCCTCTTCTTTCTCTTCCTCTTCCTCTTCCTCTTCCTCTTTCTCTTCTTCTCTTCACCACTGAATTTCTCCATCCGCTGATTCTGCATGTCCATGCATTTATCTGCTGTATGTCACATGCCGCAGCTCTCCTTTTTGCTGGTTCTGCTTCCTTCTTCACTTCTTCTTTCTTCAGCTTCTTTAGCTTCTTCACCACCACAATTTCCATGTTTCGCTTCAAGACAAACAAGTCCAAGGCTCCTCCAACTGCCCCTTCAACTGCACCTTTAGCTGCTGCTCCAGCTCCCCCTCCAGCCGCAGTTCCCCCTCCCCCACAACCTCCATTTTTTGCACCTTCCTCCAATGGCTCTCTGGCTCCTCCTCCACCTCCACCACCAGGAATGCCTGCTTTTATAAACAATGGATCACTGGCCCCTCCTCCTCCTCCTCCTCCTCCTCCAGGGATGCCTGCTTTTGCAAATAGTAACCAGGCTTCCCCTCCTCCTCCAGCCTCAGGCACTGGTGGAGCTCTACCGTTTTTAGCTGAGATCAATGCCAAAAGAAACGACTCATACGTCGTCGATAAGGTGTCTAAAAACTTCAATCCTGCTGAGTCTGTTTCTTCTGTTTCTAAATCCAATTCATCTACTAACAGTGCCCCCAAAATTGCAAGTGCTCCTTCAATTCCAAAATTCTCTTCTCCAAAGACTCCCTCATCAATGTCCTTCATGGATCAATTGAGCTCTTCCATAGCTGGAAGATCTAATAACAACTCAAACAACCAAAGGATAACATCTTCAAGTTCAATAAATCCTCCCAAATTCTCTGCTCCACCAATCCCTAGTGCTCCTGCTCCATCTTTACCTCCGCAACCTTCTCCCAAAAGACCTTCTCATAGACCAAATAAACAAAAATTCACTCCAAAAGTCCCTACACTGAGACCTAGAATATCATCCTCTAAATTCTCCAATAAACCAAATGTTAAACCACCAATAATAACACCATTGAATGCTCCTCCAATGGCTCCCCCAATTGCCCCTCCACTAGCAAACCAAAATTTAAACACTCAGAACGTTCCCTCAGCACCACCTCTACCTCCACCTCTTCCAAACCAATCAAATTCCAATATCCCTCCTCCGCCTAAATTGCCATCTTTCAATTCCAATAAAAGTACAAATTCAAAACCCCAAACTTCTAATCCCCTAGCTGGTGGTTTACCCTTTTTGGCTCAAATAAATGCAAGAAGAGACGAATCAAATGTGATAGATGATAAAGCTGTTAAAAATAATAAAAATGCTCAAGCTAACACTCCCGTTTCAACTCATAAATCCTTTTCCCAAAAATCTTCTTCTATAAATAAGTTTTCGGCTCCTCCAATTCCAAATGCCTCTCCTCCTCCCCTCTCTTCTGTTCCAACTTTACCCAAATCAAAACCTCCTCCGTTACCTAATTCTATGGCTCCTCCATTACCAAACTTCAAAGCTCCTTCAATTCCTAAATCAAATCCACCACTGGCACCATCAGCTCCACTAGCCCCACCAATTTCTCCAGAAATATCTTCATTTTCTCTGGGAAAAAATAAATTTCCAAATAATTCTTCTCTCTCACCCCTTTCATCTGGCTTGCCATTTTTAGCAGAGATAAATCTGAGAAGAGATGAATCTCATGTAATTAATAGTACAACTTCTCAACCGAAAAAAACCAGAAATCAAAATTTTCCTTCTAACTCTGCTCCAGCCCTTCCAAAATTCTCTGCTCCTCCAATTCCATCGCTTCCATCGGCTCCTCCACCTCTGTTTACATCTCAAGCTCCTTCTATTCCTAAAGCTCCTCCTGCCTCACCTGCACCGCCAGCACCATCTTTTCAAGGGTTTGGCAAACAGCCTCCAAAACCTTTAAAACCCTCAATTAATACTCCTGCAATATCTAGCGGTTTACCCTTTTTAGCAGAAATCAATGCCAGAAGAGATGATTCAAATGTTGTTGATGAGTCTAAAGTTAAACAATCAAAATCTCCATCTAATAATATAGGTTTTGGTCGACCTAATCCATCCAAAGCTAATGCTCCACCAATACCAACTTTCAGTGCACCACCATTACCCACTATGAGTGCACCTCCAATACCTACATCAAGTGCTCCACCAATACCGAAGTTTGCTGCTCCTTCCTCAATTCCTCCAGTGGAATCTAATTCACATTCCACCATGGATTCCAATTCTAATTTCGGTCCTTCTGGCGGATTGCCATTTTTAAATGAAATAAATAAATTAAGAATTTCTCCAGATCTTAATAAACCTACTCCACTGCAAAAGTTTTCTGCTCCAAAGATTTCTGTTGCTCCTCCTGTACCTCCTGCACCTCCTGCACCTGCACCTTCAATATCTGCCCCTTCTTTTCCTAATGTCTCTACTGCTCCTGCATTGCCATATTTAGATCAAATAAATTCACTAAATAATAAGGAAACCCCTTCTGGTCAATCTACAAATTCCTATCATTTTACTCAAAACTCCCAGGTTTCCAGTTTCAATAATGATAATAATTCTGATTATACTCCAAAACATTCTTATAAACCACCACCCCCACCGCCAGTTTCAACTGGTGGTGATAATGGAGGGAACAGTGATAACGTTTCTGAAGTGGATAATCATAAATTCAATGGCAGTTCTACTAGAAAGAGAATGTTTTCTGTAGGAAAAAGTGATAATACTCAAGAATTTTCCAGCATTGGCTCTTCAATATACAATGTTGGACTTACAAATGGGCAGAATAATGAACGATTTGAAATTGAAGATTCAAGATTTGGATTCATCAATCGAAATGATTTACCCAGACCTCGTAAATGGGTTGGGTTACAAAAGTTATATCCGTCAGGAAGAGGCAGTACAGTTCCGTTAAATTTGAGTCTTTATATGTAAAATTGGTAGATAATGAGGTTTATTTTCATTTTCACTTTTACTTTTACTTTTACTTTTACTTTTAATGTTAATTTTAATGTTAATTTTACTTTTAATTTTAATGTTAATTTTAATTTTAATGTTAATGTTAATGTTAATGTTAATGTTAGTGTTGATTATTTTTTTGTGGGTTTTTTTAAAAGAAGTAATTGTAATATCATAAAACTGGTAATGGTGTGGGTGATAGGAGTAATTTTATAGGAAAAACATATTTTGTGTGAATGTAGGAAAAATTGTACAGGTGATTCAGATGAGATATATAAAATTAGATAATTTTTTGTGAACTTGGGGATTCAAGTAAGGAATGTTTAATGTTATATTCAAACTCCCAGAACGAAAATTCCAATTGATACCTGCTTAACATAAAAAAGAAATACGGCATCTTCGCTTTAGAAGAGAAAGAAAAAAAATATCATCCAAATACAATGCAATACAATAAAATAATATAAAATAATATAAAATAATATAAAATAATATAAAATAATATAAAATAATATAATATAATATAAAATAAAATAAAATAAAATAACGTAAAATAAAGGTGCTTAACATTCCATAATATATGTGATTCTGATTAGGAAAATTTCTGTTATAATCATTCAGTTGATGTACCTTCTAGTCTGTAAATTGGGACTATAAAATTTCAACCATGTTGGTAGTATGTTATTAGAAGTTAAGAGCACTTGATTAAGAAATGTTTTTGTTTGGGTGAAAACAAAGAAAGAGAGAGAAAAAGATAACATTGAATTTAGTTTTATATAGCATAAATACGAAATTTAGTAGAACCGAGTGGATAAAACAAACGAAGAGGAAGCAAAGAATGTATAAAGTAATTTACACGAGGTAAAAGTAGGAAAAGACCCAGCAAGAGTTATATAACCAGTTGATCAGGGAAAGTAATGAATTGATGATGAACTTGATTGAATTCCATTACAAATTAGAAAAAAGTGAAGGAAAATAAAACTTATTTAAGGTGAGCATAAGTCTTTAAGCTATTTTTGTGGTTCGTATAAAATTCAAATAAATTTATGATTTGCATGGTTACCAACAAATGTTGAAATCATTTGATGAGAAAAGAACCAAAAACCAAGGAAAGTGTCTACAAATGAGGAAGCTACTTACCAGATATAAAACAATTTGAATGGGTTAATTTTCCGACAAAACGTCTTCGATTTGTTTTCAATTTGTTTTCATTTGTTTTCATTTGCAGAAAACGAGCCATTAGTGGTTTTGAAATTGTAACAAAAAACATACAAACAAGAAACAGCCATTGCAGTTCTGGGGGAAAGCAAGAAAACAACTGGAAATGGCCAGAAAAAACGAACAAAACACCCACAAAACAGCAGCAGAAAGCAGAAAAGCCAGCTCCAAGCCAGTTATAAAAAAAATGAGTTTTCCTGGTTGGAGAACACAGCAGACTAATATTCATTTAGAGTGCCAACTGACCCAGAACCGAAACCAAAACGAAACCAAAACGAGCTGCAATGGAGCCTTAAAGCATGGAGGACGTGGAAACGCAGACCAGAGAAAGAACAGCAGTACTTGCTCAGCACTTGCTCAACAGGCCTGGAGTCTGGCGAATGGTTTGCAACTGCTCCAGGGCCTGAAGCGAAATCTGCTCGAGCTGATTGGTAAAACGTGGTTGGGCCTTTCCCAGATCAGGCACTGCTCGAGCTGATGCTCCGATTCTCTGGCAGTATATAACCAATATCAATGTTCTGGGATGAGCCTTTTCTTTGTCACCAGAAACACTTGTTTGCGGTTTTACTTCTACTCGAGGCCAGTCTTCACGAAAGCTGTTATTTCTCCCACTGAGTTGCTGTGCTTTTGCTTTTCCCCTTCGCTTCCTTACTACAATGACTTATCCTAATGGAATCACCGGCGACTTGAAGATAGAACGAATAACTCCCGGCGACAACGAGACATACCCCAAGGTTGGTGACACTGTGGTGATCCACTACACAGGCACCTTGAACAATGGAGCCAAGTTTGATTCCTCCAGAGATCGCGACGAGCCTTTTCAAACACAAATTGGTGTTGGCAGAGTTATCAAGGGCTGGGACATTGGTGTCTTGCAGTTGAGTGTTGGTGAGCGAGCCCGGTTGATCATTCCCTACAACTTGGGATATGGCTACAGAGGCTTTCCACCTGTGATCCCTCCTAAGGCCACTCTCATCTTTGATGTCGAACTACTAGAAATTCTATAGTTTTTGCTTTCCAGCAATTGTATAAATCGAATCAAGAGCTGTGTTTTTTGTTGTTTTCCAGCGAAATCTCAGAACAAAGTTTATTCCCTTCTGTGTTTATGACCCAAAGAGAAACAAGTTGTAATGTTGCCGCAGACTGCATATTCCCGCGCTCAAACAAAATATTTTTACAACCACGCGCAGCTGCAGTATTTGTGCATATCAAAATATGCACAAATGCGCACGCACTTTTTGTTTTTTCTTTCCTCCACTCATCAGCCACGTGGTATTGTGCACATCTTGTGGCTTGTTGTGCGATGAAGATATATATTTTTTGGCTCATTATATAAAAAAGACCCACATTCGACATCTTTTGTGATATTGTAGAAACTCTTTGTAGATTTATTTAGGGATATTGGATTATTTTGTCGCTTTTTTGATTTGGTAGAATTCGTTTTTCGCTTTTTTGCTTTTTTAATCAAAAGAATACCAAATAAAAACACTTATTAATAATCCAATCAATTTTAAAAATAATTTTTCAAAATGACAGCATCTATTCCATCTGTAGCAATAGATCAGCTTTCAACTAATAATGAAACCCCCTATCCGGTTTTAAACCAGGATTCGTTACTAAAGTTTTCTGATCAAGAATTGGAAAATTTAAATAAATCCCTAGAAAATTATTCCACTGAACAAATATTGCTTTGGTCCATTAAAAACCTTAATAATCTATACCAAACAACTGCCTTTGGTCTAACAGGTCTTGTTACGATCGATCTACTATCAAAAATATACTCAGCCAATAGCAATATCAAACCAATTGATCTAATCTTTCTAGATACTCTACATCATTTCCCACAAACTTTAGATTTACTCAAAAATGTTCAAAATAAATACCCGTTTTTAAAGATAAATATCTTCAAACCACATCATTGCGAATCTGAACTCGAATTTGCTAAAAAATATGGTGATAATTTATGGGAAAATAACGACAATTACTACGATTTTTTAGTTAAAGTTGAACCCTTATCAAGAGCTTATAAATCGTTAAATGTCAATGCAATCTTAACTGGAAGAAGAAAGGTTCAAGGTGGAGGTAGATCTACTCTAAAAATCATCGAGCTCGATAGAATAAACAATATAATCAAAATAAATCCTTTAATCAATTGGGATTTTAATCAGGTCAAATCTTATATTACCGATAACAATGTTCCATATAACGAACTCTTGAATTATGGCTATAAATCCGTTGGTGATTATCATTCGACCTTTCCAGTTGGCGAAAATGAAAATGAAAGAGATGGAAGATGGAAAGGCAAAAGCAAAAGTGAATGTGGAATTCACGAGTTTTCAAGATTTGCACAATACTTGAAAACNGAAAATGAAAATGAAAGAGATGGAAGATGGAAAGGCAAAAGCAAAAGTGAATGTGGAATTCACGAGTTTTCAAGATTTGCACAATACTTGAAAACTGTATAATTATAAACTATATACACCGAACCAAACATCTATACACCCATTTGTTTTCTTTTTATTCTACAATTTAGACAAGATACCATCTTTTATCGACACCAATCCCTCTTGAACAATATACGCAATTAGCTTCCCATCACTGCGATATATCTGACCTGTAACCAAACTTAGCCCATTGGATGACTTTGGAGAATCTACCACAAACACCATCCACTCGTCGCACCGGTAGTCTGATTCGTGGTCCAAATCCATGTTGAAGTATATGCTGTGGTCCATCGACACTGAAAACAGCGACGAGTAGAGCTTCCTATCAGATAGTGGCATCACACACAATAGAAAAAACGCATCTGATAGATACGACACTCCAATTTGATTGAACTCACAATGGTTCTGTATTCTGGGCTTGACCCTAATCCAATAATACATTTTCCTTAAATACACAGCCAAAGATGGCCTGAATAGCAGCGCCCTCATCTTGTAGCTGTTTCTGTGCTTTTTGTCCCTTTTGTTCTTCAATGACCCATCTTCAACATCGTCAACATTGTCAACATCGTCAAAATACTCTCTTGGAAACCTCACCTCAAGAGGATCGCTCTCAAACGACTTTCTGATTCTCGCATCAAAATCGATGTCCTGGACAGATATGCACTCGTCCACCTCTGCGATTCCATCCAAGTCAAGCATTGGCTGGTACTTTAGCTGTGGTCCTAGGCTGGACATTGATCCCTGTGGATTGCCCACATTCTTGAACGATATGATGCTTATGAATATCACTGCTCCATTCTGGTACGCTTTGACCTCTCTGGTGACGAAGTTCCTGCCATCTCGGATTCTCTCAACTCTGAATTGCAAGTCTATGGATGAATCGCCACCAAGCACAAACGTGTTGTGGATGCTGTGCTGCTTGAAATCGCTGGTGCCTGTTTGGACGTTGACTGGCAAAGTTCTGGCAGCTGAAAGCAACGATTTGGCAATCAATGTGCCACCAAAGATGCCCCTGTTGGCCCCAGGAACATGGAGATAGCCATTGCTCTTGAAGTGGTTGTTTCCTTGGGCAACCACTGAGAGCTGTGTCTCGAGAGTCGACTTCATTTTGTGGATGTGGGCAAAGCAGCGAGGAAAGCAACAAGCAAAGGCGATAAGCAAAAGCGATAAGCAAAAGCGATAGAATCAACTTCCATTGGTGACTTTCGGAAGATAGTTAGAGGCATCCGCAGCTGTGGCTCCTGCAGCCGATGGCAGCTCCAACAATGCTGTTTTTCCGGCCAAGCTCTTCGTGTTCGGGAAAATCCCATTGAGATCCTGGCTCACTCTTTTGGTGCTTTTACAGCAAATGAAGTGGATATCATGACCAATGCTTTGTGTAAATATCGTCGGTTATCACAAGTGATTGCGTTGGTGTGTGGTGCTACTCAAATAACAGCTACAAAAACAAACTATATAGAACTCGGACTAAACTCCCATCAGAAACACCCACTTTAACTGCCCTATTACTCCACAGGCTTGTTTCATCATTTGTAGAGCTGCTGGAATCCGTGGGTATTACTGAGGATGAGCTGCTAGTAGACGACGAAATAGTGGATGATAAAGTAGTACTTGACAAAGTAGTGGATAATGATCGTGTAGAGCTGGACGAAATTGTTTCAATGATTGACAGAATAGTACTGTTTGACGAAGAATCGCGTTTATAAATTTTTATCTCAACGCAGTCATCGTCAGTGTTTTCTAATTCAATTGTGTAGTTTGATGATTTTCCATGATCATAACATGCATAAAAGCTCGAGGAACCGTTGTTAAGCAAATATCCATCTTCATCAAAACTGAAATTTTGCGATTTCATATCACTAACACTGCTAGTAAAAGTAGCAGTTGCTTGTATTCGAGCCATAGGAGTATCTTCTTCCCGGAAAGGTAAAGTAATTTGATTAGCTTCAGTATTATAGTATAGTTGTTCTGGGTCATTTGTAACCAAAAGTCTATCATCGCCAGTACGAATTCCCTTCTCGTCAATCTCTGGAACAGAGGGAGCTTCTACTTGCAAATAAATAGATTCCACGCTGCTTGAAATGGAATGTAAGCTAAATGAAAAAACAATAAACAAAAACAATAAAATAAAGCTCATGATTCTTCTTTATCGGTAACTTTAACCAGCAACTTATAAACACTGTTTGATTTTGACAAAAATCTTCAGATATATTGAGATCTATTGTCAAATAATTCGTTATATAAGTTGAGGCTGAAGAAAAATATAAAGATATTATGGCGGAAAGTTAACCTGCATTGTTACGTCTTCAGAATTGTTTATTGTGAACACAACACCCAAAAATAGAAATTCAAAAAGACAACAGGAAATTGTTCTTTCACAGTGGCATTATATCTTATACAGGTGCAAAATCATTGGAATATCATCGCTAAAAGAACGAAGAGCAAATGCTCTTTGCAAATCAAAACAATGGAAGGATGGCTCGTCAGTAACAGCATCTGACTCACCAACAGTCATGTACAATTTGACGGTTATGCACTTGTCTTTAACAGGTTTGGTAAATATGAAATGAGATTTCAGTAGGTGTTGGTATAAATCAGATACATTTTTGCATGCATAGAAATCGATCAGTGTGCCATTCACCAACTAATACCCTCCTTCATCAAACGTGAATAGATCGTAAGAGCTTCTATAATACACCTTGGCGATATATAAGTTAAAATTTAGATAAGCTTTGGTGTGTGCCCTATGTTGTAGTAGATTTGCAGGTTCTCACCCTCATAAATCAATTCCAGCCCGTTATTACTAATGAATAGATCGTCGAATTCAGCTCAGAGATTTGGGATAATGCAATTGGACCATTGAAACTGGAGACGCCCTTAATGGGATTCTTACCTACAACTGAAATCAGGAATGAAGATGCAATTCCAGATTGTTCATTTTTTATGAGTTTTTTCTTTGAAAAGGAAGACAGTATTTTATTCGTAAAACAAAAAAAACAGAACTTTTGCTAGGTTTTTAGTCTCTGTTATTTTTTATCCATTTGGAACACCTTTTCGAAAGTTTGGTAATTAATGCCATTAAAAAAAAATTTAAACAAAAACTATAAAAGCACCAAATCATTAAACACATTAAGCCAAAGAAAATAACAAAACGTAAAGAACTAAGCCAAAACTAAAAAAATAATAACAAAATAAATATATATGATAAATAAAACTGGTTTTGAATACTCAAATCGAAATCTCTGACTGCGACAGCATAGCTTCTGTAAAGCCTAGTTCTATTGGTAATATACGTGGAATAATTTTTACTAGAAGAAAACGATGATTCATTCAAAGAACTGAAAAATGATTCCATAGCTTCACTTGAATAAAATTCTGTTGTTACTACTTTTGTGTAAATACCAAAGATAAGCTTTGACTTTGTATGTGTTTGATTTCTTTCGTCTGTTGAGACTGTAGTGTAATTATAATCTGAGTATTTTTTCAAAATTTCAGTCTTGTAAAGATAATAAGAACTATTATACAAAGCAGCTTTACTTGCCATTGGAAGCAATGATGAATTGTCTGTTATCACATCAATTGAAATATCATCTTGAACTTTTGAAGAATTTGCGGTATTTGAAGCATTGTGAAGAGACCTCCCCAAGGATATCGTTTCATGGTCAATATCAAACACCAAATACAAATATTTTAATATATTTAATCCAAGCAAAAACTCTGATTCACTGACTAAAAATTGATTTGGATAGCTAGCAGATTTTACGGAATCATTCCAATCCAACCAATATTTTTCATTGTTCAGACTGCTTTGTTTATCACTCGAATATAGGCCAATTAATTCGTATGCAGGAATAGATAAATTGAAACCAGAGAAATCAAAAGTAAAGTTTTCTTTGTTTAAAAAATTGTTTATACAATCATAATCAACTTCACTACAATTAGTAATCTTATTATGATCACCATCAAACAAATATAATTCTAGATAAACTTCACTCGGGATATAGGTCGATTTAATATCACTGTCCCAACCATTGATATTAAACTTCACAGCGTAGTTTTTTTCTGGTTGTGGAAATAGGCTTTGGCCATTTAAGGTCAAACCATTTAATGTAATAGCATAGGTATAACTTTCTTCTTGTGCCTGGTTGCTTGGATTGATCATGGGAATTGTGGTCAAATATTTATCTGAATATTTTGATTTATCAATTGCGCCAAATAAAATCTGAGAGATTCCATTTGAACCAGCTGAATTGGCAAAAGTAAAGGACATTATTTTTCTTTTAATATAATTATTTTTAATTAACAAATCCCAAAGATTTGGAACCTCTTTGTTGCAATCAGGGTTGGATTTTAGACCAAAAAGACTTAATATACCAACTGGAGTTTGTGCATTATAGTAGACATTGCAGAATGGAAAATTATCGATCAATAATTGATTAGAAAATGCAAAAATATCAGTGCCTAAAACCCCTAACATGCCTCCTATTTGACATGTATTATCAGCATCTTCAAGTAACAATGGAGAGTAGTTGGTAGAATTGGAGTCATCATAAGTTCCGTAAAGATCACAATTCAATGAACTTGTAAATTGATTGAAAAAATCCTGATAATATGATACATTTTCAAAAGTAGTCTTTTCGCAATTCGGATTGACAGGAGATTGTAAAACTGAATAGCATGCTCCTAAATGTACAGCCAAAAGAATCTCTTGTTCTGGATTTCCAACAAATATCCTGGCGTACATAATCGTTGTAAAGGAAAATGGGTTAAATTGGCTAGATTGCATATATTGTGTATGTTGGTTATATTGGTGGTTTCTTTTCTGATCTGATTCTAGAAAAAAGCTCAAAACAACATAATTATTGCTCCCATAAGCCCATATCAGCCAGATTACTAGTAATATTAGTTGGAATGGCATCATTACCTGCACTTCTTTCTGTTCTTTTTTTCAATGGAGAGAACAAAAAACAGCAGTGAAAAGTCGAAGCAGTGTTTGGCCATAGATGTTATTTATAATACTGCTCAATTACGAGTTGAATTTCTTTAAGGCATGTAATCTAAAAACAACCTGAGCTTCGCCTATTATCAAAACTTGGAGCTGGAGTATAATAAGCACACAGGAAATGGGAGAATTTTGGATTTTTTGCTCAAAGGTTGGATTTGTTGCACGGTTCGAGAGTCAAAATTGAGAAAATGAGACTAAAACATTGGGACTAAAAGATTCTTTATTTCAATAACCATAATGTTCTGAGGCTGAAAAGGTTTGCATTAAAATTCGAACAGAATTAGTTGCTATCTAGAGGATATAAATCTATGGCGTTTCTTGGTTTGTTTTTTGTTGTTTTGTGGGTTCCTACATAGTTCATTTAAATGATATCGTGTAGAGCTTTGTTTCTATGATGCACCAAAACTACTCTCCCAGAAAATTGCATTCCTTTTTAATTTTTTTAATTTGTCAATTTATCAATATCTGTTATGCTAGTGATGGGTTTTTCTCTCTTGATTGCTATCGGCTTTCTTCGTCTGTCGATGTTATAAATGTTGCAGTAGCTGGTCAGCCTGTTGTTCTTCTACCTGCCATGACTTCATCAAATACCTATGTTTTTTCCCTGATGAATGTCTGGTGCAATGATCCAAGTATTAGACTCAAAAATAGTGACTTTGGTAAGATAGCTAATTCTGTTTCATATTTCCACAATTACAACTGCCGATATGGAACTTATTTTCATGCAAACTCGACAGCTTTTAAGAGTATAAATGCTGTGTTTTATGACGAAAATTCGACAAGCGTTCCATATGGTGTTGTTAGCGAAGACATTTTTAGTTTTAATGAAAATGATGATTTAAAAATCTCAAGTTTTACATTTGGGTACATTTATAATGATCCAGGAATCAATGAATCTTATCCAAGTTCTGGTCAGTTTGGTTTATTGGATAATCAAAATAATTCATTTTGGAATAGATTGGAAGATGAAAGTCTTATTAAAAGAAAAGTTCTATCATATGGAAGTCATTTTCAAGAAATTGTTCAAGACAATAATAGTTTCAAAAATTTAAGTAAAAATAAGATATTGATAGGTGCTTACGATAAAAATAAATTTCAGGAAGATCTTCTAACAACTTTGCCAATGGTAAATAACACTATTGCTTTTACTCTTAGTGGGTTGTCAATTCATTTTTCAGATGATTTTAGAAAAAATTATATTGAAAAAGAAAAAATTAATATGTTTAGCTCATTCTAAAAGTTTGGAGTTATTCCTCTTCCATTCCAGGAAAAAAGATTGTATTCTCAGTTTCCAAAATCTATTTTTAAAAAATTTATTTCAAATGAATACACTAATTATTGTGTTAATAATGTCACTTCCAAGAATGAAAGAAAAAAATGCATAAACAGTGTCTTGGATGGATATGTATCATTTAATTTTTCTGGATATATTTTAGATATACCAATGTCAGAGTTTTTCTATTCTAAATACTCTACATCGTTAGAAAGAGAAATAACACATAATACATCATTTATTGATGAATCAACTGACAACTTTTTTGTTTTAAGATCATTGTTTCTTTCCAATTTATATTTAAGCATTGATTTCAATTATAATACCATATCATTAGGAAGGTCCTATAAAAATGTTGATTTAAATAGTACTACTGAAGACATTCAAATTATTAGTGAAGATTCTTCTCTTTTGCCTTCAGCAACTTATGCTAAATATTACACAGACTCATTTTACTCAACTGAAACCGTTATAACTATTGTTCAATCAGCATACACAGGAACCTCGGTTCTAACAATAAATGGAACATTGACAACAAAAACACTTTCATCCAAAAGATATAAAGAAACTATTTCTGAGACTTTTTATTCATCTCAAGACCTCAGCAGTTTTATAGAAAAATATAAAACACTAACTCTCAATTCTAGTGTTTATGCAGGTTTTGAAGATTCAAAAATCAGTTCTTCAAAATCATCAAGATTAAGGGCTAGTATAGTGAATACATTTCTTTACATTATTTTAGGGTCTTCTATTTCGTTTTTAGCTTTGCTTTAGTTGTTTTGTTGAAAGTTTCATCTCTCATGGTTTAAGTTTTGAAACACTTTATTTTTTGGATAATTGTAGAGCTTGTCAACTGCTATTTATTCTGGTGAAGCGCTTTTCAGTTCAGAAAGATTCAACACCTTCCAAAAGTGGACAGAGAACAACGTCATTAACTGCCAGAATCAAATGACCCGTGCATGACATGAATCTAAAACTTTATCCGGTATCTAGAATGTTTGCATCTGCTTACTATAGTCAACAACTTATTATAATGTGCTACAAGCAAAAACAGAGAATTTAAATGAAATGAGCAAATAATATTATTTGATTTGATAACAGAAAAGAGTTTGCACTGGTTATTAAGTAACTAGTGACGATCTGATGATTGAGCTGAAATAAATAAGCTGAAATAATTAGTTATAAATTATATTAAGAAGTTTTGCCTTTGATAATATCTTTGTTTATAGTTGAATTGAAATACACTATCAACGTTGCTTGCAATGATTTTCTAGCATAGCCGATTATATCTCAAATTTAAATATTTTACTTATTTAAGCAGAAGGAGTCTTATGTTTTGTATTTTGTTTTCGTATGAAACAGTGAACTAAAAATCAATTCTAAATAATTTTCTAAAAATGCTAAACATAGAGATAATTTTTTCTGTAAATACTGAATTGAATTACAAAATTAAAGTAATTCTTTTAATAATTGAACAAAAAGTTCTCAAAACAGAGTTATTGATTCAAATAGGCAAAAGAAACCTCTTTCATTCCAAAATCATAAACCATATATAAATATTGCAAAGCATAGAATCCAAACCAAATCTCCGAATCACTGTATGAAATTCCCAAGGCATCGGAATCGAATGTGCACGTTCTATTGGTTTTTCTATGAAAATCTCGAAAGGGAAGAGTTATTAGGTTTCTAGTAAAATTAAATTCTAAGTAATCATTATTCGGATCAAGTAGAAAGCAGCTAAAAGACCCTTGATCCTCCAGCAATGCAAAATATTTGGATAATTTTGAATAAACAAAAGATGGTAATGACAATTTCTCCTTTTGTAAGAAATCAAGATCCACATTAACTTTTGTAACTATGGATGAAGAAATTAATTGTATTGTGTAATTTTGAATTTTATTTCTTGAATTTCTAATACCATGAATAAGGTTTAAACCCGTTAGTTTAACAAATAAACCAGTAAAAATCCCAGATCTGGTTTTAGTATCTGATATTTCTATTTGTTCAAATGGAAGAGTGATCAACTCACCTTTGAACTTATCATTATCTATGCCCCCCCCCCCCCAATAAGACTTCTCCATCGAAATTCATTTTATCTGTTGAATTGTAAATGCTAAATACTTTTTGAATATTATTTCTTTGAGATAAAAACTCGAGGAAAGTAGGATATGTCACATCAGCATTGTTTATTTTAGCTGCGACATTTAACAATGGATTCATCCCAATGATATTTCTATCCCATTTGGGGTACTTTTTTTACATCAACAAATTGAAATGAGCTGATTTCAAATTCATCTAGGAATAAATAATCTTGAGCATAATTTGAATTTGCAAATGAATAATTAGTTCCTGATGTTATATCACTTAAAATATGAGACGTAAGTGATTTTGAGGAATCATAGATCAAAACATACGAAGAACCTTCAAAGACTGAACTTATTATAGAATCAGAAAATTTTGTGGTCAAAACTGCCTGTAATAACGCTGGAGGATAACCCAAATCAAGCTGTACAAATACACCTGGTTCCCCTTTATCGTTAGTTGATGTAAAGTATAACCTTTCGTAGCTAAATGTGTCATTCAAAGCTGCTGCTACTACTGATATTATTTGGAACAAGTAAATGGGGACAGAAATGATCATTATTATAGTATTTTTAAAATCATCAACATACACCAATATCAGTGGAAATGGTTCGCAAAATAATTGAATTGGAAATGTATATCTATTTATTTATATTCAGATCATTCTCCAAACTTGAGTTTATAATTTATGATTTTTCCAGCACAAATCGACTCAGCCTGAGACCTAAAGTATCCATATGTTTGTAAAGCATATAGCACTGCCAAACAATACAGTTTTATATATATCTGACCTAAGAATGGTAGTTTTCTGTTTCTTGAAAATATCTACATCTATAGATATTCGAACAAAAAAGAATGGTTCATCTGTGTATATTTCTCTTGCTTCTACAATTGTTTTCCGAATGTGCAGCCCATTATCTAAAGGTTCCATTTAGAGTTAAGAATCTTTCCAATGATTATCCAGGGTACTATGTTAACTTAAGTATTGGTTTTCCATACCAGGAGGTTGAGATGATTCTTTCAACAGAATTTGCAGACACGATAATTAGCTCTGAGTATAATTCTAAAGAAGGTTTTGTACCATTTTATGCTTTTGGCAAATCTTTGACAGTATTTTCAAATCTAACCAATGCAGGTTCAAACTACTCGTTCTATAGATCGAATTATAAGACAGATGAGTTTCATTTTGATGGTGTCACTGTAAAGGATGTCTCATTTGTTTATGTAACAAAATATCCCAAATACCAAGTCAATGTATTGGGATTGAATCCTTTATTACCAGTGGCATCAAAAATTAATAATGTCGAGATCAAATATCAACTGATATTGAATAAGTTGTATGATTCAAAATTAATTTCAAGAAGATTATTTAGCATCTTTCAACTAAGTGATCAAGGTGTAGTGAATAATGGGACTATTTTATTTGGTGCCATAGATAACAAAAAGTTCAATGAAAGCTTACAAACAATTGATTTCGAGATTAACGAAGTTTCTAATAGTAGAAAACGATTAGGGATTTACCAAGGAATTTATTTAAATTTAACAGGATTAGATTTTTTGCATGTTATAAAAGATGATAAGGGCAATGTGTATGAATTTCAAATAAATTTATATACCTATAAGAACAATACAATGTCCAATCAACCAATAAAAGCAAATATCGATATTGACTTCTGGGATTATGCAATGTCATTTCCTAAATCAATTTCTAAGATTTTTTTTGGGAAATATTTAAAATTAAAAATTGGGGATATTTATCAACCATATGACTGTCGGGTTGCATTTAAACATGATTATTTTCGATTTAGTTTTACAAATAAAATCATTAAGATACCATTTTCAAATTTTTATAATTTTGATTTTTATACTGAAGATTGTGTTTTAACTAGAGATTCGATTGGAGTTAATTCATTTAGTGACAACGAAGTGTTTTTGGGTGATTCATTTTTAAGATCATTAGTTATGGTTTATGATTTTGATTCTAAAGAGGTTTCATTTAGTAAATTATTAAATTTAACGTTACCATATGAGGAAAATATAATATCTGTTAATGATTCAATGTCAAATTATAAAGATATTTTGAGTTATTAATTATAGATAAACATTAATTTTTTTCACGTTTGCGTTTCAGTTTTAGTTTATTTTTAGTGTTTTTATTTAAGGCATAATTTTTTTTAAAATTTCTATAAATTTTTTCCTTTTGATTATCAGACAAGTTTAAAGAGTTGAATAAATGATTTTTTTTGTGTTTTCTTTTAAATTCAACATAGAAGAGATTTTTGTTAAAATTGTTTTGAATGAATTGAATAAATTTTGATTCCTCATCGTCATTATTACTATTATTATTATCAGTAATAGTAGTAGTATTAGCCGTAGTAGTGGTAGTATAAGAAGACGTATTTTTAATTATTAAATTGGACCAATTATCGAATAATTGTTTTCTCTTTTTATTTGAATCAATTGAGTAAAATCTTTGATCATTAACTAGTAAATTGACTTGAGTATCCCACAATTTGAAGGGATCCAATTTTGAATCATGTAATAAAGAAATAAATTCATTTTCATTGTTGATGATGATGTTGTTGTTTTCATTTTCATTTTCATTTTTATCAGTATTAATATTAATATTATTAGTGGAACTACCAGTTTTATTGTCGTTATCAAATTGAGTATAATTGGTATCAAAATTATTTAGTTCATCCATATTTATAGCAAATTCATTGTCGATGTCACTATCACTTTCATTATGGTTATCGTTACCGCTGTCATTAAAATATTCATTATCATATCGATACTCCTCTTGACCTCCAGCTTCACTCTCGTTCTGACTATCAACATGATTGACAGTATCAACAGGTGATTTGGCATGTAATTTTCTTTCCAGCTGATATTCATCTTGGTAGAAATCGAGGTTAGCGCCTGTAGAATCGTTGTGGGTTATTATGACATTTTGGAATCCATCATCGTTGTCGTGGTCGCTGTCGTCGTCGTTGTCTTCAGCATTGCTGTCGCCATGCTCAGCAGCATCTCCATGGTCGTTTGCATCCACATCCTGCTCACCCTGTTGGTCCTCTGAGTCGCTGGAGTCGCTTGAATCGTAGCCAGCAAGAAGAGTAGAGGCGTACTTCTGGTGCTCTGTCCCAATGAGTGTCTTCTGCTGTTTCCTTGGAGGCATCGTCGCCTGCTTCTCCTGCTTCACCAAATCGCCACCCTTTGCTCTTCGGCGGCTACTGGTGCACGTGACCTTTCTCAACACTTAGAGAAAAGTCGCCATCGTCGCCAAAAGCGCTGGAAAAGAAGCACAGGAAGCAATTGCAGCTAAGCTCTTCGAAACATCAAACAACACATAGTACACAGCACACAATGGGTTCCAGAAGATACGACAGCCGTACTACCATTTTTTCGCCTGAAGGTCGTCTTTATCAGGTATGTTTTTTTCCCAGTGGCGGTTGGTGGCCTTTTTCATTTGGCGATTTTCTGCTCTTTTGCTTGATCTATCTGCAGTTTACTAACACTCGAATTGTGCTATTCAACTAGGTAGAGTATGCTTTGGAGGCAATTTCCCATGCTGGTACTTCAATTGGTATTTTGGCCAGTGATGGAATCGTTTTGGCAGCTGAAAGAAAAATCACAAGCAAATTGCTAGACCAAGAAAGTTCTGAAAAGATGTATATATTGAATGACAATATGATTTGTTCAGTAGCTGGGATGACTGCAGATGCAAGTATTTTGATAAATTTTGCTAGAAATACTGCTCAAGGCTATTTGAAAAGTTACAATGAAGAAATTCCCTGTGAATTATTAGTTCGTCGTTTGTGTGATGTCAAACAAGGTTATACTCAACATGGTGGTTTACGACCCTTTGGTGTCTCGTTCATCTACGCAGGATTTGATTCAAAATTTGGTTACCAATTGTTTACATCCAATCCTAGTGGCAATTACAGTGGTTGGAAAGCCATTAGTATTGGTGCCAATAGTTCATCTGCCCAAACTTTGTTGAAACAGGATTATAGCGATAAAATTAATATTGAAGAAGCTAAGCAATTGGCCATAAAAGTTCTTAGTAAAACAATGGACAGTACAACATTAAGTAAAGATAAATTAGAATTGGCTATAATTAAGTTTGATGATGATTCAAACAAAATCATCCAAAAGATTTTAAAGCCAGACGAAATCGATAAGTTATTAAAAGAAGCTGGCATTATAAAAGAAGAAGATCAAGATGAAGAATTATAATCATTTGTAATCAATTATAATCAATTTGTCTTTTTATTTACATCTCTTTTAATTTAATTATATATTTAATCAAGTAATTTAGAGCATTATCCAATCGACGCAAGTCACGTTATGTAATTATCAATTATCAATTTAAGAGATTAGGTATCACACCTTTTTATCTATTTGAATCTTCATTGTTGTATGTTACTTTATTTTATTGTTTTATTATTTTATTACTTGAATAATCTATTAATATTGTTTTAATAAATAGAAAACAAAAAATGGTTGAACTAAATTGCATTGCAGATATTTGTCTAATCCCAATGGGCACATCATCCCCATCCGTCTCCACTTATATTGCATTTGTTGAAAGATTTATTGAAAATAGTGGTTTAAAATATACTTTACACAGCGCTGGTACAACAATCGAGGGCAATTGGGATGATGTCTTCAAAATGCTAGGAGAACTACATGAGTATGTTCATAAAGAACTAAAAGTGTTAAGAATTCAAAGTGATATTAGAGTCGGTACAAGGGTAGATAAAGTGGGTCAAACAGCGTTTGATAAAGTTGATATTGTTGAGAAAAAACTACAATTGATTGATAAAAACCAATTGAAAATTGAATAATCAAATCACAATCGTTTATTTAATAAAAAGAGTCCCCTTTCCCCCATATATATACATATAAACACACATATATATAACAAAGAAATATTCATTGAAATTAAACCGATAATGAAATACACCAAAAATAAAAAAATAAAAGTACAAAATAATGAAACAAAATTAACAAAAAGAACACCGACCTCATTAGAAATTAACAATAACAAAATTAAAAGGCATTAAAATAATATTTTAGAATTTTTTTTTCTTTTTTTTTAAGATATTTGATTAATAAAAGCAACGACAATTTGGACAATTAAATTTAGTGGAAAGCTTTTTATAATAATTATTACTATTATTATTTATATAAAGTACTTCAAAATTTGAATCGCATTTTGAACAATAAAGTACATTTTTTTTAATCCTTTTAAATTTGATCAATTTAAATATACTAGAAGCATTGTTCGTTGTAGTCTTGAATAAATTTGAACCTGAATTCAATTTTAAAGCACAGGAAGCAGAATTGTTATGATTCTGATTCTGATTATTATAGTGGCTGAATCGACTTAATGGAAAAATATTGTACATCATAAATTCAAAATAATAGAATGCTGTAGCGAGATAGATCTTGATACAAAACCCGGATATAATCAGTTATATATGATAATTGACATTATCACATCAAGAGTGGGTGGAGATTGGTATTTCTTGCAATAAGCTTTTGTCTTAAAAAATATTACACATTCTTTTTTTTAGACTCCATCTCCTTTCGCTAAGAGAGCCAATACGAGATTCAAATTGAGATTGCAAAAGTTTTGCCAGGCTGGAGGTCAATCAGTGTGTTTCATTTTTTTGTACTGGCTCTAGTTGAAAGCTTTATCAAGCACTTCCTCCAAAACAGATACAATAAGTAAGAAAATATTCCCATTCAAGTATTCCCGTTAAACACTCACTGAAATATTTTCCGCCCGCGACCGCACCAGGTTTCTGGATTTGTTTTTCCAGGGCTGTTCGCTAACGGAGGGCTACCGGACAATCCGGGTTATTGCACGTCCATGATGCGTCCGTGATCCAAATATCCGGCACCACGGTTCTCCGCGACACGGATGTCAAAAGTGGGACACAAAGACACAAAAACTCAGTTCTTGCTCCAGCTTTTCGACTGTGTTTGTTGCTTCTGCTTCTGCTTCTGCTGCTTTTTCTCCCTCACGTTTGCCAACAATGTCTGAAAATCCTTCTGTTTCTGAGAACAACGAAACCACTCCTTTGATTTCCTCTACCACGAACATAGGCCACACCAGCAACAATGCCATCAAACAAGCAAGCACAAATGTCTTACCCAATCCACAAGAGCCATTCACCCACCTCAATTCAATCAGTAAAATTGGTCCTCAGAGATCTTCAAGAACAATCCAAAAGTTGAAGCTATTGCCCGATGCTTCCACAAAATTTCTACCTACCAAGGCCAGCAGTGCTGATAATACTAGTGACAAGAAAGATAAAATTAAAATCACCTTAAACCAATTTAAAGATAAGGACGAAATTACAGAAAATGACATAAATATAATTTTGCCTGAAAATTACTCAAATCAAAATACAGACCTCATCGATAAGAATTTTATCAAAAAAGGACTGATTAAAGCCGAAATCATCCATCCTGATCTTAATCTTCAAGACCCTAATGCAATTGATGATAACGACGATACCATTTATTCCCAAACGACCAAAACTAAAGAGTCGATTGCAAGAAAAGATGCTAAAAAGTTGGGCAAGTCAAAAAGAAATTTTTTACCAAGAGTTACCACTTATTGCACTTCCAACTCAATCAAATTATTCAACCTTTATGATTATTTAAATGATCACAAAATTAAATCCCAATTTAGAACTTCTCCCAAATTAATTAATGAATGTCTATATACTCATTTCAACTTATCTCTATCAAATAATAAAAATTCTAATTCTAATCTCAACACTAACACTAACACTAACACTAATTATTCTTCTTCTACCTTTGCCAATGACGAAAATAACGAAATCGATGAATACAACAACAACAGCACCAATAACAAATACATTCCCTCAAACAATGCAAACAATTCAATAATACAAAACTTCAAACTAGATAACCAGGGTGGGGACATCAATTTATCACATTCAACTTACTTGAAAAAACTATTCATCTTTGAATATGGTGTAATAGTATTTTGGGGTTATACTAAAAAAGAAGAACTCTTTTTCTTAAACACATTTTTATCCAATTTCGAAGTTGAAAAATTGCCTTCTAATAATATTCAAATTGAGGAATTCAACTATTATATAACTGACTCTTATCAACCAAGAATATATAACGACTTCATCTCTTTAAATTCAAATAAAAATCAACTTTATTTAACCATTCTACCAATTTCCTTTGCCATTTCTCAATCTGTCAAAATCTCCTTGTTTGAATCTTTATTAGATTTAACCATCCAACAAACTCAAAACATTCCTAATGAAATTGCTAAAAATGGTTACTTGAAAAAAAAAAATTTTATGTCAAAAAATGATATCATGAAAAAAATTGGTGAATTGTTCATTTTAAGAATAAATATTAATTTACATGGAGCTGTTTTAGATAACCCTGAAATAATGTGGACAAAACCTCAATTGGACCCAATTTATCAAGCTACAAGAGGCTACTTGGAAATTAATCAAAGAGTCAATCTTTTAAATCAAAGATTGGAAGTTATTAATGATTTGTTACAAATGTTAAAAGAACAATTAAGCCATTCTCATGAAGAATACCTAGAATTAATTGTTATTGCTTTAATCGCTGTAGAAGTCTTAGTATCTCTAGTGAATATTATTGTCGATCTAATTGCAAATGTTTGATTTATTGTTAATTTTTAGCATTATCTTACATCTCATTGAGTAAATTAAGTTTTTTTCTATAAATTTATCAACCCCCTGAAAAAAAAAACTAATAAAAAAAAAGATGACTAAAATAAAAAATAATTCACGATTACATGAATGAATAAATGAAAAAAAATGTTGGAATAAAAAATAAAGAATGAATTAAAATAAAATGAGAATAAAACCACAAAAATGAGAATAAAAATTAAAATTAAAATTAAAATATAAATGAAATTGAAACAAAAAGATGATATTAAAAAAGTTTCAGTTTTTACTTATAAAAACCTGTCAAATATATTTGCGTTATCTATTATGGTATAAAAATTCCCCTCTGTTTTCTCAATGGAATTTTTTCTATTTGTATTATTAGTATTAACAGGAGAATTATTCTGGCTATCCATCATTGTGTTATCATTTTCATTATGTTTGCTTTTATCAATTATTTCAATGTTTGTTAATATATGAGACTGATTCTTAAAAGTGGAGTATTTTTTAATTTTCAAGTCATTTAACGCAACTATTTGAAATTTTTCAAATAATTTGAAATAAGCATATTCATCAAGTTTCTGAGTATCATTTTTATGTTCATTATGATAGTCATTTATATTTTTTGTATCAAAGTCTTTATTATTGACCATATCATAATTTCTTTCTGTTTTTATGCCATTTTCCATTTCAATATCCATTTCGTCACTTATGTTCACATCACTATCATAATCAATATCATCGGTAACACTAAAATGTGCGCCTTCATAGTTTTCATACTCGTTTATTGGATCTGAGTCATTTTTTAGTTTTAAAATTTTGCAAACTATCAAGTATTTGTTTAAAATGAAGATAAAAACTTGGTCTTCAAATGTCATGATGTTATCTTTTAGATAATAAATCACTTCTGTTTGTTTAAAGTCATAAGGATATTCCGTGCTTGCCATTTTTCCCTTAATTATAGATTCTAGTTTCAATTCTAATATATTTTTGTTATTAATATTAATATCCAAATATTTTAAAAGAAAATTAGCTTCCAAAGATTGGTTTAAAGTTGATAAATTACTATCTGCTTTGGTAATTGAATCAATTAATTCTTCGCAACTTTTTATTTTTAATTCATTATTATTTTCATTATTATTTTCATTATTTTCATTGTTTTCATTGTTAGGCATATTAACATCCTTAGAATTGTCTGTTTGGTCCTGAATTTGATTATTAAAATCTTGAACTGTATTATAAGATTTTAACAAATCGTTTAATAGATTTAAATTGTTATTAATGTGATGATAAGGTTTTATTGGAAAGCCTCTAAATTCCGATTTATTAATTGTGCCTTCATTTTGAAAAAAATCATAATCAATAATTGAGTTTGAGATTAAATATTCTTCCATTCCTTTGAACCATTCCAAGTATCTCTCTAGGAAGTCTAGGTTTTTAGATTCGATACTATTGAAGATAATTAAATTTGCACATTTTAAGAAGAGAGAGACCTTTGAGTATTTGATTAAAATTTTATTCCAGATTTTAAAGGATATAAGTAGCCAGTTTTTTAAGATTGATAAAATTGCCAAATCGTTTAAAATGGAGCCTTTTGACTGATAAAGCAATTTAAATAAAGGTACGATCAATTTTTCTTTAAATGAAGTAAAAAAAAGGGAATTTAAATTTTCGAAACAATTATCCAAGAAGAAATCTATTTTAAATGGATAAAAGATATTGCCTGATTCATCTTCATCATCACAATATTGGCATCCATCGTCGATAAAGATTCTTATGTAGTAAAAAAAAGAAAATTGTCGTTTAATGATTTCATAGAGAAGAGATTGTTGATTTTGGGTTTCAATATCCAAGTCATCGCATTTTTTTTCTGAATTTATAGGATAAAAAAAAGATCTCCAATTAATTGAAATCAAATTTTGTAAAATGTCAGAGAAATCTGTGTCTGAATCGATATCAAGATCTAAAGAATTGCTAGGAAAGATATTTTTGATATTTATGTTATTATTTATATTAATTTGAATAGAATTGGATAATAAGAAATCCCAATCTAAAAATTTTTGGAATTCGAAATTATAGTCTTCAATATAGCAGATAAATTCATTTACGGAATTTCTGTACCTGTTTGGATTTTGTTTAATTGAAGTATTTATAAAGCCAATTTTAGATAGATTTAAATTCAAGATATTATTGTTGATAATTGCATTGTTATTTGATAAAAGATTAATATTGACATATCTTTTAATGATTAGATTTTTTAGAGGAATTGGAGATTGTAGAGGAATGAAGGTGAATGTATCATGATTGAATTTTGTTATGAATAAGTAATTTGAAAATAAGACTAGATGGATAGAAGTTGATAGGTCATTATTCGTGTAAGCTAATATTACATTTAAATAAAAATTTTGGAAATTTTGAAAAGAGACAATGTCGGATTGATTGAATCTCCAGTTTAAGATTTTAATCATAGCATTAGTTTGATAGAATTTATTAAATTTCAAAATTGTATTATAGACATAGGAATAATTTTTTAAAGTTTGGGAGAAATTTTGAAAAGAGGGATAAATTTTCTGGAAATTTTTCAAGATTTTTAAATTGTGGGATAAGAATTGGAGAGGGTCTTTTAAGAAATTATTCAAGAAATCAGTTGAAATTATGAAATTTGACCTATCGATTGATAAAGTTTTTATCCAGTCAAAGAATTTCTTGAAAATAGAGTTATAAATGTTTGGATTATTAATTGAATCATTTATAAAAAAGTTTCCTAGATTTATGTAAAATTGGATTTCGATAAATTTTCTTAAGATGGCAGACCAATATTTTGTTGATTGATTTGATACGGTAATGAAATAATCCAAAAAGAATTTGATATCAATAAAGGGCTTTGAGATATTGTGGATTATGTTAATTATGGGAACGATTAGAGATTTGTTTAAGAAATTGACGTAGTTAACAAAGGGATTGAAAAAACTGTCAATGAAAACATTTAAATCATTAAATTGAAAAGGAAATTTCAGAATCAAGCTTTTATTTAAAGGAGTTAATTTGATAAAGCCGAGTTTCATCTTTTTAGTAAAATTATTTAAATTTTTAAAGAAGGGAAATTGAATTAATATTAATTTGAAGACATCATGATTCTGTCTTAATACCAAGGGATCAATTAGCTTGTTGTTGATGATAGTCGAATCACTGAAATAAGAGGAAGGAATATCCCAGTAAATTTCCCAAGTCATGTACTTATCAGATAACCTATCTATTATCAAATTGTACTTTTCGAGATAGGCATTATGAGCATGATTCAGGCCATTCACCTTTGAATTTGTGTTGTTTGGGGTTCTTGAATTGGCTAAGTTGTTTGAGTTGACTGTTTTGTTTGGATTGCTCAAAGCAGACAAGTTATTTAGGGTATTGGAGTTGTTAGAGTTGTTAGAGTTGTTAGAGTTGGAGCCAGAATTAGTAATGAAATTGGAAATAAAAGTGGGATGGGAGGGAGTTTGAGAGTAGTTTTGGACCTGGGAAGACGCCTGAGAGGATGCTGTGTTGGTTACAGATAGCACATTGTTGGAGACGTTGGTGGGATACATTTTGTGCTGGAGACCCAGAGGAAGAAGAGGAAGCAACGTTGTGTGCAAAAGAGGAAGAAGCTGTGAAGCACTCTCAAACGTAGGACCTGGGACAAAAAGCAAGATAACACCGGCCGCGGATACGGCACGTGCAACGGAGCGCAGGAGTGCGTTGGCCCCGGCATGCATCACATGCGTGTACGCTTTCTGCACGTGATTCTGCATGAGTCATGGGTGTGGCGGATGCGGACGTATAGGCTGGTACAATTGGTGGTACATTTATTCAGGAGTCCTTTTCGACGCCCAATTGACAGCAAGGAAAGGGATGTGCTGCAGAAGCTCCATTAGGAAAGAGCCTCCTAACCGCCAAAAGCTCGATGGGCTGGGTCTTGCCTTTCTTCACAGACGAATCAATTGCTGGTTCGTTGTAATGAGCTGGAATCAGTTTATGAGGACGAGAATTTGCAAATCTACTATAATATAAGGCAATCACCAAGGCTTATCTAAATTTCAACATCCTGGAAACTGACAAGCTTCTTGAGTAGTGCCTCAAGTTCCTTACTGTCCTCAACACTGTCTCTCCAGCTCAAATTCATTGGAGAGCTCAGAAAGCTTTAATGTATCTACAAGCAACGCTGCTTCCATTGTTTTGATTTGCAAAGAGCATTTGCTCTTCGTTCTTTTAGCGATGATATTCCAATGATTTTGCACCTGTATAAGATATAATGCCACTGTGAAAGAACAATTTCCTGTTGTCTTTTTGAATTTCTATTTTTGGGTGTTGTGTTCACAATAAACAATTCTGAAGACGTAACAATGCAGGTTAACTTTCCGCCATAATATCTTTATATTTTTCTTCAGCCTCAACTTATATAACGAATTATTTGACAATAGATCTCAATATATCTGAAGATTTTTGTCAAAATCAAACAGTGTTTATAAGTTGCTGGTTAAAGTTACCGATAAAGAAGAATCATGAGCTTTATTTTATTGTTTTTGTTTATTGTTTTTTCATTTAGCTTACATTCCATTTCAAGCAGCGTGGAATCTATTTATTTGCAAGTAGAAGCTCCCTCTGTTCCAGAGATTGACGAGAAGGGAATTCGTACTGGCGATGATAGACTTTTGGTTACAAATGACCCAGAACAACTATACTATAATACTGAAGCTAATCAAATTACTTTACCTTTCCGGGAAGAAGATACTCCTATGGCTCGAATACAAGCAACTGCTACTTTTACTAGCAGTGTTAGTGATATGAAATCGCAAAATTTCAGTTTTGATGAAGATGGATATTTGCTTAACAACGGTTCCTCGAGCTTTTATGCATGTTATGATCATGGAAAATCATCAAACTACACAATTGAATTAGAAAACACTGACGATGACTGCGTTGAGATAAAAATTTATAAACGCGATTCTTCGTCAAACAGTACTATTCTGTCAATCATTGAAACAATTTCGTCCAGCTCTACACGATCATTATCCACTACTTTGTCAAGTACTACTTTATCATCCACTATTTCGTCGTCTACTAGCAGCTCATCCTCAGTAATACCCACGGATTCCAGCAGCTCTACAAATGATGAAACAAGCCTGTGGAGTAATAGGGCAGTTAAAGTGGGTGTTTCTGATGGGAGTTTAGTCCGAGTTCTATATAGTTTGTTTTTGTAGCTGTTATTTGAGTAGCACCACACACCAACGCAATCACTTGTGATAACCGACGATATTTACACAAAGCATTGGTCATGATATCCACTTCATTTGCTGTAAAAGCACCAAAAGAGTGAGCCAGGATCTCAATGGGATTTTCCCGAACACGAAGAGCTTGGCCGGAAAAACAGCATTGTTGGAGCTGCCATCGGCTGCAGGAGCCACAGCTGCGGATGCCTCTAACTATCTTCCGAAAGTCACCAATGGAAGTTGATTCTATCGCTTTTGCTTATCGCTTTTGCTTATCGCCTTTGCTTGTTGCTTTCCTCGCTGCTTTGCCCACATCCACAAAATGAAGTCGACTCTCGAGACACAGCTCTCAGTGGTTGCCCAAGGAAACAACCACTTCAAGAGCAATGGCTATCTCCATGTTCCTGGGGCCAACAGGGGCATCTTTGGTGGCACATTGATTGCCAAATCGTTGCTTTCAGCTGCCAGAACTTTGCCAGTCAACGTCCAAACAGGCACCAGCGATTTCAAGCAGCACAGCATCCACAACACGTTTGTGCTTGGTGGCGATTCATCCATAGACTTGCAATTCAGAGTTGAGAGAATCCGAGATGGCAGGAACTTCGTCACCAGAGAGGTCAAAGCGTACCAGAATGGAGCAGTGATATTCATAAGCATCATATCGTTCAAGAATGTGGGCAATCCACAGGGATCAATGTCCAGCCTAGGACCACAGCTAAAGTACCAGCCAATGCTTGACTTGGATGGAATCGCAGAGGTGGACGAGTGCATATCTGTCCAGGACATCGATTTTGATGCGAGAATCAGAAAGTCGTTTGAGAGCGATCCTCTTGAGGTGAGGTTTCCAAGAGAGTATTTTGACGATGTTGACAATGTTGACGATGTTGAAGATGGGTCATTGAAGAACAAAAGGGACAAAAAGCACAGAAACAGCTACAAGATGAGGGCGCTGCTATTCAGGCCATCTTTGGCTGTGTATTTAAGGAAAATGTATTATTGGATTAGGGTCAAGCCCAGAATACAGAACCATTGTGAGTTCAATCAAATTGGAGTGTCGTATCTATCAGATGCGTTTTTTCTATTGTGTGTGATGCCACTATCTGATAGGAAGCTCTACTCGTCGCTGTTTTCAGTGTCGATGGACCACAGCATATACTTCAACATGGATTTGGACCACGAATCAGACTACCGGTGCGACGAGTGGATGGTGTTTGTGGTAGATTCTCCAAAGTCATCCAATGGGCTAAGTTTGGTTACAGGTCAGATATATCGCAGTGATGGGAAGCTAATTGCGTATATTGTTCAAGAGGGATTGGTGTCGATAAAAGATGGTATCTTGTCTAAATTGTAGAATAAAAAGAAAACAAATGGGTGTATAGATGTTTGGTTCGGTGTATATAGTTTATAATTATACAGTTTTCAAGTATTGTGCAAATCTTGAAAACTCGTGAATTCCACATTCACTTTTGCTTTTGCCTTTCCATCTTCCATCTCTTTCATTTTCATTTTCATTTTCATTTTTGAACTAGCAATAAACCTTTTAGATGAATATTACCCAATTCAACTAGAAAAATTCATTAAATACTGGAAAACTTAACATTGAAGAGATTAGTTATTATATTGGAATTTCTTTCCAGCTGGCAATACGTGTCTTAACACTTCCAACATTTCTGATCAAGAGCAATAACTGATACTGCTGATTTTTTTTTGTTTTTTTGTGCTCATTGAGGTAAAATTCACCATCAATGTATCCGATTCCAGTGCACTTGCCTTCTTTCAAATTATATGTCGACTTTGTGACATATCCAATCAAATTCATAAACGAAGGCGCTGTTTCTTGAGGTAAATTTATACTGTTATGTTGAATAAACCCATTGCTTTTCAAGTTGTTTCCCTTAATATGATCCAAATATTTTTGATAGTCATCATCGTTGCTAATCTTGTAAATTCTTGCATTATCTTTGATCATGCCCCTCAACTTTATCTCAAACTTGATTGGCTTGACTAATAGTTTCAAATTTATCAATTTTTCATATTTATCATTTTCTTTATTCAACTTTCTCTGAGTTTTATTTTTTTTCGTTTCTTCCTTATTGCTATCATTATCAACACACATATTAATATTGTTATGATTTGAATTTTGTTTATTAATAATATCCATCTGTTTATCAATTATATCATTAAATTTGTTTACATCAGCCCCAATATCACTTATGTTTGATTTATTTAAATATCTAATCGGATTTACTAATTTCTCTTTTCTTAACAATTTCTCTTCATCCAATACTTTAATATCTTTAATGAATTCCCAAATGTCATTTGAATTATTAATCTTTCTAAAATAATTATAATCCCAATCGCTTGTGACTTTATTATTATTACTATTGTTATTATCATTGATCAATTTCTTATTGTTAAATAACATCCTTTTACATATTTTTAAAACTTGTAAAAATCTCCAATCGCATTTAAATGGAGATCCAACCTCTCCTTTAATTTTATAATTAAAATGATCATGACTTTTATTAATTATTAATTCATCATAATTGATTTGATGATTCTTATCTCTTTTCTTCCATTTTTTATGATTTTCGATTTCTTTAATCTCATTTTCAACAAAGCCCTTTAAACAAAATGGATAATCATCAGGAAAATTTAATTTGTTGTTTTCAAAATTGATTTGCTCAATTCCTAAATACCCCGAATGTTCTACTTCAGTGATTTTATTCAATTTTATCCAAATTGGTAATATCCAATACCATGGTGCAATCAAAATTAATTTACTAAAACTAACTTTATTAGAATTACTATTTAATATCAATATTGGAATCATAGGATCCTTTTCATTGTTTGGTATTTTAATCATTCCGGGTTTCAAATTTTTTCGACGTTGTGATAATTCTTTGATTGATGGCTGATTATTGTAACTATTTGTTCTGCCCTCTATTGATAAAAGTTTCTCAATCACTTTTCTAGAATTTAGATTTGCTTGACTTGTATTAACTTTATTAATTTCATTGATACTATTTTTAGTATTATCATCATTATTATCATTATTATCATCATTATTATTATTATTGTCATTATCATTATCATTATCATCATTGAATGAATTTAATGATAACATTAAATCAATTAAGCGATTTTCATCAAATTTTATATTTTTAGGTTTTACAGGTCTTGAATATAATCCCGGATTTTCTACTAATACTGATATTATTGAATTTTCTGGTAAACTTCTTAATGATGAAATTGATGAAAATTCATTCCAATTTTTATTTAGGTTTGTATCATTTAAATGTAATATAGAAACAAGATTCTTAAATGAAGATGGTCCTGCAATTTCAATACTGCCTAAAGAATATCTACAATCATAAAATTTAAATAATGAATTTTCATTTTCATTTTCATTTTCATTTTTATGTTTATTAACAGCAAATATTGTTTTATTGTTTGATAATTCTTTTAAATAATTGAAATACTCTTCGTATGTTGATGGATGAATTCTGATTAATATTTTATAGGAATCATTCATTTTATGCCAATAAATTATCCCTTGAGTAAAAATTTCCAACGTTTTGACATTGTTATTATGGAAAATATACAAGTTTCCTTCCCAAAATTTTTTGCCATTAACCACGGAAGAATTCAAAGGTTTATTCATATTATTGGTAATTAGTTTTACTAGCTTTTTTAATTGTTTGAAATTATTAATATCAGATTCAATAATTAGTGAAGAAAAATATGAAGTATCCCAACAAATTGAACCATGAGTTAAAAAGTTTCTGTGTGTTAAGCGATAAGATTTTTGAGTTGGTTTTAATGGTATGTTAAAGCCCCATCTTTTAATCATATGAGATCTTTTGGCATGCCAAATATGAGTTGTTAACCAAGAATATTTTTTTTGTCTTTTCGTGTATTTTATCTTACCGACAGGTTTATTGGCTAATGTATTTATACCAGTGTTATCATAGGATCCAATCTTGTTATTGATAATCTTGAAATTTGAAATTTTTTGATCATTTGTTTGGTCTGAATTTTTAGATTTTAATAGCTGAGCTTCACAGATCTGCTTTTTAATTAATTTTATTCTTTGTCTGATATTTATATTAAATTTTTGATCTGTAGCCTGTTCATAATTGGGTAAAATTTTCATGAGGTTCAACTTTGAAGACAATTTTAGTAAATTCTTTAGCATTTTTAGCTTGTAAATGTCCTTTGCGTTGTATTTATTTTTTTTATTTTTTTTGTTTAGAATTATATTATTATCAACAAATGAAGAGGAAGAAAGCATTTCTCTGATTGCCTTATTCCGAAGCCTTTTAGGGATTCTTTTCACATTATAAGAAGCTGTTCTTCTTCTAAGTTTCCTAGGCAATTTTTGAAACACTCTTCTACTTTTATGGAAATTCTTTGTTTCTAAAGATTTTATTTCAAACTCTCGAGATTTGATAAAGTCTGGCACATTGAGAATTCCATCTGAAAATTCAGGACTTGCTGATTGATAGTCTATATGAAACTTCTTTGATCTTTTATTGTTGGTATTGTCATTTTCAGATGACCCCAATTTCAATGGTCTTTTTATGCCCATCAGAAACGATAACGTTTTATTTTTGGTTTGACTGTTGATTGAGAAGAATTTTCAAAGCCGAAAGATAGAAAATTTTAGATGTGAAAAATAATTACCCTGTCTTTATTTTCTATTATATTTACGGCTTTTGAAAACAATAATTTGAATTGAGGTTCAATGAATGTCATTTGTATTTGGTTTATCTAGTTTGTGAAAATAAGCTAAATAAAGTAACAATTGATTGACTAGAATATGACTGTTAAAACACTTTCAACAACAGTAATCTTTATTTAAGCCTTGAATTTGTATGACAGAAACGCACCAAAATTTTGCGTCTTTATTGGATGAAAACCCCAACATCTGTATACAAATTTATATTTTTGAATTAAGATGCTTTTCAAAACAAAAATAGTTTTAAAACAGAAAAACCAATACCGGAGAAAGAAAAGAAACCAGGCACCTAGAAGGTAAATCTCGGGTTATGAGCTGCATCAGCTGTATATTAGTGCAGTTAGTTTTTTAATTTTCCTGCACAATCAAGCTTTTTATACACATAGCATATTAATGCTGTTTCAAAACTCCGATTGTGTGATGGATATTTGTGCAATTATTCTTTGTTATATTGATATATTGATATATTGGCCACTTTTGTAATAATGACTTGTAAGATTCTTTTCAAATAAACTAGTTTAACAATCTGACCACATTCCCAATAATAAACAAGGTATTTTTCATGTCTATTGCAATTTTTATTTTGTGGAAATAATTTTGATTATATCTTAGAAAATTTGTAGCTTAAGTTGGCCAAGTTCGTGTCCGGAATCTAAGGTCGGACTCGTATCAAGTTTGAGCTTTCGTAAGTTCGAGTCCGGACTATTTTTTGGGTTTCGAAATCCGACACAGCTGGAGAAAAAAGATTGGGTAGCTGTTAGTGAATATGTGTTTACGACTGCCTATTAGCGAATAATTGGTATTCGATGAGTATTGGAAAATGGGCAAAGGCAACAAAGTAATCAAGGCTACCAAAAGCAAAAGCAAGAGCAAGAGCGGCAAGACGAGCAGCAGAAACACCACTAACGACGTTGGCAACAATAGCAATAATACCAGCAATAATACCAGCAAAGATGGGTATGAATTTCCTTCAAATGTTGATAAGTTTTTGAGAACTCGAATGAAAGATAATAGTTATTTCAATATCAATAAATACAAATTTAAATATGTGATTTCGCCTTCTCAGATTGTCATAATAGAAAACTTTTTTATAAAGGAGTATTGCGATGAGATAATTCTCTCGATTAATGAAAGATTGAAGTTTTTGACCACGCCACTTGTTAAGAATAAAAACTACGCAAGGAGAAACAACGATAGAATCGTATTAGACCACAGCTATCAGTTGAGTGGTAAACTATATGGCTATTTGAAGAAAATAGTCGAAGAACACGATGTTGAGATGGGAAATAACAATGAGAGTGAAATGACAGAGTTTTTCAAGGGATCAATAGGATTCAACCCCCAGATTCGAATCTACAGATACAGCAAAAACCAGTTTTTCGAAAAGCACTATGACGAGTCAGTCAAATGCAGTGTTCTCGACAGCGAGAAGAGCAAAGTCAAGGGCAAGACCAAGTGGACGTTGTTGATCTACCTCACAGGCGACGAGGAAATCAGGGGAGGAGGCACCATGTTCTACGACCCAGAAAATAGCAGCAGCTGCATCAACGTCCATCCCAAGAAGGGCATGGCGTTGTTTCACAAGCATGGAGACGACTGTCTTTTACACGAGGCCGAAAGAGTGCACCAGGGAGAGAAATGGGTGCTCCGAACAGACCTTGTGTTTCCTTTATAGAGCAGCAGAAGAAGCAGAAACGGCAGAAGAAGCAGAAGAAGCAGAGTTGTTTGGCTGGAGAAAGGTGTTTCAGGCGGGAATCGAACACGCGTTCTGTGCTCGCTTTTTGTGACATTTCCCCCAACAGCAGATGGAAGCAGATAAAAGATAACAGTAAAAGATAACAGATAACAGACAAAAGATACCACAGGATATAACACAAGATACAACACATCAGATATATGGTAGCAGAAAATCATAGCACTAGTCTACTTCCTCTTCGTCCCCCATCATGTTGATTCAGAATCCCTTGAACTCCATTGCCACATCCACCTCTGTTGAGCACAACGTCAGAAGCTCCATCTTAATCGACCATAACACTGAAACTGACCAAGATATTCCGGTCTTGAAGATACTATTGATTGGCTCTACTGCTGTTGGAAAATCTGCTTTGTTGCTTAAATACTGCGACAATACCATTAGAAACAGGCAACTAAAATCCAGGCGAGATAGTGCTGATCTAAACTCCGATAATAACAACATCAATCAACTATCAACTACCATTGGAATTGACTTGAAAATCAAATTGTGCAACGTTGATAACAAACTATTCAAAATCATTATGTGGGATACTGCTGGTCAAGAAAGATACAGAACAATAATTCCGTCCTTATATAAACATTCAAATGGAATATTATTGATCTATGATATTACAAACAAAAAATCCTTTTTAGACCTTAAAAATCTCTGGATTAATGAATGCATAAATTACAATAACAATCACAACGACACTATCTATTTCATTGTCGGTAACAAAAGAGATTCTGTTAGAAATGAAGAATCAAAAAGACAAGTTTCCTACGATGATTTAAAAGTTTTTGCCAATTATCTAAATGAAAAGGTCAATATAAAGATTTATGGCTATTATGAAGTTAGTGCTATTTATCTCGATGACGCTAAACTGCTATTTAGAACTCTAATATCTACCATAGTCACAAATAACAAATATAATATTCACAATAATTCTAATAACACATCCAATAAAAGCACCTCCGAAATTATGAAAAATATCAAATCCAATCAGAATAACAATAAAAAATTTAATAATACAATTGATTTAGAAAAAGACAGGATACAATATTTTCCTTTTTCTTGTTGTTAGTTCAACTATCCTTTATACACTAATATATAAAAAAATGTTTTTCTTTATAGCACTTAACACTTATTTTATTTGATTGTATCTTCAATACTCTTAAATCCATTGAAATACCTTTCACGAAAATAACTTTTATGAACCTCATTAAGCTTAATTGTTTCTCCCTTATATTCGTTTAAATCTCTTTTAACATAAACTAACAACCTCCTTGACCACTTATTGAATTTTTGTTCCATATTATATATCAACTCCAATTCGCAATGTCTTGGTATTACATGTTCCTCGTTTTTAACTTCGTTTACTGTTGGCATCCAAAAACATAGTCTACCATTTTTATTCAATTTTTTACTCGAAAACTCTAACAACTCATCCAACAATTTTTCTAATTCAAACGCTTTTTTGGGCTGAACATAATCCTTTCTCAAAAATGATTTTTCCCCATCAATTATTATATTTTCTTTGCCTTCAAATCTTTTGGGTCGGTTTGTGCCTAATACTTTTAATCCCTCTCGAACCCCATATGGTGGATCGCATACTATTGTATCTATTTTGAAATTTTGGCTTAAACAATGATGTGTAAAATCCATAGCCAAAACATCAAGAAATTGTAAATTTATATTCAATTGCTCAAAATTAGAACCTATATTGATCCCTTTCTCTTTATTCCCATTCAATGTTCTAACATCAATATCTGATCCAATTGTTATTCCACCAAAATTAGCAGATGTTAATAACAAACTTCCAGTCCCAACAAATGGATCATAAACCAACTTATTCTTACTAACTTGGGCAATATTTGATGAAACTAATGATAATTCACTCTCAAAAGTGGTTGTACCAATATACTTTCTTGTTTTCAAATCATATTTTTTCAATATATTTGATGTCCTTAAACTTAATTGAACTTGTCTCCCAAAATAATAACTTGAATTTTCAACTTTTTTATTGAAAAGCTCAAAATTTTCCTTTTTATCTTCAGTTTTTTGATTCACTAAATCAATACGATCATAGTTTTCAATTATTGTAAATATTTCTTCTGGATTTTTCAAATCGATTTTCCCATTTAATTCTAAATATTGAAACGTTTCAATCATTTCAATTTGTTTTTTCAACGACTTATTCCCTTTATAGCCAATTACATCAAATTTAAAAGACGAATCTCTATATTCACTCAAAATATTTGGATTTGTTTTAAGGAAAATCTTGAGATTGTTGTGCAATTCAGTTAAATTTTTTCCTTCAGCGTAAAGTTCAAAAATTCCTCTTGTCAAAATGGTTCTTTTGATTAATCTCTTAGCCTGCTCATCATTGTCTAATTTAATTTTCAAAAATGGATGAGCTTCAGAATGGCTGCTGAAATCAATTTGAGGTATATTGTATAAATCAGCCAACGATTCCAACTCAGCTATTCTGAAATTAGGATTCGATTGGGCCAATAGAATCAAATAATCTTTGGACATTGTGTGCTGAACCTCTGTTATTTCAGAACCAAACTCGGTAGCTGTTGATGGATGAAGACCCTTTTGGAAACAAAAACAGCTGAAAAAAAGGCATTTGAAAAATTTCAAAACACACGTGCTGCTTTTGGTGCTTTTGGTGCTTTGATGGTAGTTGTTTTATTGAAAAGTTGAAGAGCGAAAAGGTTTATTTTACAGGTGCAGCCCCTGGCTGGGCTTTTTTCTTTTATTTAAAGTACATTAAAAACTACAGAAAATCAATTATAAAACAAATTGAATTTATGGATAGAAATATGACAGAAAAATTAAATAAATTTTACAATTCCTAGTTTATTAAACGATTACTGAGTAAATTAAAAGACTTGAAAGAATTATTCTTCATCAGATTCTTCTTCTTCTTCTAAGGTTTGGGCAGCAATACGGTCTAAATCTCTTTGGCCATTTTCTGATATTTGTCTTCCACCTTTTGGAGATAATTCAACAACACCAATTTTTTCTAAACTTTGTAAAACTTTTCTGTTGATTGAGCCAGAAGCATCTTGATGTTTTGATGGTTTGGCACCACGGTTAATGGCACCACCGTATAATTTGTTTAATTTACCAACACCAACATGTTTTCTTAAGTAAATGTGTCTAGCAGCTGAGGCAGCACGTTTGTAGAACCAAGTTTCAGCTTCTTGTGGAGGTAATTGGTTACCACATGAGGTTTTGACTAAATCAACGTAACCTGGGACTTCTAATTTACCTTGACGTTGTAAAAATTGAGCATAAGCATTAATGAAGCTTTGAGCTGGAACATCCCTATAAAAAATGAAAATACAAATTAGTTAGTAATTGGCACAAAAAAGGAAATAAGACGTCAAATTGCCTTGGAATTGTAGATGATTTGTTAATTTTGCACAATCTTAATATTATTAAAGCATAGTAAATTAAATTCAAACAAAATTAAAAATTATAACAATATCAATATTATTTTATTTAAAAAAACACTATCTTTGAAAAAAAAAGTTCTTTATTGTTACTTGATCTTTATATTTGATTAAAGTAGTGGTCTAATACATTTTAAATTTATCAAATTTTATTAAATAAGATGATTACTTTAATAGATTGCTAATAATATTTATTTTTAATTGAATGATAATCTCAGAGTATCTTGAAAATGGTGTTTTAATTAAAAACTCTGAAACTAGTATATTATGTGCAATTTTTTAATAAAATTCCAGTTAATTTTTCTTTCAATTAGTTTAAAATTTGAATATTATTAATTACTTTTATCTTTTAAAAATTTATTTATACCAGTTTATATTATAGAAGTGTTTTTTACTTTTTTAGTTATTTATACCGATTTTTTGGAATATCATAATTCAATGTATAAGGTTAATTATGAATGTGAAAATATAGAATTTTAGAGATCCAAGTTAATTTTTATATAATTTCGTTGATTTTTTCAATAAATTGTTCATATTGTATTAGGGTGATAAAAGTATCAATTTTTAAAGTAATTTTTATCTTGTGCATTTTAGAAAATTTATGTTGAAGTATTGGTTTATGATTTTTTTCAAAAATATATAAGTACAAATCATAAATATTAGCTCCAATTTCTGTGAATTCCATTGATTTTAAAAGATATTGGTTCCATTTACTTGAATAATAAAAGATAAGAACCATTGACAAATCATTTAAACCTACAATTCTGGCATAAGATAAATGGAAAAAAGAACCTACCTAACTGAAACACCTGCCATTTCTATTATTTGGTTTGATTATATTATGATATATTAAATCAACTCAGTACTGATCGTGATAGTGATTGTGATGTGGATATTTTTTCTGAGATGTTGATATTGGATAAATTGAAATGAATCCCACAGAGCTGTGATTGTCAACTGAAAAAAAAACGCACTTTCCGACAGAGCGCGGCTCTGAGCTACATAGTTAAGGCCGAACGCATCGGAAAGTATCTGCAATGCAGCCCTGTGATTCAGCGTAATTATGGGTACGCAACAAAAAGCAGTCACAACAGTGCTCACAACCATGCTTAATACTGTTTGAATATGCGTATATCTGCAAATGTAATTAAATGCTTATGTGTATAATATATACATTATTCAGCAGTTATATGCATTGAATCCGTGTCTGTGTATTTTTTTTTTTTTGCTGTTGATTGTGAATTCTTTTTTGTTGGTTTTGGTGTATTTGGTGTATTTGAATGAAAATGAAGTTGGAAGATGAGCTGCTTTCAATCCAGAAAACTCAGAAAATTCAGAAAAGGCAGGAAAAACAGAAATTTTTAGATTTATTGATTCAAGGAACAAATAATTCTTCGATTGTCTCAAAAAGATCTGTAGAGAGGTTATACTCGTCAGTATTATATTCACCATCTAATTGCAATGACAATGGTAATGACAATGGTAATGGTAATGGTAATGGTGAAAATAATATTATCAATAGAAAGAATAAAAGAAGCACCAAAAATGATTATTTTAGATACTTTGTTAAGAAACCTCAGAGAAGATCCCCAATCATCAATAGAGGCTATTTATTGAGAATGCTCGCTATCAAAAACTCAATCTTGTCAATTATTGATAGCTCAATTAAAAATAATTTAAACAATAATCATGATCTTAAATTTATAATAATCAATCTAGGCTGTGGATTTGATCCTTTACCCTTTGAATTGATTAACAACAATAATCTTTTAAATAATACCGATAAAAATGATTTATTGTTTATTGATATCGACTATAAAGATTTAATTGAAAGAAAAGTTTCAATCATTAAAAATTCTGTTGATTTATTAAATATCATAAAAAATAATAACGATAATAATAATGATAATGATAACATTTTAATTAATCCCAATATTTTATTACAATCAAATTCCTATTTATCTGTTGCATCTGATTTAAATGATTCCATTTCTTATAAAAATACTTTATCCTCCATTTTTAATCAGTTAAATGCATTAAATATTAATCAAAATAAAAAATTTATTAATATTTTTTTATCAGAAGTTGCAATCGCATATATGGATCCCATTCAATCTGATAAAATTATTAAAGTTTCAATAAACTTTAACAACAATATTTATAATAATCATTTTCTTTTATTAGAACAAATCTTGCCTTCAGGTTTTAATCATCCATTCGCTAAAAAAATGTTAAATCATTTCAATAATTTAGGTAGTCCAATAAATTCAATCTCAGATATATCTAATGGTTATCATAATTTAAATGATCAAGTTAATAGATTTTTACATTTATATAACACTATAAATAACAACAGGAAATTTAATATTGAAATTAATGATTTATTGAACTATTACAACCAAATCTTAGATAAAAATATTAAATTAAAAATTAACCAAATTGAACCATTTGATGAATGGGAAGAATTTTATCTATTTGCTCAACATTATTTTATTTTACATTTTAATAATGATCAAATTAATATTTTTAATGATAATTTCAATTATCAAAAAGTCATTGAAAACAGTTTATCAAGCAATTTATTAAATAATAAATCATTTTCAAATTTAAATTTATTTATTCAAAAATCCAATTCAAATAATTTACAAAGAAAATTTATGTCCTCCTGTAAGATCTCAAATCAAATCTTTTTAAATAGTGGATTTCAATCAACTAGATTAAATAATTCAATGTTATTATCAACAAATTTAACAAAATCAACAAGGGATACAGATTTGATTATATTAAAAAATCCAAATGATAAAGGTTTATTTCCAATTGAAAGAATGTGTCATTCAATAACTAACATTGATAATAATAACTTGATTTTAACAGGGGGTAGAACTTCACCAAATAATTATTTAGATGATTGTTGGTTATTAACTAAAGATAAAAATAGTTTATTTAATTGGAAAAAATTAAAGTCAATTCCAAATTCCAGATTTAGGCATTCAACTTTTTTAATCAATAAAAACACTTTAATCTTATTTGGGGGAAATTTTAGTTCAAATAATTCCTTATTTTTAAGATATAATATTTCAGAAGATGAATGGCAAGAAATGGATTTTAACATTAATATTGAAAATATAATTTCAAGCTGTTTGCACTATAATGAAAACAGCAAAACCGGATATATAATTGGTGGCATGAATTCTAATAATAGAATAGAATCTAGTTTTTATTCATTTAAAGTTGATTTAAATAAAAATAAAATTGAATTGAGAAACCTCGGAGAAGATAGGTTATTTAATAGATATGGTGGTCAATTAATACTGAGAAAAAGTTTTGGCAATAACAAAAATGCTAATGACAAGGAAACTTTGTTATTGATTGGAGGAGTTAGCGACTGTTATTTGTTGGATCAATACAATTCAATAATTGAGATTGAGATTGAGATTGAAACCGGGAATCAGGTTAAGATTAATTTTATAAAAATTGATGAAAAGATATGGAATAAGATGCCTTTATTAATTGGATTTAATTTACTTGAATTCAATGAAAGATACAAAGTATGTCTATTAGGAGGTGGTGTTTGTTTTTCATTTGGATCAATTTGGAATGACATTTTAATAATTGATAGCAAACCCGAAGAAAGTAATAAGAATTATAACGAGAATGATGAAGAACATGAATTAATTAAAATCAAGGATGAAGCTATTACAAATGTTGAATTTTTTAATAATATTAAGATTGAGAGAAACTCTGTTGATACTACAAAGATTAAAAAAAGCGATAATAACAAAGAAGATAAGAAAAAGATTATGCAAAGAAATGGTTTAAATAATTTAAATAACAAAAATAATAGCGGGACTAATAGCGATTATAAAAGACAAATAAGGAGAATGAATATTAAAGATTTAACAGAGGATAAATGGGAAAGGATATTGGAAGATAATAAGCCAGTGATATTTGAATATTGTAATTTAGGAGACAGTATCAAGAATTGGAGAAGAGGTGAATATTTGATTGAAAAAATTGGAAGAGATAAAAAAGTGATAGTCCATGAAAGTTGTGATGACAGTTTAAATTTCAATAAGAAAAACTTCAACTATAAAACTGTCAAGTTTGGTGAGTTTATTGATAATGTTTTCAGCAAAGATAGCAAACAAGAGAAAAAATACTATTTGAGATCATTGAGTTTCGATAAACCAATGGCTAAAAAGACCATATTTCAAGAAGATTATAAAGAGATCAGTGATGATTTTCAGGTTCCCAAAATCTTTGAGGATATCTACAAGAATAAACAGTTTTCATCGATAATTCGAATAACATCAGTCGGAAGCAAGATATGGTTGCACTACGATGTGACAGCAAACCTTCTCTGTCAGATCATTGGAACCAAAGAGGTTAAGATCTTCAATTCAAAGGATATAAAGCATTTAAACTTTCCGATTGGGTCTTCCAGCTCGTTGATTGATGACATATTCGATGAAAGCATCGGCAATGAACTAGTCAACAGGGCAGATAACTTGAAGCTAGTTGAGTATGTGGAGGTATTGAAAGCCGGAGATATACTATTTTTGCCCCGAATGTGGTTGCACAGCACCAGAGTCGTGAGCAATGGGTACAAATTACCCTCAATCAGCTTGAACATCTTCTGGAGAGACTTGGAAGAGAGATTCTACTCAAAGATTGGAAAGGACATTTACGGAAACAAGGACTTGAAGCTCTACGACGACGGACGGGTCATCTTGAAGAAGTTCGAGCGGCTTTTTGCGACAAGCAACCCGCACACCGGCGAGCTTCCGAGTGACGTAAAGCGATTCTACGCGCTAAAAATGCTCGGCGAGCTCGAAACGGCGCTCGGATTGTCGGTCAACCGCCGCTGAAACCTGCGGTCCCGCCAGAAATTGTCTGATTTGAAAAAGCATATACTAGAAGCAGGCCGGCCCTCTGCTGCTGCACCGCAAGCGCGTGGATCCGCTCTGCGCGCTGTGGTTTCCTGCAGTGCTCCCCCTTGTATTTGGGACGTTTGGGCCAGCAAATTTTTTTCTTGCGTTGTTTTCCTTTTTCTTGTTTGGACGTGGACGATTTGTAGAAGTTATCAGTTTGTTGGCAAGCTGAGAACTGTTCATCAACAAATAAAGCAAGATATTGGCTCTTTGAGAGATTGCAAGTGAGTTTTGGCTATGGACAGCAAAGATAATTCAAATTCTACCAGATCGAGCCCAATTAAGCTTAACAGCTCAAATTTTTCCATGAACAAAAGAGGTACAGGTACATCAAAAGTGATTGACAATTTGCAATCGACCATCGACGAGTTGAAGAATGAATTAAGATTGTCCAAATCTAATCACGACGATTTGAAGAAAAACTATGATAACATCAAGAAAAATTACAACAATGTTATTGACCAATTAGCTAATACAAAACATGAAAACCAAATTATTAATGCCCTTTTGGATAGAAAACAAAGAAGAATTCAAGATCTAGAGAAAAAATTATCTTTGTCCTTGATATCAAATGATGATTATAAATTCAATTTGAAGAATCTTGAAATCAAAAATAAAAATTTATTAAATAACGAAAAATTTAACTTGTCTGAGATTCAAAGATTGAAATTAGCTTATGACACAATTTTATCCTCGCAAAAGGAGATTAAAAATTATTATTTATCTCAATTTAAAAATTTAAATAATCAATTTAATTCATTTGTAAATAACTTTAATACAAATAATTCCAATATAGACAATAACTTAATCCAAAATTTCAGCTCATTAGAAAAAAATTATAATCAATTGATTTTACTTTATAATACAAAATTCAATAAAATTATCAATTCTTTAAAGACATTATTAAACTATTCTCAAAATTTTAATAATAATTCCGATCATTTTCTAAACCAGTGCAATTTAATTTTTAATCAAATTAAATTAAAATTATCTTTAGATATTCCTTCTTTATCTCAAATACTCACAAATTCTTTTAATATAAATGATTTTGCTGATTTAAACGAATTAAATTCGTATAATAATAATAATAATAATAATAATAATAATAATAATAATAATAATAATAATAATAATAACAATATTAACAATATTAACAATATTAACAATAATATTGATAATATTGATGAAATCGATATTATAAAAAATAACAACAGTAACCTTAACAAATCAAATGATCAAATGGATGATTTAAACAACAGTCTAAATAACTTGGGTTTTTTAGACCAATCTTCGAATAATTTAGATGATTTAAACGCCTCTCTAACCCAATTAACTTCTTCAAACCATTCTATCGATTTCAATCATTCATTAAATCAATTTAATCTCTCAAATCAAACTATTTCCTCGATCTCTTCAAATCCCTCAAATCCTTCAAATCAATTGAATTCAAACCCAAACCCAAATTCCTCGACATCTTACAAAAAATTCAATAAAAAATTACATTCACCCATCAATATCCCCTTCACTCCAGTTTTGAACACTTACAACACCCCTAACCAATCTCCAATCAATAATAATAACATTGGTAATTTTAATAACAATGACGACTTAGATTCTGATAATGATGCTCAAAGTCAAACTGGTAGTATCGCCGGAAATTCTTCTCAAGCTCAACAAAAAAGAAGAAAAAGAAAATCGAGAAGAAGAAGACCTAAATCTCAAATTATATCTCCTAATTCTCAGCAACTCAACAGTTTGAATTTATCAAGTGCTCAAAAAAGGAATTCAATTCAAATACAACCTTCCATATAAATTCAGCTTTTACTATTAATCAAAGTCATTGGTTGGTATTTTAACATTAACATTTTAATAATCCAACATTCTGTTTTGTTTCATTTTGTTTTGTCTTGTCTTGTTTTCCCTACCTTCAGTTTTGTTTTTGTTTTTTTTGTTGCCGGCTTGTTTGGTTATACCCACTCATCATTTTTATTGGTTTACCATTTAAATACTTAATCATTCATTTATATATTTATATATTGATGTATTTAATACTAATTAATTATCATTATATATATCAACATATTGTGATAAACTAACGTGCTTTCATGTAAATCTACTAAGTGAAACAACAAACTGATTATTTTGTTTATCTGAAAAATTTATCAGACAATAACTAGATCCACTATCAACAAATTTAACCCAAGAGTTTCCACATCCAAAAACTTGGTCGTATCCAATTTTAAAAAATTGATTTTTATTTATTTCAATTTGTAAAATTTCAATCTTTTTTGGCGAATTCGTTGAATTTGATAGTAAAACTAAATATTTGTTATCAATAAATCTAAATTCAGTACAAGTTATTGAAAACTGATAAGTTTGCGTGCTTCTCATATCTAAAATATAGTGGATCACAAAATCATCATAAATTAATAAATAATCTTGATGGTCTTCATTAGCATTAACTATTCCAATCAAATTTCTAGAATACAATGAATTCAGTTGTTTTTGGATTTTTGTTTTTAGATAAATTCCTTGAAGATTAGTATTATAAGCAAATTCCTTAGTAAATTTGCTGAGTTTTAACTTAAATTCTGATAAAATTGCTTTATGATTTGCGTTTCCTAAATTAAGAAAATTAATCTTAGTATTTTTCGAATCACTGTCCTCAATAAATGTGCCAATTTCATCGCCCAAAATAAATTTCAGATTTTCTGTGAAGGTTGCAATATTTTTAGTAAAATGTTCTATAATTTTGAGGGTAGTGAATTGAGAAATTTTTAAAATCACCTTGTCATTATTAACTACTAAATAGCTTAAAAATATATGGCTGTCGCATTCAACGATTTTAAAATCAAGAACATTACTTGAAATTAATTTGGTGTATTGTAATGTTTCAAGAAGGTGTTCCCTTTTAAAAATATCGTTCATTATATCAGTTATTTTCAATAGGAATAAAGTGGAATTCTTTGTTTTAACAACAAAAGTACAAAAATCTTTAATATATTCAGCCTGGTGAATAGAGAATTTTGATTTAGATTCTACTTTATTAAAGGAGCCAATTTTAAAAAAACTTAAATTTTTAGTTAAATTTAAACTTGAATTTAAGCATAAGTCTTTCGTCAAATCTAAACTTGAATTTATCCATGAGTCTTTATCTATTTTGAAAAAATAGATACCTTTATCATTTGCGATTAGAAGGTAAAAAAAAGGGAGATCATGCTCAAAATGTAATTCTTTAAATATTGAAATATTTTTAATATCGTAAGAATTGAGTAACACGTTAACCAAATCGATGTTTGATTTAACTATAAAATCTAAATTTCTAATATTATTTTTAGACATTTCTTTTGAAAAGATATCGTCGTAATTTGGATTTATATCAGTTAAGTTGAGATTTCTTTCAGCTCGAGTCAAATGTCTAGAATAATGATGGATTTTAAATGGGATATTTTTTCGATATTGGTTATTAACAATAACATTTTCAAGATGATAAGACCATTTTTTGACGTTTTGTAAACCGGTAATTTGAAATGAGAATTGACAGTTGGATGATAATAAACTGATTATGGAAATTTCATGAAGATTTGAGTTTTTGTTTAAATTGAAGAGAATTTGTTTTTTTTCATTTATCGAGCAATTTATATTTGAGGAATGGATGGCAGAAATTAATAGGAAATCAAATTGTGGAGTGTAAATATTGATATTTAGATTATAAAACGAATTACCACCAAGTCTTCGGGTGGATGCAACTTCGGTTAGAAGAATGTAATCAGTAAATAATAGTATGAAGAAATAACCATTTAATTTTTTTCCATTGACTAAATATTGAGATTCTAGCAATAAAAGATCATTATTTGGTGGTTTAATATGGTTTTCATAAAAATAGTTGATATTTTTCGATAGAGGATAAATGGCATGATCATCTGCAGAAAATTTAGAGGTATGAGAAGGGAAGGAAGGATCACGAAAGATAATTTTAGATTTATAAAAGTCAGAATAAATTTTCTCAAATTGTTTTCTCAAATTGGTGAGTTTGGCGATGATAGTTGAGACATCATCAGGATCAATAAAAGAAAGAGTATTTAGTTTTTCAGAATGGGATTTAATATTTTCAAAGATTTGGGTAAATTGTTTGAATTGATCAAACAAGAAATTTTCATTAAAGATGTAATCAAAATAGGATTTAAAATTTTTATGAATAAACTTTTTAAATTTTTTGTTTCCATCAAATTTATTATTGAAATAAAATAAAGAAGTTTTATAAAAATCTGAAAATTGCGATAGATGTGAATTAAGAAAGTCTTTGAAGATATTTAAGAATCTGAAAGGGGGTATTTTGTGTTTATAATTGGAGATCAAATCAAATAATTTGTTTTTAAGAATGGCTTGATAACCATTTAAAACGTCTCTTTTATCAAGAAAGTTTTTTAGTTGCTCGTATTGGAAAGAATTATTGGATTTGACACTATTTTTGACTACGGTCTCTTTGAACTTAACAAATTCATGAACAACTAGTTCCTGATTTTTAATCACTTTGAATATAAAAGCCCAGATAGCAGTTTTCAATTTCAGTTCTGTGGTGGAAGGAGCCTGTTCTATTCTTAATTCATCAGCCCAATATTCTGAATAAGTTGTTTAACTGAAGTGAGCTCGTTGCCTAAAAGACTCAGTCAAACAGTTGAACCAAATAGAAGAAAAGAAAGAAAAGAAAAAGGAGGAGAAAGTCGCAACATACTAAGCATTATATAGCTCGTTGAGTCCATTCTCTAAGCTCCAGTTTGGGCTCCAGCTCCAACGAAATAACTAACTATGTTCTAAAGACATTTCCACGGAGAGGCAATCAGAGCCCACCCTGGAAGATTTAAAACGGTTTGAGCTTATTGTAGCGTAGAAACAGCACTAACAGCTCCAACATGACAGCTTCCAAACGAGTCACCGTCGTCACCTCGGACAACAGACGCTTCAGCATCGAACAGGCTCTTGCTGAGAGATCTGGGGTGATTAGAAACATCCTTTGCGACATGAATGGCGACCAGGACGACCAGGACGACGACAACAGCGACATGAAGGAGATTCCTTTGCCTGAGGTTAATGCTCAGACGTTAGCTGCTATCTTGCGCTGGTGCAGCCACCACAAGAGCCTGAGGTTCCCAGAGTACAAGGACAACGAGGAAATCGTGGGTGTGGCTCTCGACAAGTGGGACAGGCAGTTCTTGGAGACGTTGGACCAGAAGCTCTTGTACGACGTGGTATTGGCCTCAGACTACCTCAACATCAAGCCCTTATTGGTTTCGGGTTGCAAGGTCTTGGGGCTTCTGATGAAGTCGAAGACTCCTGAGCAGATCAGACAGCTTTTCAACATCAAGAAGGATCTTTCAGCTGAGCAGGAGGCCCAGATCCAGAAGGAGAACGAGTGGGCTTTATGATCCAGTGCTGGTCAATTGTTTTATTCAACTGTTTTATTCAACTGTTTTATCTAAATGCTTTTACATACTTTTTTCTCACCATTTCAACTGCTCCATAAAGTTTAAGGCATCTTTCGATATCACCAAACTCTCATCGATATCCTTCAACTCCCTGACATATTCGCTGTCCAACAACTTCAACGCTGCAACTGCTAAACAGCTATGTAATGGATCGCAATAATCGCTCTTTCGGTTCTTCATAAACCCTCCTAAGATTTCATCCTGAGTTTCGTTTAATAAATATAATTCAACCCCTTTAACGTTAATCAATTTTTCCAATTTTAATAACTTTAAAGATGCTGAGCACCAAAATGCATAACACGTATCTGATGCCTTATTGGTTCTCCCATTAAATCCCCCATTATCGTAAATTCCATTATCGCCTCTTTTATGAAATTTGATCACATTAGCATCATCAAATTCACCAGAATCTTCGCTTTCATTATCGCTTCCATATACATCTTCATACTCATCTAACTCTTGCTTGTTGTATTTGTTATACCAAATTTGTCTTTGACACAACCATTTAACTAATTTGTGATAATTTATTCTACTATTTGTCTCTTTGGAATCTAATTTATTGATTAATTTTAATATTGCTATCCCACAAAAGGTCAATCCAGCTTGAGGTTCATCAAAGGGCTCACCACCAAACCCTCCTTCATAGTTAGTGCAACTTAAAACATATTCATATAAATTTTCAATATTTATATCCACTTTTTTCAACTCTTCAATTTCTTTCTCTTTTTCTTTATTCTTATTATAATCATCACCATAAATCTTGTCAATTTGTAGAATTTTACGGATAGAACATGCTATTAAACAATACCTTAAATCATTTTCCCCAAATGGTTTACCATATATATCTAAAAGTGGTTTAAAACTTCCATTGGGTAATTGGCATCTTTTAAGATACGATAAAATTTGAAATCTATCAATTCTTTGACTCATACTTTCATCTCTTAATGTTAATAATATACAAAGTGCAAAATAAGTCTGAGATAAATTAGCTGGATCGTAATTCCCAACAATCTTTAATGATTCGTTCATTTCATTTGATCTGTCAACTAATGGCAATTTTAAATTGACTGATCCTCTAAACCCTTCACCCGATTCCACCAAATGCTTGTAAATAAAATCTATTATTATAGACCGTTCTTTCTTAGTTTTAAATAATTTATTATTATATTCTTCAACTCCTTTACACAAATCTAACCCAATTAAATTAAAATATATAACCGACATCTTAATTGGATCATTAGATTGAAATGCATTGGGCAAGAAATTCAATAACATTCTAAAATAATTCAAATGCTTTTTCAAATGAAATTTTAACTCGCCATCATCAATTGTACCCTCATTATACTGCTTCTTCCCATGATATTTACCATTTCTATCATAAATCTTAGCTGTGTTATCTTTTGCAACTTTCAAAGAACAAGGAAGTGAAACCATTGAATAGTTTTCCATTTCTAAAAATTTCGTTTTGTTTTTTATAACCTTTTTTTAAAATGTTATTTTACCTGCCTATTTTTCACGTTGGTTCTCTTTTTCCAATCAATATATCTGATATATGATACGAAATATAATCTTTCCTCTGCCTGATAGACTGTTTAGAACTAAACAATTTCTGATAACACCAGTTTAAACTGTTTGGGTCCGCATTACTGGATATCTTTATTTGTATGCATTATTGTGCAACTAATGCATACATGAACATTCAAAACCACTCCAAATATATGGATCAAATGTTTTTGGTCAAAATAAATCAAATAAATTATCCTGAACTCTAAGTGTGTTTAAACCAAACAAAAAATAAAAAAATAAATAAGAAAATAATAATATAAAAAACTATTCTTTTATTACTCAACCGTAATCGATCTGCTTTTAATAATATAGCCCCATATTTTGTGAATCAAACTAAATTGAATATGTACATGCTACTTTTTCTCTTCTGGGTTTATTTGGAAAAAAAACTTGTGAATTTCCACGAAAAATAATAGAAAAAATCAAGAAAAACTTGGAAAAACTTGGAAAAATTTAGAAAAATTTGGAAAAAATAATAGAAAATAAAAAATCGAGACAGTTTTCTTTTATGTGGACGTAGTGTTAAGTCTTTAAATTTTGAATTTCATGTTTTGAATTTCGAATCTAAAAATTGTAAACCCTTGAAATTTTATTAGCCTAACTGTCCAAATTAATTTTTAAAATTTCGAAATCAAGTGTTATTTTTTCTAAAAGAAACATTTTTGGTCCTTGATATTGATATTGATCTTGATATAGGTTTTGTTAAGTTACTTAAACAAATTCTATATTATTCTTTAAAGCATTTGTTGTGCTAATACTCCTCTGTTAAGTGCAAGAAATTGATCCAGCTTATACCGAAATAGTTTTAAATTCTGCCTCTTTTAAACCTGATCTATAATTTTGAAATGAAAACTACAGCTTTGAGATCTTTTGCCGTTATTTATGCTTAGCATTCTACCAATTGGCTTAGTATCACTCAAACACAGAAATACCTTGAAATGGCAGACTATTCTACCAATCTTTGAGTGTTATGTGCTTTATCTTTTCTCTTCATGACACCAGCAGACCCTTTGTGACACAACGCTCGAGGTCTGTCATCAAGTGACTACCGGTTGCCACAAACGCGTGTGATCTGCATGCACATGTATGATTGTAAGCTCTTGGTGCAGCATGAAAGCAAAACCTTATGTTCACAAAAAAGCTTATTACACCTGTCCTTTCCAAACACTCAGAACCTACGGATCGGATCACTTTTCCACTGCAAAATCCGTATTGTATGACTATTTTTTACTCTGATGCTAGTTGTGTTTTATACTACCTGATAATCTAACGATTTGAGATTTGACATCTGAAACTTGTGATTGGTGATTTAAGCAAAGGCCTCTCCGTAGTCAGTAGCGATTACTTCTTTAAACCTCATCAAAATAGATCCGTTTCTCCTCACTCGTGCAGGTTTTCAAGATTGCTACTATTATCTTATCGACTTATCTACTCCATTTTTTTAAGATTCATCATTCTTTTTTCTATCTTACACAGCACTCCAGTTGACCGTTGATTTAGTGGAGCATTGCTTTTTCCCTTTATTCAATGATTTTGTCTAAAACTGCAGCATCATTACAACCAAGTCAGCAGCTAGATAATAGAATTGTCCTTTGATTATGCTTTATACTTTCATATATAGTTTTTTCGCTTTGAATAAGATAATTAGTACTCACCGTATGTGGCAGCTGGCAAACGAAAGGAACGCCAAATTGATTTCTACACTGGATCGAAACAATCGCTCTAATTGGCTGACCGTTGTAAACGCTCCCTTTTCTGTTGTCCCAGCTCCTGTCCCGAATAGCCCTGTCCCGCCGGAACGCATCTCGAATCATGCCTCTCCGTATGTTAAGGGTCTGTTCCTGCTCACGCAGGTCTGTAGATGTTGCTGCATAAGAAAGTCAACAAGTATGACAGAAATACAAATCACCTAATCAATCATATTATTTTGCTTTTTATGAGAATCATCCAATAAAACCTTCTTTTTTCGTCTATTTTTTTCAATTTGGACTGGTTTTATAATCTATTATGCTAATCCAATTCTATTGCCTCAATTGATATGAGTAACATCAATCATTTATTTGCTAATTACTTCTGGACTAAATCGCCCAACTTAAATATTTGAAAACACATGAAGACGACAGAAAAACAAATCATTACAATATAATCATTACCATCCAGCTTGGATTATTTTGAAATAAAAATTCCAAAATTTATGGCATTCTATTGTGCGTTCTTATTTTCGGGTTAAGTTGAATTTTAGAATCATTTTGTCTTCGAGTAATTGATTTTAGTTAGTTGCTATTTAATAAAAAGGAATTATAATTCAAAAGTTAATGTCATATATTTTCCCTTTTTAATTTTTTACCTTTTCACTTCTTCGCTTTCAATTTTTTCACTTTCTTTTATTTTTTTTGTTTACTAGCAGAAAATCGTTAAAATCTTGAACATGTTCAAGTCTGGAAAACAATGTATTTTGCCATTACATAAATTCTTGTATCAAAACGTTACCTATTGATGACACAATTACAGTTGAATATTTTTTATTAAATCACAAATCTTGGAATTTAGATCTAAGCTTTGAGATTTATCAACCAATAATACTATTTACCTTTATAATTATGATTTAAAAATATAATAATACGTTAAAATGCTAATCAACTTAATCATCTTCTAATTAACTTCAATTTCACCTGTTTGTGGTTTTTAATAAATCTAAAACCAACAGAACGAAGGCAATCTCAAACATTCATTTTACCCAAACTTTAGACTCATTTATTATTTATTCCATCTATATAAATGTATTTCAATTTTCTATTTCTTTTTTGTTCATTTTTTTATTATATTCTATTCTATTGTATTGTACCATATTATATTATATTATATTATATCCTTAATTGTTTTGTTTTAAATTCCAGTAATCCTTTGGTGGTGTATTCTGCGTTTGTGTTTAATTTGTTTTTCTTGCCCTACATCAATTAATATAACGGGAAAATTATTCAATAATATCTCAAATTTTTTCTTTCCAATAGGAAATCAAATAAAAAAGCTATTCTTAGACAAAATCACAAAATTGAAGAAAGCTTCAATTTTATAAATCTATAAAATTCTACTGCATTTATTTAAATCACCAAAACAAATTTATCAAATAAGAAAACAAATAACAATAATTTCATATTTTAATATACTTACTATAAAGAATACTACTAACAATAACATCTCTTACACCAAAACAGTAACTATTTAAAAACAGATTTTTAAACATATTTTAACACATTTTATTGTTCTGCTATTTGTTATTAAAAAAAAAATGAAAAACTTTCAAAAGTTTAAAATTTTAATAAAAGTTTTTAGTCTTACATTTTTAGTAATTTTAATAATTAAACAGAATTTCCTTGTTATAATGAATAACTGGATGTTACAATTCAATCACAATACTTTAATTAATAATCAAGTACAACTTATTCCACTGAAAGATTATAATTTTCTTAAAAATTATACAATAAGTGAATTAAATGAATTAAATCATGAAAACTATATTAAAAATCCGGTTTTAGCAGTTGATAATATTGCACAATGTGAGATTAAAACAGATAATGATAGGAATCTGCTATTCTTAGAAACATGTTTTGACACCTTGGTTAATGAGCTCACTCAACAGTTGAATCCAAGTTCTTCTTTAAGTGACTACATGACAATTCCAGTCTCACTTTCAACAGTTTTTGAAACACCAGAACCAGATAATAGAAAATTTTACTGCTCACTCTTAAACTGTGATGATTCAAGATGCTACTCCTATGTGAGATGTGATGAAACCTGTGAACTAGTTCCAATTCACTTAACTGGTTTTAGAAGAAATTTAATTGTTTATTGTTCTGGTCATTGCATTTGTCCAAAGGTTTATTTATTTGACTAAAATTATTCCTTATTTATATTAGATGTTTTCAACAGAGACATTCATGGACATTAATGTACTTTGGAATAAAAGATTATGTGCAAAATTTTTCTACTTTCCAATCTCCTTCTGTTATTCAAAGACTTTTATTAGATCATCAAGATATTTGAAATTGATTTTCTAAAATAAAATGTTTTATTTCCTACAAAGATAAATTATTTTAAAAAGTTTTTATAAAAAATATCAATCTGCTTATATTATATCAAGTTTTTCTCTAATATTTTTCTGTTATTTTTTCCTTTTTCATTGTTTTTCTCTTATTTTATTATTTTTCTCTCATTCTTGATTTTAAAACTAAATAAATACTCATTTATTATCTTTTTTCAAGATTTTGTTTTTGTTAATCCGGAGAGATAGAAATGGATTTCCTTTTTTGCCAATTAGAACAAGATTCTGTTCAAGCAGAAGTTGCAGTCATCAAAGACTTCCTTAATATTTTTAATAGATTTAAAACATCTCTTATCAGACTCTTGAAACCAAACATTTGCTTTATAATTTTATATTTATATATTTTTTGCACAAAAATTTGAAATAAATATAGATAATAGTATGTACATACTTTAATAGCATTAAGCCAGCAAAACCGTTATTCATACATTAATTGCGCTCAATCAACAACATGCTACTTTCAACGGCTTGTGCTGCAGCATCATTAAATAGAAATTGGTTTTATAATTGTTAATTATGAAATTTAAAAATTTCTATAAGGATATTAAATATTGAGCATGTCAATTGTTGTCATCTAAACTAGAAACACATTCTTTACGGCCTAATAGAATCTCAGAGATCGTCGAAGCAAATTAGAAAAAAAAAATCATATCAACAAATCTAAAATCACCAAGTAATATTTATATATTGATTTATTGGAAAAAAAATATATACAGAAAGATCTTTTGTGTTCTTTGGTGATCGTAGTAATCGGTTTTTGTTCTTTCTATGAGGATACATGATCAAGAATTTAACAGGGCTGTTATTGCCCTATTTATTCTATTTTAGGAATGCCACTTTTGGTAGCTAAAGAGAATTCCTGATAACGAGGGGTTGATTGCTATTTTCGCAGATGTTGGGTGTATCAGTGGAAACGGAAATAACTTAGCATTAGATAGTTTTGGGCGCGAAAATCGTTGACTGTGTTATAAGCCCTGGTGATTCTATCCATCACGCTGGTTTTTTCAATTCAATGCATGTGTCATTATCTGCATGAACATACCTGCCGCTTGAACAAAACCACAATCCCAAATCCCAAATCCTAAATTTCAAATTGTCATAAGAATAGTTTACAAATCTCAACTGTTCACAAAAAGCTCAGTTTTAAAACCTCAAATATTCAAACAATTAATATATAATTAATTATTATAGTTATTATATAGATTAAGCTTTTAGTTTAGCACTTAAAATACTCGGACTGTTAAACAGACTTTTTTTCTCTGCAATCATTTGATATCAAAATGAAAAACAAAAAAATAACTAGTACTAAATAATATTGATTATTATGTTTAAGTAATTATTTCAAAGAACAAAAAATATTATCGTTTAGAATTTATTATTCCAAACTTTCAATCTTAAAATTTGAATAAAATTTTTCGTAACTTAATACTATGAGGAATTTTTGGTTTTAGACTCTAAATCGGAAAGTAGCTTTTAATTAAAAAAAAAAAAATTAGCAAAAATCCTAAGGAAAAATAAAAAAAAGATATTTGGTATTATAATGCATATAAATATAAAAATATAAAAAAATGATTAGATGTAGATATAAAATAATGAAAAGTGTAACAGTGCAGTATTGAGAAATTGTACCTGTTGGGTTTATTTTAATCAAGAGTTTACCCCTTGGATTTTTTTAAAAGAAATAAAAAAAATGCTTAAAAGTAATATGAAAAACAAAAAAGCAACTCATAATAAATAAATCATGCCAGAATTAAAATAAAAAAAATGCAACTGATATAAAATTTAATAAATGCAGTCAAAAACAGAAACAAAAACAAAAATTAACAAAATTAGAATCAATAACAAATCATTAAAAATTAGAAAAACAAGCTCGGAAATTGTTTATAGTCATAAATGATTAGATTGGATAAAAATTAAAAATTGAGATTGAAGATAAATAGAAGCAATTCTATTATTCAATGACACGAGCAAAAATTTAAGCAGTGGTTAGAATTCGATAAATTTGGTCTTAGTGATAAATGGCCAAAATCATCACAATATACCTGTTGAAAACAAAGTTCCTCATCAACTCCATCGCAAGATATTAGGTATTTTCTGAATTGATTTTTTGCAAAAAAAATTATATGGTTTTCATTTATAATTTGAGAATATTCAAAGGTATTATTCTTAGCATAGGTTTCTTTAATGCCATTAATATTACGGTGTTTTGAAATTATTTGGTTATCAAAGGAGTTTTTGTTGTCTAAATAATTCAAGTCTTTTTTTATAAAATTATGCCTTGGTAATGGACTTTCTTGGTGGATTAACAAACATTTATTAAAAAACGTTAAAAGACAAATATTATCAATATAGGATAAAAAATTTTTATTTTCAATTATTTTTTTGATCAAGATTGTTAAAGTACCAAAAACCACTAAAACCATTGCAATAAAAATAATAATCAATGATTTTTTGTTGACATCTAATAACTTCATTAGTTTTTTTTAAAGAAAGAAATCTCTTTTAATTATTTTTTTTTTTATAAGAGTATTATAAAGTTGGATCAATAATGAAGTTTCTTAATTAAGGAAATGGAAGCCATAAAATTCAAGTTTGATAGTTGAGATGAAAAAGGAATAATAATTTAACCTGTTATTTTAATTGTTATTATTTTTATTATTACTATTTTCTGGTTAGTTTTCAAACTTTTAGTGGAATTAAAAAAATTTAAAAAAAAAACAGTATAAAAAAAATACATAATAGAAAACTTGATGAGCGAAAGACAAAGATATATTTATAGTCTTGTGGTTTATCGGGTAAACATTTTTGCTTTTTCCTTTAATCTTAATAAATGGTTATAAATTTTTTGTAAATTGATTTGATAAGGATAATTTTAAAGTACCCTTAAGAATTTGTTAAAACAAAAATTCTTGGAAAGCACTAATAATATTAAAAACATAAGAGGACATTTAAGAAAAACAAAGAGAAAAGAGATTAAAAAAGAAGTCAAAAAATGCAATTGAAAACAAATTAGGTTTTATTTTTTGAATAATTATTGAGTTTTAATCTATTGAATTAAAAATATTTAAATAAATTACAAATCAACGTTAAAGAATAAACTTAAAGACTACTGATTAATACTGAACATTAAATAAAAAAATAATTTTTAAAACAGACATCAATTAGTTGTAAAGTAAAACCTCATTTTCTGTGAGGTAATTTGGTTTGAATACCAATATTATTAATATATATCCTTTTATCATAAACGTAAAATAGCATATTTAAAATTATTAGCAGTGAAGGAGTTACAGGCCTTATAAGATCATAAGACTAAATAAAGGAATTCGAATTTTTTAATTTAAAAAGAATGAGATTTGGCAATATAATTTATTAGTTATTAATTATTAATCACAGATTATTTACAGAAAGAAGTTCAGATAAAGGTATTGTTTTTTTGTTTTTTTTAATTAAATTAATTCAAAAGATTGAAATAATTTTGATTTCAACATAATATTATTGATAATTACCGATCAACTAATTGGAGTGAAAAAAATATTTTAAAACGTTAAAAATAAAACCAAATATAATTAAATGCTGACTTTGAACAAATTAGAAGTACAAGAGTACAAGTGCAGAATTTAAAAATATTTTAAACCAAGAATAATCAATTATTCATTTTTGTGTTTCAATTGAACCAGAATTTTTTCAATATCATTGGTATTTAATTACATGTTAAGGCTAGAATAAACCGAAAGAGACTGGAATAAAAATAATTTGAATAGAGATCAGATCGCCGAAAAATTTGGCATTGAGCAAGTTCAAATAAGACAGCATACAACTAGGAAAAAGATCAAATCAAAAGCTGTAATTAATATGCTATCATGAAAGTGTTTTCACTTATCAAAGGATCAATAAAAGAAATAAATATTGACATTAATATGAAATACGATATAGCAAATTACTGTTATATTAGAGTTTTCTTTATGTTTGAAGCTATGACAGCACAACAAAGATAAAATAGAAAAAGAAAAAGAAAAAGAAAAAGAAAAAGAAAAAGAAAAAGAAAAATAAAAATAAAAAGAAAAATAAAAATAAAAATAAAAATAAAAATAAATTATCATATATCACAATTTTCAAGATCCTTATAATTGTTGTAATTTTGGAATGATTATTACTTGATCATAATGAGATAGTTTGACTCTTGATTAAAGGAGAACCCGGGAATGAAATACAAAAATTTCAAGAAGCAAAAAAAACAGCAACAAATAAAAAGTATTCTTTAAATAGAAAAGAAAACAAGACAGCCTAAAACAACAAACATATAAAAAAAGAGAGATAATTCTCAGTTTTATCAACTGCTGGTCAGAGAAAACAACAAGGTTCAAAATCCCAAATCCAAAGTCCAATATTTATCTGTAAGCCTCCTCTCCTTCGTGCACCAGTCAGTACCATTATTATTCGCCACTACCACAACTTGGAAAGGCCCAGTCAAAACTGAAAAAAAAAGACCCTTGAGATCGTGCTTCTCGAGAGCCATACGCACCAGATGGAGCACATCAGGAAGATGGTCGAAATGATGCATCTGCTGAAAGAAAATTGTGCACATGTCCCTGAAAAAAGCATTGTTATTGCATTGATTTGCATAAGCAGACAGGCTTATGTAAGCAACATGAACCAACAGCAGAAGTCTTGGCATAGGTCTAAATGAAAAGCGCAAACATCCAGACATTCTGCTGGGCCGGACACTGGCCAATCGCTGTGTGAAAGTCGGTGGTAAGAGGACCGCTCCTTATCTGTTTTTCGTGCTCGGAAAACGCCCTGACATATCCAGACATAACAGGTCCAACACTCTAGTTTTGCACTATAGAGCGTAGCGAACCGAACATAATAAATCCTATTAGTAAAGAACCTGCACAAATGGAACACTGGTATTTGGCAGGTACCTGATTCGTGAGTCTCTTTCAACTGAGCTAAACAATTACTGATTAGATGCTTCTTCTGTTGCTTTTGCTGTTGCCTTTGCTGTTACCTTTGCCCTTGTTATTATTGGAAGAAAACAACTGCCTCCAGGTTGAGGACCAGCAAAAACCGCTAGACTTCTCCAGCTACTGTTTTCATTCGGTTTCAGGAAAGTGTTTTGCAACTGATCCCGGCGAGAAAATGGCATTCACAAATGGAAATTCCGGCATTTTGAACAGACTCAGCGGCCCCTCAAAAGTGGGAGTATTCTTTTGAGTTTTAACGTCTTTTGAGATTCTGAGCCTAATACAATAATCCATTCCTGTTTCCACCAGGAAAACAGTAACCGTTTTACGTTTCCAACGCCCAATTATGTTTTCAGCGTCCAACTCGAGCAAATGGAAATTTTACAGTTGCTGGACGACTGAAGATAATAATCAATAATAATTGTGGGTTTTCTTTTAACTGGTACAATTGACTATTTCTGATATTTCAGCTGATTTTAAAGTTAATTAAGGTTTAAGAAATAGTTTTAAAGATTCCACGATATTTGATATCAAAATTTTATTTCTGAACTAAAGGAATATAAGTATTTGACATTTTCTGCCTTTTTTTCTCCTTAAATAACTCATTTTTTCATTTTCTCAGCTTTTATTTTTTTATAATTTTTGTTCATCCTTTATCCCTCATCTATTCTTTGTGCTAACATAACTCAAAAACACTACCACTGCTATTATAAAGGAGCCTATTGGTAATTTTATATATATCTATATCCTTTCTCGTTTTGTTAATTGATAAATTGATATAGAATGGGGCTTCTCAATTTAAGAATAAAAACCAAAAGAAGGAGTGTATTAGATAGCAATACTTCGTCATCTAATGCTACTACAATCTCTGAAAGTACACTTTCCTCCATTGATTCTTATAAGCAAAAACAAGTCTTGGATCTTACAGATGAAAAGTTTGATGGGAAATTGGCAATGGTGGATGGTCAAATATACAGAATGAGAGCTAAACCAAGTGCAAGAACTGAAATGAAAAAAAACAAATATCCTGACAAAGCAACCTTTCCAATCACAAGAAGTAAAACCAAAAAATTAATTAAAGAAGGCATTATCGATTGGAGATGTTGTCGATGTGATGTTGATAATAAATTTGAAATGAGTGATGATATCGACAAAGAAGATTTGTCAAGACCATTTTTCCAATGGTGTGACAGTTTTTGTATCTCATGTTTTCATAACTTTTGCGAGGATTGTATTGAGAGAAGATAAACACAAGTGAAATATATTATTGAAATAAAATAAAACTACAACTACAAATATTAACAAGATTAAACATTTTTGATAATAATAATAATAATGAACAGTCTTTATCGGCCCAATATTGAATTCTTACTTTCTTCTCTCACAATCCATTTATTCTATTTGTTTTTTCTATTCTTGGTTATTCTTCCTTGGTGATGCTGTTTATATCTATTTAATGTCTTATATTTCTGCTTTTTTATTTTTATTTTTTTTCTTTCTTCAATTCATTCCGGTTTATTATTTTTTATTCTATACTTGCTTTTCTCATTTCATTTTCATTTAATTATTATTTCGGTAATAGTTATAATTACAATTCTCATTTTTTTGTGTTATTTTCCAATTTCATGTTATGTTTTGCTTTTCACATATCGTAAATTATTCAATTAGATAATCCAAAAGTTTGTCAAATTTTTTTTTACAAAAAGTTAATTTATATTTAGTATCTACAATTATTTATCATTTTTTAATTCTGGTTCAAAAGATAATTTGATTCAAGTATCAAGCATTTAAATTAGGTTTTGTAATTTGAAATAGATGAGTTTGGGTTTTTACAGAAATTACACATCACGCCCAGCAGAAATTCTTGGTTTTGAAGACCACTGAATGGTGAAACGATACTATATAATACAAAAAAAATAAGAATAATTATCTGAATAGTGGTAAACACTAACACCAACAAGGATATCGGCTTGAATGAGGTTTTCTGTTGAACACTTTGATACTTATCTAGGTTTGTAGAATTTCTTGTAACCTTTAAACATTCTTTGAACATTGGCAAAAACATCAAGATTAGAAAACGACCATTTTATTCAGTGTGTTTAATTGTCAGTCAAAATAGGTTTAGACTGCTGAACTTTATCAGTTATTATCAGAAAATTCGTCAGAAAATTCACCAACCAACCTGCTGAACAAACAACGAGTGGTGGAATACCAAATATCTCCCTAAAGCAAAACGCATTATTCTTTTGTTACTACTAGCACATAATATTCAAAACATATCTTCCTCCTCAACAAAGTCCCCTAAAGCCAGCCTAAAGAAGAAAGGATGGAAACAAAAGAAAAGAGGCCTAATAACGGGACACACCTTTGATAGGAGCGGCTTTAGCGAACACAACCCATGATAGCGGGACACAACCGTCCGCTATCCTGTTTGCACACAGAAAACTTCCACCACCTTTTAAAGTTGTGCTGAATCCTTAATTTGAGGTGGAAATGTCGATTTCTTCACCTCTCAATTCGCAATTAATCCGTTTCACTGAAAAACAAAAGATCACCTGACCGTCCAACCAGAATTGAACATCTAATTACAACAATTGCAGCAATATATTTCGACTAGCCCGATAGTTAAATTCATGAAACGCCTAAGATGCCATTTACGTAATATTTCCAGGACAGCAATTCATCTAGGGCTACCACTCTGTTATTAAAAGAAAAGACAACCCCTTCAAGAAGAACCAATTGACCAATTGCAGTCTTTCAGAATTCGACTTGTCCAGTTTTGCAGATATGAATTTCATAAATTATGAATTTAATGACAAATTTCGATTCAATTAAAACAACAAACCAAACTAGCAAATTTATTTTCTGAGAAAAATATGTGCATATTTTGGGACAGAAGCTATGAGTAGACAAGATTAGCACTTTACTGAATGAATGATTGCGCTTGCTCTCGTGAACCCAAATTACTGGAATAAATATTTCATCTGAGTTGAGCAACCTGCTCTTTCCGTCATTGGATCCATCAAAACGGAATTCAAACGATCATGCAGGATAAAACATATCTACACAGTAGAATACATAATTATGCACATCTGCATGAATACTTGCCTCTGCCAAAGTCACGAGACCTTTCAGTTATCGGCTATTTTTAAACTTTTGAACGATGACAGGAAGCTCATTTGGTTTCGGAAAATCGTTCGTGAAAAAAATGCTTTTATTAAAATAGCCCACAAATATAAAACCAGCTGTATCAAGTTGTGTCTCAAAAAAAACCCTGTTAATAATTAACATATTTTGTAAATAATTAATTAAACCCGAAAGCCAAATGCAAAATTACAAAAACAAGCTCTATTTTTAAAAGAAAACTTTAGAAGTAATCCAAAAAAAAATTAAAAGAAAAAGATTTTTGAACATATTGCAGTTCAATTAAAAAAATTGAAAAAAAAATAAAAAAAGTAAGAAATTTCTCAATCAAAATTGATTTTGATGAGGAAAGTCTCTTTTTCTTGAAAACCCAAAATTACTATATTCTTGCATCAATCCATGGATAATATAGTTTCCCTAACCCCAAACCTATAAGTTTGATTTATTTGGGTAGTAATATTACATATTTGAAGTGTTAGAATTATTACTGCAAAAAGAAATCAATATCAATGTTTAACAGCTTCTGTGTCATTTTTAAGCTCAGATCTAAAATACGAAAAACAATAATTATCAAATTGGGAAAGATGAATTTTATATAGTTTTTTCTTGAAAAGTTAATATTCATTCTGATTTTTGACAAAGAATAAAAGCATCATATCATCGAAGTTTTAAGGTTGCAAAGAATCAAATCTTTGACTATTCTAAAATCTTAAATTCCAAACAACACAATTTTTTTGAGATATACCTTTATTTTCAAACCATTAGAAAATAAAACTGAATTAAATTCAAACTATCTAGTTTGAGATGTTATACACACTTTTCAAAAATCAACTCAACAAATTTTTTTGCCGAGTTGTGAAAAAATTGACAAAAAAAAAACTCATTTTTAAATATCATCTTTATCTGCCATCCTATTTCCTAATAATCCCACTGTGACCGAACTACTTCTATGTCTTTTCTTAATTTCTTCTTTTATAGTTTTTATCTCAGCATTATTACTTGATGTTCCTTTATAGTGGTAAGATTTGTTAAATGACAATTTAATTTCACCCTTTTGATAATGATTTCTAAAATTATGTCTTTGTTGATTATATATAGATTTATTTTTAGTCATCATAATTCTTCTAACCTCTTTCAAATAGTCTGTTCTTGAAATCACATTCCTGAAAGCCTTACTTAATAAGTGTGTACTTTTTCTTGAATTTTTTAGAATAACTGATACCTTTCTTTCAGTTTCATTATCATCCTCTAATCGAATTAAAGGTCTGTGAATTTTATTTTCCATAATAAACCCAGATTCTTCATCCGATGAATATCTACTGTACTCACTTTCTTGGCTTCTTAATCGAAATAATAAGTCCTCGTTTGTTTTCATTCCACGGAATTGAATACTTAAATTGCTTACTGGAGGTGATTGTGATACGTTTTGTGAATGTCCTTGAGAAAACAATCCAATGCCATCTTTATTGAATGCAATATTTCCATTTGCACTACGCGCATAACCTGCAGTAGGCATCAACCCCAAATTTTCAAGCTCATCGTCTGGAATATTAAGAGTTAACAAATTACTAGGTTTTTCCCAGCTTCCAATTTCAAGATCAACCAAATTAAACGGTTTTTCTTTGGTTCCTTGTAAGTAATCATTTTCTTCCTCTTCAATAAACCCGTGAACAGTCTTCAGAACTCGTGGAAGATTTGACTCACTTGTCATGAACCTGGTCCTGAAATCTCTTCTTGGTCCTAAAGTCAATGTTAATTCACCTCTTTTACCATGGTTACTTTCATGATCACCGTCATCATCGTCGTCATCATTATCATCATCACTATCAACGCTTGACACTGAAAATGCAGACATCCTATCATTTTCTATATCTTCTGGGCAATATGATACTCCATCCTTAACGATATTACTTGGTAGCCTAATTAATTCAGTTCCACCAATTGATAGGTTATTGTTATCAAGAATTTTATTATCATCACCATGGATGTTACCATTTGCTTTTTTGTTGTTTAAAATAGTTGATGAAGAAGTAATAACATTATTATAATCATTGATTTCATATGGTTTGCAAGTATGATAACTAGCAATGGATTGGGATTCGACATTTATGCCCGGAACAGATATCCCAGACATTAAACTTTGATCTGACATTGACTTTACTGGTTTTTCTGTACTGTTACCAATAGAACTCGACTCTAATTGACTGTGATGAAAAATATTAACAGGTTTTCCCAAATGTGTACTATAACTTTTTTGATCATCAGTCACATCATCATTCATATTAATAGTTGCAGTTGCTGATGAATTATTTATAGATTTGTTCATTGATTTATTCATATCGTATGATTGAAGTTTTTTGAAAGGGGACTCATTGTTCTGATTATAAAAATCGTTTAACCTTAAATTTGGAGAAAGAAGCTTATTTACACTTTCATTTGAGTTGTGATTTTCAATACTGTTATTATTATTGTTATTATTATCGTTATTATTATTGTTATTATTATTTTCATTTCTATTCCCATCTTCATTTGTTTGAGTTATCGAAGAAATAATATTTTGATAATTTTCAATGTTCCTAGTTTCACAATTTTCATGATTTTCTGCATTGATACCATTAACATTTGGGTTTGCAGTGAAACTATCGTTATTTTTAGCAAAGTTAAAATTATAATCATAATTGGAAATATTGGTGAGATTGTTGTTATAGTTATTCAAGTTACAAATACTTGAGTTATTGAAAGTTCGATTCATCCCATTTATATTAAGAAAACTTTTAGAATTTGGATCTTTATCTTGTTCATCAAAATAAAATCTGGCTGTTTGACCATAATTTGTAAAATTGGAAAGAGCATTAAAATTGAATTCAGGAAGCTTGTAGAGATCTTCTTCATCAAAACTGTTCAAGGAAGCAAAACTGGTATTGATAGGAAGTTGAACATTTCCATCTCTAGACCCAATGGGATTAAAATAACCATTTGAATTGTTATTATTGTTGGGATTATCAATATTTGTATTTTCTAAGTTATCAATTGGCATATTATTAATAGTTTCAACATCATTATTTTTGATATCATTTCCATCAATAGTACTATTGAGATTAGTAGTAGTACTTCTGCTATTTATCAAACTTTTATTAGAATTTTTCAAGTTATTGTAAAGATTAAATCTATTATTGACGGAGCCTCTTCTTGAAATTGATGAAAAAGAGCCACTTGATTGAATACTTCCTCTTCTAAGTAATGAGCTAGAACTTGCTTTAAAATAGTCCTTTTCCATTATATCATTCAAAGCATTAACAGTTGGTTTCGTTGGTTTAAAAAATCCGCCTTCTATTGTGGATTTTGTTTCTGTTGTAATTGGGTCTGTTATTGTAGCTGAGGGAGTTCTTCGATGACAAGCATACGACTTCATATTCAAACAAGTTGAAGAATTTAGTATGCTAGAATTGGCAGTAGTAGTTGCACTAGTTGGATTTGAATTAATTTGCGACAGCAGATTTAAAGTTGAAGAGCAAGAGAGTTGAGAAGGATGTTTTGTTATCATGGGGGTGTTATTATTCAGGCCAAGTATATGACTTGAGTGAGGATAATCGACAATATTATTTGGAAGAGGGAGGATTTGTTGTTGATTAAAAGTTGCAACGGAAAGATAAGGAGAGGAAGCACTGGAAACATCTGGGGGCAAAGAAGGAGACATTGTGGGAGTTCCCACTGTTTCTGAAATTATAAGTGAATTATTATTGCAATCAAAATTCAAGCTTGGTTTATGAGCAGTAGTTTTTATTAGCGATTGAGTTATGGTAGATTGATGAGGAGGAATATATTCCGAATCACTAGCGTTGTTGTTATGGTTTGAATTGGAATTGGTTAAAACTGAATTTAGGGACATATTGGAACGGTTTGTATGAATTCTTGGAGAAGTTAGACCAGCTAACTTTAAGGCTTTACTTAGATGGTGTTTGATTTTATGGCCAATACCGAGAACAGCAACCTCAACTTCCTCATTAGAAACATTGATAATTTCTTCTGGGATTTGTGGTTGCGAGAATTCGTAGATATCGTCATCATTCAAGTCCCGTAGAGTGAATGGATGTCGTTTAATTTCATCGATGTCGCTTCTAGATTCTGGGTCTTTTGCCAACAATTTCAGTAGCAAATCTTTACTTTCTGAATATTCATTTAAGGAGACATTTGAGTTTCTTGTGTTTGAACTTAAAACGTTCAAGTAAGAAGGAAAAGATAAGGGTTGATTAATTATGACATCAAACAACTCAAATTCTGAATCTGCGTTAAAAGGTAAGTTGCCAAATAGTAAACAGTATAGAGTGACACCCAAAGCCCATATATCTATTTTGTAGTCAATTTTAGGCGGATTATCTTCAATTTCATTATTGTTGTTGTTATTATTGCTATTATCGGAAGAAATAGATGGTTTAAGTTTATTATTTGAGGAGAAGCATAATTCAGGAGCAAAAAACGCCGGAGTTCCAGCGGTTTTAGCCAATTCGTAATCATTATTTTTTTCATCATAATCTGGATCATTTTCGTTTAAATTTGAGGCAAAAGAAACGCCGAAATCCGATATTTTAACAGTGTTATCCTTTGAAAGTAGTAGGTTTGCTGGTTTTATGTCTCTGTGGATTATACCTTGGTAGTGTAGATATTCCAAGCCGAGTAGGACGTCTCTGAATACAGCTCTTGCTTCTTTGAAGGACATCATGGGTCTTCCTTTTTTCTGTTTTGAGTATTTTACTAATTTTTCGTCAATGTCGTGATTATTGTTTTTTGAGTTGTTTGAAGGTGGGTTTGAATATGAAATTGAGTTTGAAAATGAGTCGTTTGAGATTAAATCGTCATAATCGTTATTTTGCCATTTAACTTCGCCATTTTCCAAGTATTCTAGAACGAGGTATATTTTTCTTGAGTTGATATCGTCCAAGACTTCGTTTAGTTTGACTACATGTTTGTGATCGCATTTTTTCATGATCGCGATTTCTTTTCTAATTTTGATGTCCTGCTGAAAGGGGGAGTTTGTTTGGCTTGACTGTAGGTTTGATGTTCTGGAAGTTAGATTTGGATAGATTGAGTTTCTTCTCAAGTTGTTTGTAGTGTTTAGAATGTTGTTGTTTGTGTTTGAGGTGTTGTTTATGGTTGAGGATAGGAATTTTGATTTAGTGTTTCTATCGACGATTTTGATGGCTACTTTTTCGCCGGTTTGAGTGTGTTTTGCAAGTTTAACTTTGCCATGTTGGCCCTTGCCTAGTTCTTTGAGAATTTCGTAAGTGTTTAGGATTTTAGTTTTGTTGATGGGGTTATATTCTAGAGAGATGTGGTGAGTTTCTTTGACTTTTGAGGAGAGTCTGTTGATTGATTTTTTTGAGGATACAGAAGGAAAAGATTTGTGGTTGTTATTTATGTTGTTGTTTGAAGGATGTGAAGAGAGAGTCAGTAGGTGCGTGTTGTTATTGTTATTGTTATTGTTATTGTTATTGAAGTCGTTAAGATTTAGGCTGTTTATTAGGCTGTCGTTGAATTGCTGGGGGAGCTGGTGAGGAGTTGATATGATGCCAGTTGCTAGGAAGTTTGAATTTAGTTTAGTTTGGGATTGAGATTGTGGTTGAGGTTGTGAGTCGATTTGAGAAGAGAAGAGAGGGAAGTTGGAGGAGATTGAATTTGAGGTTGGAATTGAAGATTTAAGAGGAGCAGGAGACGATAAGGGGGACTGGATTTGTTTCAAGGGAGTTGATAAGTTTGAATGTGTGATGATGTTGGAGGGAGAAGAAGTGTTTGATTGAAGTAGAGAGGAATCATTTGGGGACGAGTCGGCGGTTAATTTTTGAGCGCTATTGTTGGTTGTATTTTGGTAGGTGGGTGGAAGAATGAGTTGTTGTTGTTGTTGTTGTGCAGAATCTTGTGGGATTGTAATTGATAGTCTTTTTTTTCTTTTTTCAATTGAGTGCTGTTTGCTGTTGGTGTTTGAGTGGTTTGAATGGATTGATTTAAGAGAGGAATGGCTGTTGTTGAGTTTGAAATAGTTTGAAAATTTAGAGAAAAAGCTTTTGTTTATCGTGGAAGAGGAGGAAACGGATCTGGTTGAGATTTGGGAGGAAGATAGGTTATTGTTTCTAATTGTAGTGGTATGGTTAGGATGGGGACAGTAGGATATGGAGGTATTGGAAGTATTTGAACGAGATAGACTCTTTTTATTGGACGATATAGATTGCATTTTTGGGATGAATCTAGAGAGAAAGAAAGAAAGAGAGAGAGTAGGAGTAGAGTAGAATGTAAAATTTTTCTTTTTTCTAGCCTTTTTTTTTCTTTTAAATCGTTGCTGTGAGAAATGACAGATAGATATGGAGGCACATATATTGATGAGTAATGGCGAGGTGAAGAAGAGCTGTGAGATGAAAAAAAAGGGATACTATTGAACAGGCAAGAACATGTACTGGAATTTGAGAACAGCAGCAGAAAGATGGACAGGTAGAGAACAGGAACAAGAAGAGGAAGTAGGAGAGTAAGACAAGAAGATAGTGGAAGCAGAGTAATGAAGTAAAAGCTGACACCAGAAAGCCGTCAACGTGCGTGCTTATCGGGCGACTGCCGGCGGGAAGCAGCGCGCGCGCCAAAAACGCCGCCAGCAGCAGCAGCACCGCAGCACTGGCGCCAGCTCCACCACCCCACCCGGCAGCAGCAGCACCACACGACCCTCGCGCAGCTGCCAAAGCGCCGATAACCAGATAAGCTCGCACGGCCCGTGTCCAATCACACGCCGGCCGCACACGTGCATCGGCACCCTCTAGCCGAGGCGCCCTGTCACGGAGATGCTTCTCCCTTATCGTCGCAACTGCTGAGTCATCACACGTGTGCTGACTCAGCGCGTGCGCTTCTTCTCTTCTTGAGCATCTTTGAGCGACACATTTCTGCTCTCTTCCATCGTCCATGGTGCTCAAAATGGTTGCCAACTCCATCTCGCTGCAGAAGTTGATCAAGATCGACGAGGAACGAGAGCTGGACTTCACGACAGACGCCCACACTGACTACTTGGATCCCAGCGACAACCTCGCCAGCTCCACCAACCCTGACTTTGTCACCTTGCCCCAGATCTCCCTCCTCGATTCCACCACCCAGCTCACCCAGCTCCTCTCCATCATCTCCTCCAACACCAAGACCAAAAACAAATCCTTCAAACTCTCCCCTGTCTACACAATCACCTACAAAAACATAAAGTACTACGAGATTCTCGTCAATGACAACTTCAAAATCCTAAGAAATTTCACCACCTCCAATGTCAATCTCATCCAGCTTATCAACTTGTCCATCTACAACCCAATCAACAGCACCATCAACACTATCAACACTATCCAGAATCTACCTCTAAATCTATACCTCCAGATCCTATTCCACTACCTTCCCTCCTTCAACACCAATGACAAAATCATATCCTACGACTCCATCTGGATCCCCTTGAACTCCGCTATAGACCTATCCAAACTACTAAACCTATACCAACCTCTAAAATCTCTATTCAACACCAACCTAAACTCAATCAGCTCTAACTCACTCACCCCAATCAACCTCTCCTCATCCACTGCTATCAATCCGGCCTCAGAAATCAACACCATAGACATCACAAACAAAAACTCTTCTCCTGTTATATCAAACGCAAATTTATCTCTTAACACTAATAACAATCATCTCACCACCACCACCACCACCGCCACTACCACTACCACCACCAACAACAACAATAACAACTTTCTTCAATACACTCTGCCTCCTCTAGATATATCAAACATCAATAACTACGAGGCAATTCGTGAATTGATCACCCACATCTTCTCCCTACCCAACAATCTAACTCTTAACCAAGTCTACAACAATCTCAAACTAAACAACATCAACATTGACTACCCGCTAGACATTTTTGGCAACAACGCTTTACATTGGTCCTGCTCCCTAGCAAACCTATCTCTAGTCCAGAATCTAATCCAGAACTTCAACGCAAACATCAAAATCGCAAACAAAAAGGGTGAATCCTGTCTAATAGGTGCAATCTCTCACACAAATTACCTAGACAACAAAAAAAACATAATAAATGATAACCATCCAAATGACCAACAAAACCACTCCAATGATGACGACAACAACGAAAATCACCTCAGATCTCCAAAGCCAAACGATAACCCCAAATTCCCTCAGCTCCTAAAACTACTATACCCTTGCATCTTCCTCATTGACAACAAGGAAAGAACAATTCTCCACCACATTGTTCTCACAAGTGCCATGAAAGGCAGAAACTTGGCCTCCAAATACTACCTAGAATGCTTGCTCGAATTCATCATCAACAACCAAAATAAAAACAAAAACAACAAAATCATCAACATAACCTTAACTGACTTTATTCAAAATATCGTCAATGCAACAGACATCAACGGTGACACATGTTTGAACATTGCTGCAAGAATTGGCAACAAAAGCATCATCCAACAATTACTAGATATAGGCGCTGACCCGAATATTCCAAACAAGGCGGGTTTAAAGCCAATAGATTTCGGCATCAACCTCAATTTAATCTCGAACTCAAATCAACCCAACATCAATAATCATAATCATAATCATAATCATAATCTTCATAACAACACTAATAACAACAATAACACTGAAAATGATAACAATAATATTAAAGATATCGATATAGTAACAACAATCAACGATGAAATTACTGACAATGATAACGATATTAAAGATAATCATAACAATATTGATAATGGTAATGGTAATGGTAATGGTAATAAAAATAAAAATAAAAATAATGATAATAATAATAATAATAATAATAACAATAATAACAATAATAACAATAATAATGATAATGATAATGAAAAAATTGATATCGATAACGATAAGGATAAGGATAACGACGTTGTAATGAGAACCATCTCAGACACAAAAATCAAGCACAACGACACCTTTAATGACTCCACCTCTCAATCAAGCTCTAATGACATTATAAACTCAATGGTTAAAATCATTGAAAACCTAGATAACGACTTTAAAACTGAATTGTCCAAAAAAAAAAATGAAATCCTAAAACTAAACTATAATCTAAACAAATCCTGTAAAGAACTAAGCCTAAGCAGAACAAAACTAGATATCCTAAAGAAAAATCAAAGCAAATTAAACGATTTAAAACAGAAAAATAATATCGTCTTGAAAATAATGAACCAAGAAGATGAAAAATTTAAAGAAATAACTTCAACAGAAACTAATAATAACACTCCTAAAAATACCAACAATAACACTACCAACAATAACGCTACCAACAACAAACACCTTAATGAGAATAACGAAAATAACGAAAATAACAAAAATAACAAAAATAACAAAAATAGCAAAAACAACGAAAATAACGAAAATGAAAACAAAATAGAAACATTAGATATGATGGATATCAACGGCGTTAATGGTTTTAAATACGATGCAGATCAACCTTTTAAAATCCCAGTTTTATACGAATTTATTGAAAACGAACTTGAAAAGGATATCAGCAATATTAGCAACAACATTGACAACGAATTGAAAGTCGATTTCTTTTTCAACAAATTGATCAACAACGAAAACATAAACCAATTGAAATTACCAAGCCTATTTGAATTGAAAACTCGTATCAACTCGTACGACGACAACGAAAAGGAGCTAAACAACTACCTCAACAACTTGGAAATCAAAACGAAAAACTTGGAGCTCCGATTCAGGCACATCGTCTCGTTGTGTACCGGTGTCGAAAACGATGCTGTGGACGATGTCCTAGACGACTTGGTCCAGGCCATTGAAACCGACAACTACGACCATGTCAACATCAACACCATTGAGGAGTATTTGAACAAGTGATGTCCAACTAAACCTTCATAATCAGTAATCAGTATAGTATAGTGATAATGATCGATTGATCTCTTCTAATAAATAATTGCTTTTCGCTTTCCGTCCCGATTTCCGGTTCGATTCTCACTGCGACGCTCCACCCCGACTTTGTGGGTTGATTTTTTTTTCACAGAAGAGAACAATAAAAGAAGCAGAACAACAAAAGAAGCAGAAGAAGCAGAAGAAGCCGAAGCATCAGCACCAACAGAAACCTTACACAATGCCCCAAGAAACAGAAATCCTTACTGAGCCAGCTGCCACAGGCACACCCAACTCCATAATCCTAATAACCATTCTTGTTGGCCTTGTTCTCTTGGGTTTATTTCTCATCTTTCAAAAAAGCTATTCCTCAACTCCAGCTCATTTATTGACAAACACTTCGATCAAAAAGAACCATATCCCCACCTTCTTGATAATTGGTCCTTCAAATTCTGGTAAAACAACTTTATTCCACTACTTGTCCAAAAAGTCCTCTGTTTTAGAAGCAAATGCTAATGGAAAAGATTCCGATAGTGATAATGAAGCTAATAATGATAAAAAGGTTAACAATTATTTGCCTGCAGATGGAACTGTAACATCAACCACATTTAACATCAACAATCAATTTAAATTACCATTATCATCAAGTTTCAAGAAAAATCATATATTAATTGATATTCCAGGCAATATTCAAATCTCAAACAACCTAGTCCCAACTTTTTTGAAAAATTATTTGAACATTAAAGGAATCATTTATTTAATTGATTCAAATGCTTCTGATGAAAGTCTAATTAGTCAATCCAATTTCTTATTCAATTTACTATTAAAAACTGAATCATATTCACCAAATGGTATCGATATTCTTATTGGTTTAAATAAATCTGAAATTTTTGGTTCAAAACCAATTTTTAAAGTTAAAAATCTACTAATTAATCAATTTGATTTATTGAAAAGAAATTATTTTCAAAACAGATCATCGACAATTAAAAATATCGATACTGATCAAATGAATCAACCAAACAGTAACTCTATCGATAACGATAATAGCGGTGATAATGACAACGATTTTCAATTTGCTAATTCTTCTACAAGTTTCTCATTTGATCAATTAGAAGGCAATGTAGATTTCTTTACTGGTTCACTATATAAAAATGATATAGATCGGTGGGAAAATTGGCTCGACGAAAGAGCCGTCAATTAGTTTAAATCAAACTAAAGATCATTTGACAAATGATCTGGTAATTTTGGTAATTTATTTAAGTTTTTTAAATATAATTGTTGATTTTTCTTTTCATTTTGTTTTTTGAAATAATTATTAAGTCGAATTTTATAAAAATCTTTATTTAATTTAAAAAAACTATTTTTTTTTTGCTTTTCTTGTATAATTTCCTCAGTATTAATGATATCTTTTTGTAATAAATTTAATTCTTTTTCCAAATCTTCCAATGTTTTCTTTCTATGATCAGTCTTGTCTTCTTTTTTATCTTTATCGTCTTTATCTTTATCCTTATCTTTATCTTTATCCTTATTGTCTTTTTTATTTTTATCGTCTTTTTTATTTTTGTCATCTTTTTTAGTTAAATAATTAAACCCCATTATTTTATCCCATGAACCATATCTGTTTTTCTCTTTTATTCTAAAATTTAATAATTTAACTTTATCTGACTTCTCATTCAATTCCTTCATCTTATCTCTATACTCATCATCATAGATCGGATCACTGAAGCTTGGATCTGATAAATGACTAAAACATATATAAAAAAAATCAGTATTATTCAAAGTAACTAGAACTGAAGTCGTTGGTTTATAACATATAAAACATGCTTTGCAATCTATTTCTGAGACTTTTCTTAATCGATAATGATTTTCAAATGGCAATAAATTAATATCTTTCACAGCTGCAGCCATTTTAAAATTTTCGTGTATTTAACTCTAGAGATGTTATGAAATTGATAAGAAGATACACAATATCAAATCATATCTTATCATATCGTATCATATGATATTATATATATATAATAAACTGCAGACTAATTACATGTGGAAAACCCTTTTTCAAGTTATAGATCAAATTGGCCACAAAAGCGCGATGCCGAATTAGGCAGGTCTTCGGATACTATTTAATGAGCATTTTATGTATATTATTCTATAAACACTTGGGACTTTGGTGAGATAACACAAATCAAAGAAAACTTAACCCGATACCGTATTGTAAGCCCTTGCGTATTGAATCAGATTGGTTTGCAGCTAGGGGCAAAACGAAATTTAGTTCTAATCTAGCAGAAGGGTGTTTGAAGACTATACCAAAACCTGTTGAGACATTTGGCTGACGAATTAATTGGAAAAATTGGTTTGAATGTTTCGCAATGTTTTTAATTGAGATTAATTTTCCAAAATTTAAGAAAGTGTGAAATTTAAAGGATGAGTCTAAAGTTGGAGCAAATCTTGGTATAGTTGTGAATAAGCTTATGCCTGATGAGTAGTAAAAATTGGCACCAATTCTATCAACGTTGAGGAAATCGACTGATGAAGAGTTATTAATTATGGGGCTGTTTGAATTGAATTTGGTTGATAAAGGTCCTATACCATTAAAATTGAAGCCTCTGATATCTGTGGGGCCACCGAGATTGAAATTATCCATTAAAAAGGGGTCATGGTTGGTATTTAGATTGTGTAGATAACCCGATTTAAAATTGAAATTGAGGAATAAATTTGAATTGAATTTATAGGCAAATTGGGTTTCAAATTGGTTTTTAATAAAATGAGAAAAAAGTTTTGAGTTTTTTTGATATTTATTTGATAACAAGTTTCTTAAAAGATTGTTTGCAAATTCGAATTGATATTTGAAATAAAAGCCATTTGTTGGTAAGATGAAATCGTTTCTTTTATCATAATTGACATTAAAAGCGATTGAAGATTTAAAATTGTCGCCAGAATTTTTGATTAAATAGTTTGAAGAGTTTAAGAAATGTTGAGCTGTATTCGATACGGAGATTGATCGTAACGAATTTTCTATGGAAAATTCAAAATTAAGAGAATCTGAATGGTTGTAAAGAAATTTATTTGAAAAGCCCTTTAAAGATTGCAAATGATTTGAGCACCAGTCTATTGTTCTTTGATTTGAGAAAAAAAGGTTTTCTGATTTGAAATTGATTTTGTTTAAAATTGGGGTGTTAAAGTTGATTAGATAAGAAGATTTTGTTCTTGTGCCAGCTGTTGCATCAAAAGATAGGTTCTCACAGCCTTTAAAGATGTTTTTGAATTGAAAATTAATGTAGCCATTACCTTCGCCATCACCTATGGTTGTGCCAGTTTTAGCAAAAAAGCGATTCGAGGGAATGATTTTAAATACGGGCACGATATTTAAAGTGTCATTGGGAATATTGATATTAGTATTGGGGTTACTAAGATTGTAGAATGGATTGTTGATTGAATTGTCAATTGGATCAGCAGGAAATGTCTCTAGATAACATTGGAATTCTTTTACAGCTTGAGAGCTTATAAAATTAGTATTGACTTTATCTAGATTTTGCAAGAAGGATTGCAAATTTTGATGGGAGAGGTTGGTGTTGCCAGTGTTATTTTGTAGTATTGGCTTTAGTTGTTGGTTGATGAAGGAAGATCTAAATTGGTCATTTGTCCCTAGTATTTGGATGTTTGCTATTTTGACTGATTTATTGCTATTTGATTGCAACAAATCCTCGACATATTTCTGCTGCTGGGTTTTCAATAAGAGTGATCTCTCGACTTGCAAATTGATCAACTCTTTATCACTCTTAGAAAGTTTGTTGCCTTTAATGCCAATTCCGGATTGAATTTTGCCAATAACAGAGTCCTCGTTGATATCCAATGGTAAAGACATGGCTCCAAGGTAAAAGTAGGGCAAATTGTTTTGAATGAGTGCGAAATCTCAGTCCTTTAACTTTATTTCATCCTGGAAATTGAAAAATTCTCCCAAAAGGCAAAAAAAAGAAAGAAAAAGCAAATAAAAAAAAGATCCGAGCCACTACAACGGAATAGCTGCATTCTCTGCAATTGCGCATACATACACATGCACCAGTGACTAGTAGCGTATGCGGCTGCACATACTAGATATAGCGATAATACCCGCAATTTCAGTCACGCGACCGGCTGCCGGTGATTCCTGCGGAAACGGAATGGTTGCGGGGTGCGGATGAGTGGCGGGCGCGGAGAAACAATAGCACGTCCCAGTTCAGCGGGCGGCTGGTCTCTGTGGCAGTGGTTGAGCAGCAGAAGCAGCGGAGACAGCAAAAGCAGCAGAAGCAGCACGGTTCAGACCGGTGGTAGCGCGTGAGGGACGAGGAGAACGAGGAGCGTGTGGTGCGTGAAGAGTGCGCGGCGGTGGTGCCGGGCAGCAGCGGACGGAGAGTGGTGTTTCGGCCGTGCAGCGAACAGAAACGAGAAAAGGTCAACGCAGCGAAAACCATCCCTTTTCCTCTACCTTTTGTTATTTATTCGTGTGTCTTCGATTGGTACTTCTTCACCACATAAAGTTGGGCTTCATCTTCTTCTGTTTCGTCACTTGGATTCGCACTTCTGCTTCCTTTCCCTGCTTCATTATTCACTATCTGCTGGTGTCTTCTTTTCTGATCACTGTCTCTTTCTCCCTCCACCTCACCAAAGCAAAAACAACCCAAATCAAAACAAAAGAAACACAACAAAAGAAAATTTTATTGAAAACTTTTTATCCACAGTCTTATCATCCTCAAGATAATCCACAAGATTTCTCGCAAAATTACTAATCATTTTTCTTTATCTTAATATATCTCTGTTTTATTCTACTCCATTTCATCCATTTCATCTATTTTTAATCTCAATCTCAATTTCAATCTCAATTTCACATTTACAATATTTATTTTAAAATGGCTGATCAACAGGAACCTGATGTTGATTCTATCGTTGATAGATTACTAGAAGTTAGAGGCTCAAGGCCTGGCAAGCAAGTCAATTTGGCTGAAGAGGAAATCAGATATCTTTGTACAAAAGCAAGGGAAATCTTTATTCAACAGCCAATTTTACTAGAACTAGAAGCTCCAATTAAAGTATGTATCCTCTTTTATTCTTTTACTATATTTCTATTCCACTTATACCACCATACATTTGTCTCACTGGATTTGTTTCACCATACCATGTATTTTACGATGCATTTTTGTTTGTTCCTCTTTATTCTTACCCGCTACATTTTGCCGCCGATATACTAACATCTCTTTCTCTCCTTAAGATTTGTGGTGACATCCATGGCCAGTATTACGATCTCTTGCGGCTATTTGAATATGGTGGCTTCCCTCCGGAAGCAAACTACTTGTTCCTTGGTGATTACGTCGACAGAGGCAAACAGTCTCTAGAAACAATCTGTCTTTTGCTCGCCTACAAAATCAAATACCCTGAAAACTTCTTTATCCTCAGAGGTAACCACGAATGTGCTTCAATCAACAGAATTTACGGTTTTTACGATGAATGTAAAAGAAGATACAACATTAAACTTTGGAAAACCTTTACCGATTGCTTCAATTGTTTGCCCATAGCCGCAATCATAGACGAAAAAATCTTCACCATGCATGGTGGTCTATCCCCAGATTTGAACTCAATGGAACAAATTAGAAGAGTTATGAGACCAACTGATATTCCTGATGTAGGTCTTTTATGTGATTTATTATGGTCTGATCCCGATAAAGATATCTCTGGCTGGAGCGAAAATGATAGAGGTGTTTCCTTCACTTTTGGCCCAGATGTTGTATCAAGATTCCTACAAAGACAAGACATGGACTTGATTTGCAGAGCCCATCAAGTCGTTGAAGATGGTTACGAATTCTTTGCCAAAAGACAATTGGTCACTCTATTCAGTGCTCCCAATTATTGTGGCGAATTTGATAACGCCGGTGCAATGATGTCTGTTGATGAAAGTCTTTTATGCTCTTTTCAAATCTTAAAACCTGCTGAAAAGAAACCCCAATATACTTATAACAAAATGACTGACTCAAATAGATCTTTCACTCCTCCAAGAAAAAATAAAAAAGGTATGAAATAATCTCTTCTCTTCTGCTTTATCCTCTTTTCTTTATTTCTATCATCATTTTATCATCATATTAATTTTAAATATTTAAATATTAAATTAATCAATTGTATTTAAATAATTTAATAATTTAATAAATTAAAACTTAAGAATCATCAATTACTTGAGAATGAAAAAAACAAAACAACTAATCAAAGAAAATTATAAAAAAAAATCATACAGAAAAGTTATAAAACCATATAAATAATTAATAATTAATAATTAATCATAAATTTCAATTATCCAATCTTATCCAACATCTCCTAGTTTCACTTGAGCTTATTAAATCTATTTACAATTATTTACTATTATTTAATATCATCATCAATATCTTCCTCAATATTACAACTTAAAGCTTAAACTCAATATAAAGTCAAAATAAAAGCTAATTAAAAATTAAAAAATTAAAACTAAAACTAAAAATTAAACCCAAATTCAAATTCAAAAATATCCTTTAATGGATTTCCTTTTCAATAAATTTATACTTCATTTTATATTTATATTTATAGTATTGGTATTGGTATTGGTATTGGCATTGGTATTTCCTTTATTTATTTTTTTTTCCATTTAATTACACAAATACCAAATCCTCAAATTTGGTTTATTTATATCATATGTTTGTTTACTATCATAACCTATTATATTTCACAGAAGATATCCAATTTCTTTTGAAATAGATCATAAATGAGCGCAAATTTATTTTCAACTTTCAATTGAGTTTATTTTTTTATTTTCTAAAGTGATTATTCGGTTTTAAAAATAATATTGTTATTTTTGTTTTGAATGAGTTTTTTTTTTGTTTTGAAATTTTTACCTTTGTTTTCTCTTTAATTATTTTGTTTAAATCACATCTTTTCTATTTTTTTCTCCTTAAACATAATATTGGTTTAGTTTCATTCCTTCTTTACTTTACTTTTACTCTACTTGAGTCATTTTTTTCTTTTCAATCAATTTGTTTTGACATAATTGTGGATCATGTATTTTTTTTCATTACTTCGTTATTCTGATTTATTGAATTGAGTTGAATGTGTTTTTATTTTTACTTTAAATTTTTAGTTTATTTACTTATTTCTACTTTAATTTTGTTTTACTTTATCTATTGTTTGTGTTTTCTAATAAATTCAATTGTCAAACTGTATCAGATGTAAATGCTTATCTTTGTTTTTCTTGTCGTTATCTCTTTTTTAAAAATAATGATTTTCTTAGTAAATCAAAGATAAGCAAATTATTTATAATTTAGCCCGTACAGCCCTACATTTTACAGCCCTACACACAATATCGTGACAATTACACGTAGAGTGTTGCTTTGGACATAAGGACTGCTTTTGCTTTAGAAAATCTCCGGGGATAAATCTTACGAAAATATGCTTATTATCTCCAAAACCACCAAAATCATGAACAGTTTTTGTCCAAATTATTCAAAAGTCACATGTCTTTTCATGCTCAGTTTTCGCTTTTTTCTGTAGCCAAAAAATTTTGTTGTGGGATTGTAATTCTTATCCTTCTGTTTATTTTAACGATTGTTATAACTTGAACAAGCTAAATATTAATATTCTACAAAATGGTATGCAACTTATTCTGAATTTACAATCGAGTAGTATTAAATTATAATTATTGTTTATTTTGGGCATTATGATCGGGTTTCTGGTTGAAATTGATGGGAAAATCAATTAATTGATTGATAAAGGAAAACAACAAGTTTTAAAATACAAATATTAAAATTAAAATTAAAATTAAAATTAAAATTAAAACTGACTAAAGTGATTTAGTTTGAATGATTTGTTTAAATTTCAAAGACTAGTATTGAACCGTTATTTATTTGTTAATATAATAAAATACATTATTGAGAAATACCCTATTACAAGACGATGAAAAGAACTGAATGAATTTTAATTATAAAATAAAAAAAATGGGATTATTTTTAAAATGGTAAACCGTTGAAAAAAAAGTGTTTCTTTTAGAAAAACACGTAATTTAAGATTTTATTACAAATGGTCAAATCAATTATTTTGACAAGATAACTGGTGGATTTTAATTGTTAATTTAATTGCCATTGTTATTTTTTAATTTTAGTTTTATTATATTATATTGGAGAAATAAAAAAGTATTACAATTGCGCCATCTGAAATTTAATGTTAAAATATAATTTGATATTACAAGATTATCAGAAAGGATCAAGAAAACAAAAAGATACATGAAAAATCTATAATGGAATTCTTTTTGATTCGGCTGACAAAAATAATTAAAAATGGAGATTAAATACTAACCAAGTAAATTAATAAAATTATAATAGGTTTTAGTTGTTGATTTATTGCACCCATCCCCAGCTGCTGAAGCTAGAAAGCACAAATTAAAGACATTAGTTCAAGCTCCTCGTTCATATTTTATGGATGTTAAGTGTCCAGGATGTTTAAATATTACAACAGTTTTCTCACACGCTCAAACACCAGTTGCCTGTGAAGCTTGCACAACTGTTTTATGTCAACCAACCGGTGGTAAAGCAAGATTAACTGAAGGCTGTTCATTCAGAAAGAAATAAATGAATTGTTGAAAGGTTTAATTTTGTGTATTATTATTATTAATTTTTAATTTTTAGTATTAACAATATTTATTATTTAGATTGTTATAAAATGCATTTTATTATATTTTGCGAAATGCTTTTATAATAATATAATGCATGTTGTATCTTTTTTTTTAAATGATAATTTATATTAGGAATTATAAAATTTATATTAAAGATTGTAAGCTTACGATAAGAATTTTTTTTGTTTTTATTTTTTATTTTTTATTTTTTTATATTTTTTGATAAAAGATTCCCGAATAATGAAATTACACAGATAGAATTGATTCATTTAAAAATAAAAGAGTGACAAGAAGATAAAAAAAAAACATGAAAAAAAAATACAGATAAGAAAAGAGTAATATGACAAAAGAGTAAGATAAAATAAGATAAAATAGATCCCTTAGACTATGAATTGATTGTATTATTATTTTTCTTTTATTATTATGGTTATTATGATTATAACTTAATAAATTTGATTAAATTCGTTATAATTTAGACAACTGATTTCACCTCAAAGAATCTTTTCAAATAATAAACTTGAAAAAGAGAATTTATCCCAACAACGAGTAATTGGAAGACAGACCACCATTTGACTCTTGAATTGGTTGATTCAGCAGTATTTCTATGGGTTCTTTCTCTTACAACGATGTAGCCTTGTTGGTTTTTAACTTCTCTTGTTAATTGAGCCAATTTTTTGACTGCAGCATCCAAATTGTCAGCGTTGGGGTCGTTAACATCAATATAAATCACACCATGGATATTGAAGGAGACATCCTTTGTAGAGATACTCTGGCCTTCGTTGGAGAAACAGTAGCCAAACTTTCCATTAGTGGAAGCAATGATACTTTCGTCACCATGAGAGACGTCCTTTTTGGTGACCAAGATCTTGTTGTTGGGGTCGTGGATCCAGAAATCGCAGCTCAACTGCTCTGTAGCTTTGGCGTCTCTGTTGCCAACCTGGAAACTGACAGCTAGCTCGTCATTTTGCTTCAACTTCTCAAAGAAACACTGCTTGCCATTTGGCGGTAATAGAATGTTGTGGGCGTCGATCACGAAGACAGTGAAAAAAAGCCATATAAGCTGGGTGATGCAACGCATGTTGAATTATAGGTAGGTGAGGTGGAGAGAACAAAGTGTTGGAGTTGTGCTTCTTCTCTTTCTTCTTCTCTTTCTTCTCTTTCTTCTTCTTCCTCTGATCTGATCCACGCTTTTTACACGTAGCCACTCAGCGCACCCACACCGCTGGCTCCGGCCCGACGCTGCATACGCCCAACACAGAACGCGCTCTGATTGGCTGATTGTGGCTATTCGTTATATTCGTTATATACATTCTATTACGATGTTCTATTTGGGATGTGTGCTCGAGGTCTTGCTTTACCAGTGTCTTGTTATCACGACGTTTTCCCCTAACACCTCCATCAACCTGTTGATGTCCTTCGACCGGATGTTTTCTCGGATCGAGATCAACTCCAACGGATTAATCCCGTTGAGATACTTCAATATCCTGCTCAAGACCTTTTTGCTCTCGCTGCTGGGCCCTGTCGACCTGAACTTCACCTCCACGAGCTTCATTAGCCATTTCTTTTCCAATAGTGTTGGCTTGTCTGGCTCTAAGATTATCGACGACTGCTCGTCCAACAAGTTAAACGTCTTGTTGAAGACAGACGACGACTCAAAGGGATTCTCCTCCATGATCTTTAACCCACTTCGATTGAAATTGTTGCTGTTAGTCACCAAACTCAAATTGCTAGTACTGTTGATCTTGGTACTGCTGTCTGTATTTACCAGGTTAATATTGATACCACTTCCACGCCTAGCAAGAGTGCTATTGCTACTGTTCCCACTTTTACCACTGCTCATTTTTCTCAAATTGTTAACCTCATCATTGGATGATCCTGGTTGACTGATCGTAGATAACGATCTTTGCTTATGGATCGGTTGATAACTGTTGAATTTATTCATCAAATTAGAACTCGAATCACTGTTTAACATCAGTTTATTTCTTCTATGAATCACCCCATTGTTATTACCATTAAGTCCATTGAAATGATTATTAGGATGAATATTATTATTATTACTATTATTATTATTATTATTATTATTATTATTATCATTATCGTTATCATTATCATTATTATTATTAGTGGAATCATTGGCATTATCAATCGTGTTACTCTCGTTTTTGTCCTCATTACCATTATCTTTTTTCGAAACATTTTCATTCAGTTTATTTGTAGTATTCTCCATTTTATTCTTCAATTTCTTATTCAAAACATTCCCATTTTCATTCAGACGTGCCATAGAGTTTTTTTGGATTTTTCTTTGAAAATTTAACTCTTTCTCTTCTTCAACCAATGTTTTAATCTTTGGTGTAATTTTAATCCTGGCAAATGTTAGCAATTGCGTTATAATCCCCCTCTTAATTAGCCATGCCAAAACATCAACTATCATTTCCTTCTTAATGTTAATCTTATTTTGAATGTTGATTTTATTATCCTCATCAATCTTCTGTGCCAACTTGGAATACGACATTGGCCTATTGAAAAATTCTAAAAAATTATTAAACTCTCCATTTCCAATCCGTAAATCTGGAAATTCTTCTTTAAATTCTTCGCTATATCTATAGTTATTAGACTTAACTAACTCAATTCGAAATATATTAGATATAATAAATTCACTATTTTTATGCAATGGCAACATAATCTTGGCCTTCCTCCAAAATATCAAATGATATGCAATATTTTCACATTTCAAAACTGACAAATTACAATCGTTTGCAATTTTGTTTAAATTTTTCGTCGCTGAAATATTCGTTATGAAATTTTTATGGTATTTCAATTCTTTTATAATATTTTCTTTAGAATCTAATAAAATTAATGCAAAATACCTCAACTGAGAATTTTTCAATAAATTAACCTTCTCAATATACGAATCCTCATCTAAATTCAATTCTTCATTATACACATTTCCTGAAATCGTTGGTTTAAAAATTGGACTCCTAGTAATTGAGGTTCGGTTTTCATTAGTTTTTATTGTCAGTTGTAATGATCTCGTATCATCAAAATTCATTCCATTGGAATTTAAATTCACATTTGTCTTTGAATCTCTTCTTGATGTTAACCTTTTACCATTACCATTATTATTATTATTACTATTGTTATTATTACTTGAATTAAATGATAAGTTCTGAGATTGGAGTAAATAATTGACATTAATTGATGATAAAAATGATTCCGGTATAATTTCCGTTTTATTTTTAGGCAAGTGTCGTAAGTTTGTGTTAATTGGAATCTGTAAGAAATATGGCTGTCTATTCTCTCTTAATCGTAGTTCTGCAATTTCATTTTTGGATATTTGAATAAAACAATCTTGAATCGCTTTGGCTAATAATGATTTATCAAAGCATTCTTTATAATAATTTTCAATTGTAAATGATTTTCTATTAAAACCCGTATTACTATTATTATTATTATTATGATTATTATTATTATTATTATTATTATTATTATTATCAAGAAAAGTATCATTATTTATAACATGTGTGGAAATGTTATTTTTATTTTTATTATTGTTGTTATTATTGTTATTGTTATTGTTGTTATTGTTATTATTTTTATTGATATTTTTATTGTTGCTATTTTTATTAGCTTTTTCATCATTTGGATCCAATTCTTTATTTAAAAATTTTTTATGAATATTTAATAAAATCTGAGACTGGTTCCAAATATAATTATCCTTTTGTTGCTCTTTTGATAAAATCAAGACAAATTTACTGATGATGTTGTTATACATTTCCAATAATATTTTATTGTGTTCGATAATTGGAGGGGACATTAAAAAGACCAAATTGAAAGATTTCAACAGATTTGAATTGTCAATATTATTGTTATTATTATCAACATTGGCATTGGCATTGGTATTGGTATTGTGAATTGAATTTTTATGATTTAAATGGTAAGAATTAAGATCATAATCATCATTATCTGAGTTATTTGAAGAGTTTGAATCTAAATCAGAATAATTAAACTGGTTATTCTGAGCATTTTGATTGTTTAAATGATTTGAATTTTTTGAATTTGATATTTTGGTATGAAGTTTAAATAAATTTTTGATTTGTTTGTTATTGAGATTGTTATTGAGATTGTTATTTAGATTGTAGTTTTTTTTAATGGGGATCCAGTTACCATTGGTGTCTATTGATTTTGGATGAGATAAAAAAGTCAAGTTTTCTATGGATAGTTCAAAGAATTTGTTTGATAAGGATTGAGGAGGGTTGACGATTTCGATTAGAGACGGGATATCCATATTAAAGAAGTTTTGGAAATTTTTAATCAAAAAGTTTAGATCGTTTTTAATTAATTTTTTTTTGAATAATTTTCTATTGCGACGGTTGATGTTTTTAAATATAGTTAGATTGAGATTTGATTTCAAGTTGCTGTTCAAGTTGTTTAAGCTTACAGTTAGATTTAGGTTTGAGTTTGAAGTTGGTAATAGAGAGGGAGAGTTTTTATCTTTCAATTGATTTGAGTTTGTAGTGTTTGTGATGGTGTTAGTGTTGGTGTTGAGATTTATATTTGTGGAAAGTAAATTGTTTAGATTGAATAGATTATTAGTTGAATTTGAGTTTGAGTTTGAGTTTGAATTTGCAAAAAAGGAATTATTTCTTCGCAAGTTTGATATGGCAGTTGAGACAGCAGAGGGAGTGATTGAGTTGTCTATTGTTGGAGTTGATAGTGGTGTATATTGCGAATAAAATGGATTATTAAAGTGAGTTTGCAAGTGCAAATGGTGTTCATTGTTATTGGAAGAATGAAGGTAGGAATGGGAATGAGAATGGGGATGGTTAAGATTGAGAAAGTTTTGTCTATAATAGTTTTTCACATCAGTGTAATTGACTGTTGAGGGAGCAATTTGGTCGTTATTCTCGTAATAGCTATCGTATGTATTAGCATCAATGGTGGTGGTCTTGGCATTGTTATTGGTATTAGTATTAGTATTAGTATTGTTGGTATTGTTAGTATTGTTATTAGTATTGGTGACACTGTTGTTATGATTATAACTTGAATTTGAATTTGAATTTGAATTTGAAATATCTTGGTAATCATCTTCAGAAGAGCAAGAGAGATCATCATCGATATCAAAAGGAGAGTCGATTGACATGTTAAGGTTTTCGTTGTTAATATCAATATTATCGATATTTTCGTTATTTTGGGTAGTCAAATTCTTGACATTTTTGTTTATTTTGTTGATGTTGATGTTATTGATGTTATTATAATCCGAGTTTGAGTTTGAGTTGTACTTTGAATCATTTGAGAAGATGGATACATTTTCAATGTCAGAGTATGAATCATCAATAATTACTTCATTGTTGTTGGAGGATAGAATATTGTTATTGTTGTTCAAGTTGTTATCGACATTGCTGTTTATTTTGTTTATATTGGCCGAGTTGTCATTAGAGTTGTCGTGAGCACTATCATTGTAGGTTTTGTTGTTGTTTTTATTTTTGTTTTTCTTTTTGTTGTTATTATTATTAGTCTTTGTAGTAGTGTTAACTGATTGGTAGTGTTTGGGGATTGGAGGATAATGGAACACCAAGTTTGATTGGGTGTCAGTTTTAATGATTAGGAGAATACCTAGCAAGCAGGGGTGTTGGTTGATGGCAGTGGTGCTATAATTCTGAGCATTGTTAGTAGAAGAAGCATTCATTCTATGGATGAGAAAGAAGATAAGGAGATAAGATAGCTACTATCATTGCACATTCGAGGATTATTTCAAGCGAAAAAAAATAAATGGAGGTGATGAGTGGAGGTTCCACTAAAACGGGTTTCTACAGTGGGTGGATGCTGGATGTTGAGCGGAAGACTACAAAGGAGAGGCAAGGTCAGAGGGAAACAAAAGATGATGTGTTATTGAAGCTGGAGTATCATACAGAGATAACGAGGAAATGAACAAAAGACGAGGAAAAGCAGCAATTAACAGCCAGTGGTAAAGCAGCTCATTCGGCATATTCAGGCCTCAAGTCAGAGCGTCTGGGGGCAACCAAGGGATGCAATTGGCCTGGAAAGCAGAGGTTAGTAGGAGGAAGAGGAAGAAGAGGAAGAAGAGAAATACATACACAAGTAGGTGATGGCCCACATCAAGTAGCACATGGCGAGAGTGAGGATGATAGAGCTCCTCCAGACCCTAGGAGATGTTAGTAAAGAGCAGAAGAAGCAGAGGAAGCAGAGGCAGAGGAACTTACGTTTGGTCGTTTTTGGGAGCAACGACCCAGGTCAATGCAGCCAACAACACGACGATTACCAAACCAAAGACAACAGTCCACCTGGAGCAAAGTTAGTAGTCAGAAGAAGAGAAGAGAAAAACAGAGACAGCAGAGACATACCCACTCATTGTTGAAGATGCAGTTGTTGTTCTTCTCTTCTCTTCTTCTACTCTTCTTCTACTCTTTCGAAAGCAGCCCGTGTGGAACTGCCTCTTATAGAAATCACGTGCAATCCCAAAGAGGCAAGACACTGCGCCGCGATGATCTGGGTGTCGGCAATGCTTTTGCTTCTTCTTCTTCTTCTTCTTCTTCTTCTTCTTCTTCTGTTAGTGCTATTGGTACTTCTGCTGCTTACTCTTCTGGTTTTTCTTTTATCTCTTCTTTTTCTAATTCACTATGGTTTGGAACAACTCTCCTGCTACAGCTCTTGGATCACACACTTCTTCCCCACTTATCTCTGCTTCTGCTGCTTCTGCTCCAATTCTTCTGAACAAACCAAATGTCTCTTCTTCAGCTCTTATTCAATCGCCTCCTCCATTGCCTTCAAGGCCCTCTTCCATATTCATCAACAAAAACCAGCCAGATCAGCTACACCAGCTAAATCAACCAATAATACCCAACTCCAATTCCTTATCTAATTCCTTCTCCAATGTCTATTCCAATGCCCATTCTAATTCCTATCCTTACAGTAACCATAGTTACAATCCCTACAATCGTAATAACAACATAAATAACATAAATAACATAAATAGCATAAATAACACAACTAATATAAATAGCAATAACCAATTACTAATATCAAATGTCAACATTATATTCAGCAACATAAGCAATTTCATAAACTCAATATCAAATTTCTCTTTTCTCCTTCAAAATTTGTACTTGAATTTCTCAAACAATTATATTAACTTGCTTTCCATTTTCTTGCAATTTAAATTAGTATACCAAAATCTAAATCTTCTAACTAAATTCAAAACCAATAAAAGCAAAAGCCCAAATAAAAGCTCAAACAATCTATCAATTGATGAATTTAATAAATTCATTAATAAAAATCCCACTTCTAAAAGAAAAAATATACTCAATTTAAAACCCCTACTTCTATTCATAATATCCACTCTACTAATCCCTTACTTGTTGAACAAACTACTAATCTACGCAAAAAGATTAAACTCCTCAAACAACACTGCTTCTCTCACCACTTCAAACCCCAATACCAATACTAATACTAATACGAATATCGACACTAAAATTAACATCAAATTTTGTAAAGCATTATACGATTACTCTTCCTCAGACTCTACAATTGAACTATCCTTTAAAAAAGACGATTTATTGGCCATTCTAGATAACACTGATCATATCAATAACAACAATTGGCTAAAATGCAGATCAAAATCTGGCCAAATTGGCTACATTCCCAAAAATTATATCAAACTTATCAATCTCGATTAACCAACAAACTAAACTCAATTAATCCCAATCCATCTTTAAAACACATCCAATACACCTCTAAAACACATCCAACACCAACCTCTGCTTATGCCCAATCCACATCGCATGTCGTGTATGATCAATTAACCCTCCCAATTCCGTATTAGGATGAATCAATATATCCAACCCCAAATTATTAAGCTGCAAAAATGGCACTATCTTTCCAAACGTCTCTCGACTATAAAAATCAATCTCAACCATTGCTACTGGATGAGGGCCCATGGGCTGTAGCTCCTGTCTTTTTCCTTTGATAAACAAACTCTTTTCTTCCTCAATCTCTCTCCAAAACTCCCTTCTAATCAACCCCAACAACTCATCAATTTTCTTATTATCTCCCTCATTCTTTAAATTATAATAAATGTGAATGTCATACGTCTCAATATTATCTGAAAACCGTTTGTCCTTTTCTTTAAAATACGAATTTGTAGCCATTTCAATTAATATCTATTTTCTATATCTATATAATAATAGTATATACTATAATTTAATATTCTATTCAACTCAACTCTATTCTATTCTATTCCATAATAACTTTTCTATTCCTATTTATAAACCTCCATCGCTTTCAAATCCATCCATTTCCCCCATCTTATCGACTTATTATTCCACTGATCACTACTAATTGCATTTTTTGACTCCACAGTTTAATAATCTTATTTCTCATCTCACTTCTTTCTCCATATCTTTTATTAATCTTAATAATGCATTACTAATCATTTTATTTAATCAATAACCCATATCCGGATTCATTCGGATTTATTTGTATCGGATTTGTATCGTATTCGTATTCGCATCATATCCGCACACATTCACATTTGCATCCGCATCGTATTTTGATTATAATTTTATTAAACTAAAAAAATGCAAAAAATATAATATACAAAACTGAAAAAAAACTATAACCAAATTGAATTAAATCCTATTCTTTATTAAATTTATTCTATTTTATCCTAATTTAATCAAATAGATTTCATTGCTCTTAATAATTTTCAATAATTTTCAATAATTTCTAATAATTCTTAACATTTCTTAACACTTCTTGACACTTTTTAATTACCTTCTATAAGTTTTTCTGCTTTAGCATCAATCTCAATCTCAATCTCTCCAGATCCTTGTTCTTCTCTACGAATCGCAATATCAGATGATTTGTCATCCATAAAGAAATACTTCAATACATTCTCAATTATCCAACTTCCTCCAAAATCAAACACCATCGTTAACACCAACTTGGTTTTAAATTCTTGTCCCATTGGAACAAATTTTATAGCTTCATTCATTTCCGGCAAAAACTCAGTGGCTCCGGCAAATGCTAAAAATCCACATCCTAATATACCCCAATACATTCCTCTATTATCACGAATATTTTGTCTAAATGGCTCTCCAATATAGTTCACTGCAAATGTAACAACCTGTAACCAGAGCTGTATTATAAATATACCTGTATTCAATAATGATGGCGCAAATTCCTTTTCTAAATTAACTTGAGGTTCTCTTGGTTCTAATTTATAAATCTCAGTTGTAATGTAAATTAATGATACAATATGAATAGCAAATTGCCCCAAAATTGATCCCATTATATATATATTAAAAATTCCCTCTTGAGGTCTTTTTTTAGATAATTGCTCTAATGGTTTTCCCTTTGATATACTTAAAAAACATGATGATATCATTAAACCCGATATAGTTGCTTGTCCGTCTCCAAATTTAACTCCTGCTAAATAAATAACTGATAATGAATAGGCACTAACCAAACAATTTAATGCTAAAATTTTATACATTTGAATAGTCGAAACTAATGCAACTCTACCTTGACGAATAATATTTGTAACCGCTGAAACACTTCCAAGTTTAGATGTAAATGGTGCAGCTACTGATGCATCTCCTAATTTCAAAGTTGGTGCTTCATCTTCATTTTCATCTTGCAATGATCCCATTAAAGTTTCAACGATTTCCCCTGCTTTTTGTTGTGGATTATTACTAATGGTTGGAACTGGTCCAACAACTTTTTTAGAAGCCTCAGCGACTAATCTTCTCATTTCTTTAGTGATAACAATTCCTTGTTTTTCCATTGCTTTCAAGTAATGTGGATTTGTCGGTCCAGGTGGAAATAAATGTGCAATTAATGGTGGAACTGGTGGTTCAGGTTGATTCCATCTTTTCATTAAATCACATTGTTTAGCGTAAACTCTTTTCATTGTTTCAATTTTTTTATTTTCTGCTATTTTTTTCATGCCATGGGTTGTAGCATTTAATAATGCAATACCAACATGTGCTTGTTTTAATGCACCAACATCATTTGTACCATCTCCGCACATTAATGTATTATATCCTAGTTCCTTTAATGAGTTTAAAATAAATTCCTTTTGATTTGGTGAAACTCTTGCATAAACCCATGTATACCTAATCAATTTCAAAATCTGTGGATGATTTATTAGTTTATCTAATGCATACCCAGTTATACAAATATCATAATTTTTGAATATTGATTCATCGATTTCATTTTTTGAATGATATGGTTTAACAATGGTCTCCTTTACATTTCTCCAAACTAGTTCAACATCATTTTCATCTTCTTCATTAATATGGTGGTCCTCTGGTAAATCTAAAATTAATGTTTCTCTGTCAACAATATTAACTTGTTTGGCAACATGAACTGCTGTTAATGGATTATCACCTGTAATCATAACACATCTATGTGATGAATTATTAAGCATATTAATAGTGTCAATTGCATCATCCTTTAATGGACAATGAAAAACTATAAACCCGCCGAAGATTAACTTATTTTCGATGTCATCTCTTTTAATATTATTCAATTTATTTATGGAAATATTGTCTTCTAGTAATTTATAAGCCAATGCTAAGACTCTTGATCCAGATCTTGTAAATGATTTATAAATTTCTTCATAGTTTTCGGGAACATTAATTAATCTTGAACGAATAGTTTCTGGAGCACCTTTAACTGACACCAATATTTTGCCTTTTTGAATTTTCGAAATTGTTGAGGATCTCTTTAAAGCAGAACTGAATTGGAATCTTCTTAAAATCTTAATTTGATCAAGATAAGGAGTTTTATCAATTTCGTTTTTAATCAATTTTTCAAAAGTCACTTGAGTGATGATTTTATTCTTTAAAAGATATTTCAAGTCCTTTTCAATTACGTTTTTAGTATTTGATAATGACCAACCTGAAGCCTTTAAAGTGGCAATTTCCATTGGATCACCAACAATATCGCCATCATCTAGTTTAACTAAAGCATGAGCAGAACCTAAAATATAGTTGGTAATGTTTGAAGCCTCTTTACATTGGAACAAATGTCTTGTGTCACTTGGATTAAAACCAGCTAAACCTTCAAATACCAAATTTTCACCTGTTAAAGTACCAGTTTTATCAAAACAACAAACATCAATTCTTCCAGCCAATGGAATTCTAAAGGGTTCAGTGCAATAGATGTAATATTTGGCTAAAGCAGCTAAAGAGGTGTTAACGGCCATTGTTAATTCCATTGGCAATTCGGGAGGAACCACCGAGGTTATGATTAATATACAGTCTAAGATTAATTTGGACTGAATTCTACCCATTTTAGTACCTTCAACCCAGACATACCAAGAAGCTATAACGGCAAATACTAGTAAAAATAAGATAAAGAAAAAGGATTCCCAGTTACCAACTGAAATTCTTTCTGCGCTGAAAATCATAACTCTAACCAAGGAACCTTGAGATGTTTCAAAGCCGGTTTTAGCTACAACAGCTAAAGCACCTTTATCTGGAGGATTTGGAATGTGAGATTCTGGATTTTTATTTTGAGATTGAGTAATTTGCAAGACTTTGGTACCACCATGTAAAATTGAGTTTTTATCATAGCCTTCAGGATCGAATTTATCATTGCTTGGTCTTAATTCAATTGATTCTTTCAATAAAGGAGTTGATTCACCAGAAAGCATTGCTTCATTAACGATTGCAGATCCATTGATGAGAACCAAGTCACAAGGAATTGAAATTTCATCGTTAGTTGATCTGGTTATAGAGACTAGATCGTTTGGTAATAAATCGTATGAATCAATTTCAACCCATTCTAAAGAACGGAAACAGTATAGTTTAAAGGGTTTGATGGACATTGATCTAAATTCCAATAGAGTTGATCTTCTTTGCCAAACGGTGGTGCATTCAAAGGTTACAACCATAAATAGATTAAAGAAAGAAAAATACCAAAATTCGTCCATGCACCATAAACCAATGCAGAAAATCTGAAATACAAAAAAGGGAGCTGTAGCATGTTCAATGAATAATTCGCCAAAGGTTGGAACAGGGATGTCAAATTTGTTTTGACCATAGTTTAATAACAACGTTGAAAGATCGTTTTTAAGCAAACCAGAAGAATTTTTAAAATCTGAGATGAGAGTATCTGGATCATCAATCTTGAAGAGAGGAGGAACAAAAAGGTTTGATGAACTGTCAAATATAAACCTTCTTTTCTGGAACAAAAACGAGATTTGGCTGATCTCATTACCATTGAGATAAACATTGTTATAATTCAAAGGAACAATTTCACCAGAACCATGATTTTCAATTGGAAAAATCATTATGTGAGTGGCGATACCTAGATGGTCAATTTTATTGTTCAATTTTGTGTAGTTGAAAACAGAATCAAGATTTATTGACCAAAAGGGAGCCAAAAAAATAATGCCATGGATCGTTAGAAGAGCAGTTATGTAGACAAATGTCCATTCTGAACCACCAATATACCTGTTGTACTTTTCAGTGTTGAAGTAAATATTGCAAAAAAAAGGGTATATAGTGAAAAAGGGCCATATGTAAGGCTTTAAGAAGGAGGAGTTTTTGCACAAGAGCTGTGTGGACTTGATCTGGACATTTTCAGGCACTATCAACGAAGGAAGAACCTGGTGCTTCCTCAATTCAGGCGTCTCCAATTCAGGCTTCTGCATCTTGGATAGGTGGTGGAAGCAACTAAAGAGACCTAAAGAACAGCGAAAAAGCTTCTTATTTATCTTTGTCTATACAGCCAAAGATGGCCAACTTGTCCACCTTCCTCCGCGGCTGCTCCGTGGCAGTGTCCGTGCATTATCCGCAGCAGCCGTGACGGATTTTACACCGGATTGTGTTCGGATATTACGTAGTTGTCAAAGACAAAGAGCCCTGCTTATCCGCACGGCTGGCTTCTAGGGCTCGGTGACGCAGGTATAAATGGTTTCTATTGTTTACTGTTTTCACTGCCTATTGTTCCATCGCAGCCTTTTTTGTCCCCATGTCTCACCCCTTCAAAGTTGCCAGATTGAGCTCAAAGACCAGCACCACCATTGCCAAATGTGTTGGTGTAGTCTCTCTTTCAAGTGCGCTGGATGCATCGTCTGCGATCGAAATGGTGGCCACAGACTTGCTTGGACGTCGCTGCGTTTCCAACATCACTATCCACAACAACGCCAGCCAGTTTGATTTGGATTTGCAGTTTGCTTCCTGCTCAAATGCTCAGCCAGCTGACCACCAGCTAATTGTCTTGTTAATTGACTTTGCTGACAACTTTTCAAGTGATAATACTGATGGTTCTGAGGATGCATATGAAGAATTGATTCTGGCTATTAACAACTACACCACTATTTCAGTTAACATTCCTTTAATATTAGTCAACTGTCATAATCTGATTTACAATAGCACCGGTAATCTCAAAGAACAAAATTTGGATTTCACTAGACTAAACAAAATAATTGATTCTTTTAACATTATAAGGTATTTTGAACTAAATCGTAGCCACGATAATAATCTTAACAAAAAGGAAAACCAAACTACGTTGATCAATAAAATTGTTTTTGCTTCAATTCGCTACTTTTTTCCAGACTCCAATTTCCAGAACTGTTTCAACAATAATCAATCAGTTATAAATCTAGATCAACTTCATGATATTTTACTTGGTTTTAATAACTCAATTCTGCGTTTTATTAGCCTTTTTGACAATAGAAACAGTAATATCGACACTGCTACTCAACCTATAACCAATCAAAATTACTTGTCATCCTTAAAATCTTTTTGTTTTAATAATTTTCAATTCACTTTAAATGTTAATCTATTGCCTCAATTTATCAACAATAAAAAATTTAAAATCTTACTATCCAATAATCAATCAATCAATGATAAATTGGATTTCTTTGAATTATACCTGTCAAATTTAAATTTACTACTATCCAGATTTTATAATAATAACTACTCAATCTTTACTCTCCTATTTGTATTATTTCAACTATTAAATCCACAATTGAATCATCTTGACTTTCAATTTATTCCCAAAATCTTTGATTCTTTTCTTAATGATTTATTGGCGTATTTTAAAAAAATTTATAACTTGATCAATTCTAATTCTTATTGTCTACCCTATATTTTAGAATCAAGATTAATTCATTTTATTAGCCTGCTTAAAAAACTCATTTTAACTATTAACAATTTAAAACAATCTTCAACAATAAACTACCTAAATACAAACTTTTTTTCTTCACTTAATGACATAAATCATAAAGAATATGGAAACTTTCTTAAAATATCAGCACTAAATAATAACACCCTTTTATTTTTATTCTCTCATAATTTATTAATATCAAAGATTCATTTTATTAATCAAAATTTAAAATCAAATTTGAAGTTCAATATTATGGCAATCTTATCAATAGATCAATTATTCTCTTTCAATTCCATGCTATATTCAAAGCTTTTATTAAATGATTGTCTAATTTTAAATAATTTAAATCACTTTTTTTTAATCGAATTTAACTTTGCTTTTATTTTCATTCATCTAAAAGAAAAAATTTTTACTAATCTAATCAACTTTAATTCGCTTTATAAGAACTTATTACTATCTTCTCCAAACAAATATTCAAGCCATATAATTTCCTTAAAACATTATGATTTACAAAATAAAGAAACTGAAAAACCAACCACTTTCAAGTCTAATCAAAATTTATTTGTAAACTATCTAACTTTGCAAAATTTCAAATTTATCAGTAACAAAGAATATATTGGAGATTGTTTTTTTAATTTTTTTTACAATACAGATATCTTGTTTCAATTTATTCAAGACTCTATTAACACTAGTGATGATTGGAATTGTTTTTGGAAAATTATTGACAATTTTAATCATGGCAATAAAAATAATTTACTATTCGATTTAATAAAATTTCAATTTAATTTTAATAGAAAATTGAAACAATTTTTGAAAACAAAATATAATTTTTTAAATAATGATAAAGATATTGGGTATCCTTTAAAATTTGATGAATTCTACTTTAATTTCTTTCATAGCTTTGAGACATTGTTTAAATTACATTGTAAATATTTAATGTCACCATTAATGGGGCTAATAATCAATAACGGCTGGAAAATATCAGTAGAGGATATTATTAATATCGTTCAAAACTGGATACAATATTCAATTGTGTTTTGGTCTCAGTTTTTGAAACTATTTGCATTAATCGAAATAATATTTGAGATCTGGTGTTTAGTGGATAAAGAAGGGTTTAGTAAGAAATTCAGCAATTGGAAACTCAGTTTATCTGACAAAAAATTAATGGATATTGATGAGTTTAATTATATTGTTAATCATTATTTTGATGTTAACTTGGAATTTATTAATTTTTTTGAGAGATTGAGGTCAGATAATTATGATACAGTTTTGAAGGAAATTAAAGGTTTCAATCAGGAATTGAATAACTTGAGACAGTATTATAAATCCCAAAATCTTTTTCAGTTGATTAATTGGAGAGATTTTGAGAATTCAATTGTTGATTTTGAACTTACAAGTCAAAATGATATAAATATAAATATGAATGATATTGAAAATAATTCATTACTCGCTATTTCATTTGGTAAATCTGATAAAAGAGATGAGTTTGGTAAGATTGAATATCTTTTCATTTTGTTTAAAAAAGGATTAGTTATAACTGAACTTCAATGGTTTGAAACGTTTTTGCAATTAAAAGTCGATCAAAATCCAATCATTTTTGATAATATAAAGTTTGAAGAAGTAAAAGAAGTGAATGAAATTGGTGAAATCAGTGATTTTAGTGATAATAGTAAGCCATATTCATATTTAGAAGATGATAGTTTATATGATCAGAACAAACCTCTTACATTAATTTATATTACAGATATTTCAAAAAGTGACACACTCATTACATATAATTGCTATTACTCTATTTATGAGTTCCATAAAAGATTATTAAAACCCTTCAATGACTATCAAAAGAATAGAACCAAGAAGAAAACAAAAGAAAATCAACTGCTTTGGAATAAAAATGATAGTAACAGTGATTCAATTCCAAATCTTAGTGCTGACGACGAAAAATTGTTACAAGATTTACTCAGTGGTAAAATACTTGGAAAAAAAGAAATTAAAAAAACATTTATTTGAAATTTTTTCATTTTTTTCTGGAAAACTTTTCTATCGGTGACTGACCTTTATGAAAATGTTAATATTTTTAGTAAAAGCACTCATTGAATATTCTGATAAGTTTTTAATAGCTAATTCATTTTTCAATCTATGTTTCAATTTCTGTTTTAATTTCTGTTTTAATTTCTGTTTTAATTTCTGTTTCAATTTCTGTTTTATTTTGAATTAATGACAGAATTCTCTTTATTCAGGAATAATTAAATTAATTCTTTTTTGGAAAAAAAGATTCCTTACACAGTTAATTAGAATTTCATTTTTAATATTAGAATTTTTTTGTAAATTTGTGAATTACTAAGAATTAGATTTTTTATTCTTCCAATCAGCAATGAAAGAATCAAACATCCTTTGTTTTTTGGTTTCATAGTTTATCAGACGAAAAATTTAGTATGCATATTATTAAGATTGGAAAAGGTGTTATGCTTAAATCAAAACATGGCCAGGCAGATAAGAAAAAGGGCCAATGAAAAAAGCAATTTTAGCAGCTGATATAAGCAACTTATCTTGTCGCAGCTCCTGAGCGATGTTAGTACAATCCATATGACAAGTACCAATAATTTAGATTTATCAACAAATTGGTGCAAATAATAATAACTCTGAAAAAGAGAGAAATCCCCTAGAGAAATTACACAGTTTGGGACGTTAATAGCATGGTGGAAAATGATGCTAGCACTGTGTGGAAGAAGAAAGCTGTCTCCAGCCGGACGGTTCTGCCGTTGTTTCTTTACGGGAGGTGCGTCCGTACATCCAAACAGGAGCGCGTGGGCGGCAGAATACAGAGTGGTGGTTTGCTGGAGGTGCAGGAGGGACATAGTGCTAAGATGCATTCAAGCTTTTTGGCACTGGTTTTGCTTTTCTAGCCAACCTTATCTGGGCCAACCTTTGGGAGAAGAACCACCAAATATAGCGCTTTCGTAATTTCGTTAGCACAAGTTTTTCCATCCCAAACTACCTTGGTGAATTGGTTAGAGGTGTCTCAAAAGTCTGGAAGCTTGAAGGCTCGGAAACTTGAATGCTTATGTCTGAATTTTTGAAAGCCTAAAAGCCTTTTCTTTACTTTGTGTCTAAAAAATTGCTCTAAATGTGCATGATTTGCTTGAATTTTTTTATTCAAGCTTAAATTAAAGAAACACTGGAAATGGTATAAAATGAAGAAAATATCTTTCTGTTGTGTTGATTCATTTTTCATACTATTTATTCGATATCGTTCGAGGAACAATTCAATTTTTTCTTTTTGGTTTTTAATCAAGAATGCTATTTGGTAACTTATTTCACAAGGGTAATCATCAGCAAGCTCCTGGTTTGCTGGAAAACAAAAATGACTCCAAAGGTGACGGTTTTGATGTCGCCGTTTCCAATCTTGATCCGAATGCTAAAGCCAATGCTGTGGATTTAGATGATTCCAAACCTTTTATTGATTTATCTGTTGATTTAACACCAGAAGAAATCGCACGACGTGAGCATTGGTGGTTCAAGCTCAGAATTTTCTTGTGGGATTCAGCTGATAAGCATCCATCTGAAAGATGGTTTTTGTTCAAGTTGGATTTCTTTTTACTTAGTTCTGCTATGTTGGGTTATTTTATCAAAACTTTGAATCAAAACAATATTGCAACCGCTTATGTTAATGGTATGAGTGAGCATTATAACATGGCAAATATCAGTATAATACCATGCAATCATTATGGACTGCAGGCTATATTATTGGACAAATTCCTTCCAATTTAATTTTACACAGAATCTCAGCAAGATATTATTTAGGTGGTTTAGAATTTATTTGGGCTCTTTTAACTGTTGTTCAAGCTACTGCTGATAGCCTAACCCAAATGTATGTCATCCGTTTTTTCATAGGTTTAACTGAAGCTGGGTTCTTTCCAGGTATGGAATATCTTATTGGTTCCTGGTATTCTCCAGCAGAAATAAACAAAAGAGCATCTCTATTTGCATGTGCTGGTATTGCAGCATCAATGGTGTCAGGTCCTTTGCAACAAGCTGTTTTGACTGGTGTAGCAAAAACTCATAAAAAATATAAGGCCTTTCAATGGTTGTTCATTGTGGATTCTATCATTTCATTTCCAATTGCATTCTATACGATGGCAGTTGATCCAAATACTCCATCTACTACAACAGCTCCCTATTTTACTAAACAGGACAAATTGATCGCTAAGGAAAGAAGGAGAAGAATCAGTGCTCAATTAAACACCAGACAAAAGTACACTTTAAAAAAAATTAAAACATTTTTCAACACATGGCATATCTGGGTTTTCCCAGTTCTTTTCTTGGCCTATAATAACACTTGTACTGCTATAAACCAACCAACATTTACTACTTGGATGAAATACGATCTTGGATTATCTCCAGCTAAATATAACATTTATCCAACTGCTTTATTTGGTGCTGGTATCGGTTTTACAATTGTGATTTCTTATATCACAGATTATACCAAAAACAGATTAAACGTATTTTTTGTTCAAGCTTACTTTATTTGTGTTTTAATCGGTTCTGCTTTGCTTGCACATTGGAACATTCCAGTTGGGTTACACTGGTTTTGTTATTTCTTAATTGGTGTTCCCACTGCTTGGGGCCAACCTCAAATTTTTTCTTGGGTTAATAAATTATTGAGATATGATGATATGAAAAGAAATTTCATCGTCGTTTGCACAAACACATTAGCTTACGTTACTGGTGCTTGGGTGCCCAATCTTGTTTGGAACACAAATTATCAGCCTGAATATTTTGTTGGTTTCTCTTACAACGCTACTCTCTGTGGTTTAGGTATTATTTTCACTGTTTTAGCTACTTATTATACCAATAGAGATGCCAAAAATGGTAGATATTATTTGGATGAAAAAAAAGAGGAAGAAGTTACCAGCAGCGGTTCATCAAATGTTTAGTTGCTTTTTTCTCCACTTTTATTTGATGATAGTCCTATAGGTATTATTTTTATTTTTTTATATTTTTAATTTAAAACTACCATTCAATTTGTTACTTTCTATCGGCCTTCTATTGACCTTTTATTTATGCTATACCAAGCACAGATTCTCCCAAATAAGAAATCACTAAGACTTTTCCAAGCAATTGACAGTTGAAGCCTGCATTTGAATATTTTATTCGGCAGTTCGTGTTTTGAACGTCGGCCGTTCAGCTACGGCATGGCCGTTCCGGTCGGCTTCGTCTTTTGTTGTAGGTTTGAATCAACGTCAAAAAGAACAAATGCAGGTGTTGGAGCTGGGCTTTTTGTTTCTGACCCAACGTCTTTAGTAATCACTTTTAAATTATTACTCAACACCAACAAAGATGAAATGATTAAACATGATTTATCCTCCACCTATCACTGGAATCTAGGTGTTGAATGCCCAAAAACTCAAAATGAATTTTTTAAATTATACTTTTTCAGTTCGAAATAGGTTTAATCCACAGTTTCACAGTTTTTTTGTTGACCCATATGGCTAAATGAAAATATAACTGTTGATTGGTAGAGCTTGAAACTATTTTTTATTTAGTTCCTACATTTTTTATTTTCTTGATTAACGTATTAAGATTAAGATTTATTAAAACTGGATACTTCAAATTATATTCTTGAATTTCTTGTATTGGATTGGCAGAATTCAGTTAAAATTGTCTTGGATCAATTCCATTTGTTTAGTGGGTTATTTTGAAATGCAGTTAGAATTAAAGTAATAGTGATAAAGGGTTCTATGGTTTTGAGAAAAAAAAATTTCAGACAATAACTAATTCGGTTGATATGGAAAAAAAAACTAGTCTTCTAGATTATATTTTCTATGGAAAAAAAAGTATAAAGCTATGCTTTTTTCTTTCTGTTTTTTGATTTGAATTTTTGTTTATTATCTCTAATCAATATCAAAAAGTGATCGTTTGGAAAAATGGTTCTCAAATATATAAAGAAACTATTTGGTTGGCAATCCAAAGAAGAGCGTGAAAAACTCAACTACATTGATGATTCCAAGCCATTTATTGATTTATCTATTGATTTAACACCAGAAGAAGTTGCAAGACGTGAGCATTGGTGGTTTAAAACCAAAATCTTTTTATGGGATTCAGCTGATAAGCATCCATCTGAAAGATGGTTTTTGTTCAAGTTGGATTTCTTTTTACTTAGTTCTGCTATGTTGGGTTATTTTATCAA